TAAAACATTTAGTGAATTATAGGGAGCAATAAGCAATTTAAACTTTACAAAGCACATTAACAATATCCTATTTCTTAACATTAACTTATCTGGTAAGAGTAACAGTGAATAGCTCCATAGTTGAAAATCCATCATAAATCCATCTATATGTTATATTGTTCATTTGGTCAGCCGTCAGCTTAAATTAGCATCGTCAGTTATGGCATCTTGTAATGGCTGTAATCGCTTCCTTATATCTATTTGCGCTCGGACTTATATACGCTTGCTAAGAGAAACTGCAAAACAACAAGTAATTTCCCCTACGCAATTCAGAGCGTTGTAGCGCATGCTACTACGGCTTTGTGGTTGACACCATAAGTTACGCACTTGCGGTTAGGCGTGGACATAGCTATTGCTTGCTCATGCTTATACCTATTTTGCTTACTCATGCATGTAAGTCTTACGAGAATAAGGTTAATTAACTAAAAGGTATATATATTTATACTAGCTAAGTATATGACGCTATATTATTATACGATTCTAATTACATGATATTATGTATCATGTAACAACTGTATGTATACATACGGGGTGGGGACGAATTAGGAAAAATTCATCATCTTTTCACAACATAAATAATTTCGAAATTCCCGCCCACTTTCTGTTACGTCTGACATATTCGTTTATACTCAGACGAATGATCTGTCAGACGGATCATTCATGATTCGTCCAGACGGAGATCCGTCTTTAGTTTAAATCGGGCCATTGAGCCGTTTGAGCGATGTCAAAGAGTCTGTGTCTTTGTACATCGTGAACGAATCTGTCTCCTCTAGTTGTGAAGAGACTTTTCAACACTCTCTTCGACTAGCGGTCAATCTGATAACTAAATTTTGACTAAATTTTGACTAAATTTTGGCGTCAAATACGATGACCATGCAGAAATTTGATACAGAATAACGCGAGCCGTAACCGTGAAAGTACAAAATAAATTAGGCTCGTACACACGGCCTGAATGCGAGAAATATTTAAAATCCACTTACTTTTCAATCTGTCTCTGTCTTTTCATTGGAAATAGAGTATAATGTTTTCCATAAGTTCCATTTGATAGAATGGTGTTCAAGCAGTAATAAGGAAGGAAAGTAAACATGTTATGAATGTGAAACCAGTTCCAAAAGTTGTTGACAATGAACGCCGATATAGTCAGATTAACGGACATATTTAAACGCCTTTCATTGCAGAAAGACAGGTTCATATTCCTTGTCATATCGTATTACAAACATTTTCCTGTCCACTTGTCGAGTTCTTCGATACACAAGATGAACTATATTTTTATCCAAAAATACTCGAGTGTTAATCTAGCTCCACAATGTGTACTTTGCATGAAGAAACACGTGTATTTCTCCTACGTGAGACTACAAAAAATTTCATGTCTTTCAGATTCAAATGTAATACGAACCTGTGACCAACCAGATCAGGATTGGTCAGTAACTGAATAAAATTAAGCCAAATATTCATGTTGGAATCCAAAGGAATTCTTTGTTTTAAAGAAAGAAACAACGATTATATTAATATTTAGGTTATTTATTCAGAAATCTACCACCACTGAGCCTGATTTGAAAACCACTTGTGCCCAAGGCGTGATCTGTGTCACATCAGCCACCTTGGCATGTTCAGTGGCGTAGCCAGTCCTTCTATGTACACTAAATCAATGAACACCAAAATATTTGCATAGCTAGACAAATCGACAGGCTGGCTACGCTACTGGGCATGTCCACGACATTCACGATTAAAACGAAACCAGGAATTATTAATCTCTTAAGCCCCGTACAGACCGGCATGTTTTCCTTCACAAGCTTTCTCACAGTTATTAGAATATAATTGGTTTGGAGACTAGATGGAAGTACAATACATCTCATTATCTATGTTATTGTGCAGGTTTATGCAAAAAATGGCTCCTTATCCGTCACATGTCCATTGTATTTTTTGCCCAACTAACCAATAGCAATGGCTTGGCTTAGCTCCTCAACCGTGACTTGAACAACATGTTAATTCAGACCTTACTATTGGTTTATTTGTTCAAAATAAAATAGACACGTGACGAATAAGGAACAATTTTTTGCATAAATGCTCCCCGACATAGTTAATAAGTTCTATTGTACTTTTATGTTGTCTCTAGGCCATGTATATTCTATTAACTTTGGTTTTCTTGACCAGTTCACTTGCTAGTGTGTATTACGAACAAGTTTTATTTGACAAGTTTTATTTGCTCGTGTGTACGCGAAAAAATTGACAATTTTTTTTTGACAACTTTTACGATAATATGTGTATATTTTAGGATAATATGAGCCATGATAAAATGAGTATACAACCGACTCTCAAAACAAACAGAAATGATAAAACTTCAAAAACCTGTTCGATTGGCTCGAAAATTGTTGTCCTTTTCCCTACAGCGCAATTCCTTGTCAAGTTTTCCTTGACGGCCGTGCACACGAGAATTTTTCCTTGTTGAAAAGCTGGCATGACTATAGCTTTTGCACTAGGCTCCTTGTCAAGAAAAGCCTGTCAATTTTTTCGCGTACACACACGAGCAAATAAAACTTGGCAAGGAAAACTTGCCCGTCTGTACAGGGCTTAAGTGTGTTGCAGTTTTTTTTTATACACCCTGTAGAACCCGGAAGATATACTCTGTTCTTTAAATGGCATTGCAATGACTGGAATGCAATTTGATCTGAAGTTAAACAAAACGCGACTTTACAAATCCGCATGCCAACGTAACGGGAGTAAGACCTGTATTATCGCAAGTTTGACTTCATACAAAAACTACGCGTGAAGAAGCATTTAGGATCTCTTCTGCCGAATCCCGGATATAAGGTATCGATTTAATTTCCTCTTCCCACCGTCTATGTGATCTATGTTTTGATGCATATAAACAAATTCACAGAACAGCGTGATCTTTGGACTTGTTTATCGTTGCTTTGTTCGGCAGCAATTATAAAGGCGATTAAGGTAAGCTTAAACTGACATAGCATGGATCTTGTGTTAGTTTGTAGAGGTATATGTCTTAGTTATATGCCTTATTTACTCCAAATACGATCGATCGATCGGCAAGGGCAAGGCTGTTATATAACTGACGGTCAATGCTGCGACTACTGTTTATTTGCTTTTGGTATTTTATCAATGGAATTCATGGAATGTTTCCTCGTATTACGCCTTCAGATTGAAAAATATAGTAGTTTGCCCGGCTTTTCTTTTACACGAATGGACGACTTGCGCTTTAGACTAATTTCTTACCTCGGCAATAAAAAGGATATTTTCTGAAAGAGCTTACTAAAATTAGTAAAACTGTCAATTTTGGCTGCGAATTGTTGTAAATTACGGAAAATATAGCCATGCAAAGTTGTCGAATTTTGTATACTTTTGTATTACGGCCGGAAGTGTGTAACTAAATTAGTTATTAGTTACACATTTCCGCACGTAATACAAAAGTATAGCAAATGAATATCATCATTTTTACCATTAGACTACATTATGTGATCATTTTTTGCGAACATTATTTTGTTAAAAACACTAGCAGATCATCATGAAAGAAGACAGCTTTAGTCCAAAATAACGTATACTCATGCATAATATACCCGCGCGTGGTTAAAATATCTTCTACCCATGGGGTTGCATACTTTCTATCTTTTTAGTGCAATGACTACCCCACAGATTATTGTTCAGGGGGGCGCGTACTGGCAAAAACCCAGGGATACCAGTCTTGAGATTTCAGATGATGAGTATAAAAATATACTCAAAGAATCTGCAAAGACAGGGTATGCTATTTTAATGGTAAGTTTTCTGGGTTTTCAACCTGGAACAATACTTCAGCAACAATGAATTGCTCCCTAGCTTAGCCGAGAATGTTCCTGAAATGTTGATTGAGGGTTATTTCAGTTTAATAGTCTGTACTTCTTGGTATCATGCACTATTTGAGAGGAACAAATTGCGAACAATAAACCATCTTAAAAACTTAATATAAATAGAACAAGAAAGCGTATATCAGTGTACATTTTCGGCTCTGTCACAAAACAATTCACTTTCAGTATATTCTCCTTTCTTTTTATATTCATATCTTGTTGAATTTCAAATTGGATTTAATGGTTTATGTACAGAGCATGCATGTGTTTTAGCGCGACGGGGGAACAGCAGTTGATGCCGTAGAAGCAGCAGTCCGTGTTTTGGAGGACAGCGAACATTTTGATGCTGGTTACGGATCATTATTGAACAACGACGGTGAAGTTGAATGCGACGCTATGATCATGGATGGAAACACGTTGGATAATGGTATAGACATCAGGCTTCTGTTACAATATCATAACTTGGCTTTAAAATAATTTCAACATAAAAACATGCAGCGTCCCCTAGTTTCAAAACAAGAAAACAAGTTTCATTGTTAATCTAGAATGGAACAAATTTTTGTTTCCTAACTACTTGAGAACAAAATGCCACCGAAACTTCTTCTCGGTTCTCTTAGATATTTGGTTTACAAGTTGTTGTACTTCGAAGTATTTTTTCTCTTGCATTTCACAAAAATTGTTTGTTGGTAATGGTTTCGAATTTTTTGAATCACAATGAACACTATTAATCACTTCTACAGGAGCAGTGATGTCTGGACGAAATTTCCGTAATCCTGTTTCACTTGCCAAGAAGATCATGAATGAAACAGTTCACTGCGCCTTGAGTGGCGAAGGTGCTTTGCAGTTTGCTCAAAAAGAAAAAGAATTTCCTATCTTCGAACAGGGAGAACTAATCAGCCCACGAGTGAAACAGTTGCAAATTCGATATGCAGATTTTGTTAAATATGAACGTAATCGCTTCAAAGGAATTCCAACACCAGCGAGTGACACAGTATCGGCTGTTGCCAGGGATGCCAAAGGTTATTTAGCTTGCGCGACGTCAACAGGTATTCATTACTGTAGCCATAATAAAAATATAGAAATAAAGTAATTCCTAAAAATGTTAGCATAGTTAATACAATGGCAAATGGAGTAAGAACACAGCGGTGAATATCTAATTTTTTTTACACAATTGCAAAGGTGATTTATCTTTTGTAACAAATGCATTTTTTTGCAAAAGTAGACAAAGGAGAGTTGTATTTTTTTATTTAAATAAAACAATGTCATACGAGAAATCTACCTAAGTTAACCTAACAGATATCTCGAGATTTTGTTGCTTTCGAACTATTAAATACAGTATTTCTCGCTCTTTTCCAGGAAAATGCGGTTAACCAACTTCCAGGAAAAATTCAAGAAACCTTTTGGGTGACATTTTGGGTTTTATGTTTATCCGAAATAAGCGCTTTTTTATTTCCAGGCGGGGTAGCAGGACGATTGAGAGGTCGTGTCAGTGATGCATCAATGGTGGGTTGTGGGGGTTACGCAAATGAACACGGAGCAGCAACCACATCTGGACTAGGAGAATCTATAATGAAAATGACCCTAGCAAGAGAGGTCGTTTACCAGATGGAGGGTGGACGGAATGCTCAGGTTTGTATACAAGATTGGTATATATAGTTTATATATCCATGTAGTATGTTTTCATATCAATGCGAATCCCCGCTGATGTTCAGCACCACCTAACAACTATTTCATATCAGAAATTTCCCCACTCGCACAAGCCTACATGTACAAGGATAATTTTCCATAGATTATGAATAAAGGCCACTGCTCCCGTCAAATATAAATTAGTTACTTATAGACCGTCTTCATTCGACGTTGAAGCTGCCATGTTTACGGACGCAAATTATGGATTTTCTCCCCAAACTCGCAGCAATATGGAAGAAAAGTGATCTATTCAACTGTCTTTTTTCAATTTTTCGCAAAAGGAATCTGCGGTAATGGCTTTGGACAGGATGAAAAAGAGATTAGGTGACGTAGCTGGTGTTATTGCGATTGACAATCAGGGAAATTTTGGAAGGGCTTTAACTACCGAAATGATGGGTTGGGCAAGCATCAAGGACGATAAAATTCAATTTGGCTTGAAACCAAACGAAGTCGAAGAAGAGAAATTATAAAAGAAATCATATTTTTACAAACAGTTTCAGCGTGAGCTTTCGACAGGAGAGCAAATAATCAATGCTCACTCACGTTTATAGGTTACACATACTCAGACGAAAAGATTCATGAAGCAATCTTTATACCTTAACTAGGATTGAAAACCAATAAAGCACTTTTTATACCGTTTTACTACTTTAAAAACCTCTTAAGAACTTTTTTGCAAGAAATTATATGCTGTAGTATAGCGAAAAATGCCATATAGCTGTATTTCTACAATGTCCCCTCGTGTTTCTGCTCCGAATGCGCGTTGTTGTGTTACTGCCATTTGCATGCGTTCAAGCTTGAAGAGTGCAAAATATTTAGACCAGATGCAAACCTATTTCTTAATTACTTTAAAGCAATGTAGAACATATAAAGTTTCTTTATCGTATATATTATCTTTTAATAAGTGTATAAACGTTTACGTTTTTAACTGCTTTTTTATGACAATTTTTTATCAATATCGAGATATCGTACCATTTAATGATTCATTGCCTAAATTTTTTAATGTTCAAAAACTCGCAGATTAAAAATGAGAACAATATGGGCCAATTCCTGAACTAGACCATATTCCCGAATCATTTATTCTTCAAATCATCTTTGGACAAAAACCTCTGCGCACTGAATTATATATACACTCGTAATTGTGTTTGTGAGTAGTTCGTAAACTACACTGTATGTATAAATACAGGGTGGGGACGAACTAGGAAAAATTCATCATAACGGCTCTTTTCAAAACATAAATAACTTTGAATTTTCCGCCCACTTTCTGTTACGTCTGATATATTCGTCGGTCTACACAGTTCTTCCAGATAGTTCGTCGTGTGTTTATACTCAGACGAATGATCTGTCAGACGGATCATTCATGATTCGTCCAGACGGAGATCCGTCTCTAGTTTAAATCGGGCCATTGAGCCGTTTGAGCGATGTCAAAGAGTCTGTGTCTTTGTACATCGTGAACGAATCTATCTCCCCTGTCGTTAAAGAGACTTTTCAAAACTCTCTTCGACTAGCGGTCAATCTGATGACTAAATTCTGACTTCAAATACGATGACCATCAGACCATGCAGAAATTTGATACACAATAACGCGAGCCGTAAAAGTACATAATAAATTAGGCTCGTACACACGGCCAATGAATGCGAGAAATATTTAAAAACCACTTACTTTTCAATCTGTCTCTGTCTTTTCATTGGAAATAGAGTATAATGTTTTCCATAAGTTCCATATGATAGAATAGTGTTCAAGCAGTAATAAGGAAGGAAAGTAAACATGTATGAATATGAAACCAGTTCCAAAAGTTGTTGACAATGAACGCCAATATAGTCAGATTAACGGACATATTTAATCGCCTTTCATTGCAGAAAGACAGGTTCATATTCCTTGTCATATCGTATTACAAACGTTTTCATGTCCACTTGTCGAGTTGTCGTGTTCTTCGGAACACAAGATGAACTGTATTTCTATCCAAAAATACTCGAGTGTTAATCTGGTTCCACAAGGTGTACTTTGCATGAAGAAACACGTGTTTTTCTCCAACGTGAGACAACAAAAACTCTAATGTCTTTCATATTCAAATGTAATATGAACCTGTGACTAGCCAGATCAGGATTGGACAGTTACTGAATAAAATTAAGCCAAATATTATTATTGGGGCTCCTTTGATTTCTTTGTTTTAAAGAAAGAAACAACGATTATATTAATATTTAGGTTATTTATTCAGAAATCTACCACCACTGAGCCCGATTTGAAAATCCACAAGTTTTTCTTGCAAAGTTTTATTTGCTCGTGTGTACCGAAAAAATTGACAAATTTTTCTTGACAATTTTTACAATAATATGTATATTTTAGGATAATATATGAGCCATGATAAAATGAGTATACGACCGAATCTCAAAACAAACAGAAATGGTAAAACTTCAAAAAACCTGCTCGATTGGTTTGAAGATTGTTGCGCTGCTCTCGACTGCGCGATTCCATGTCAAGTTTTCCTTGACGGCCGTATACACGAGCTTTGCACAAGGCTCCTTGTCAAGAAAAACTTGTCAATTTTTTCGCGTATACACGAGCAAATAAAACTTGGCAAGGAAAACGTGCCCGTTTGTACAGGGCTTAAGTGTGTCACAGATTTTTTTTATACACCCTGTATAGAACCCGGAAGATATACTCTGTTCTTTAAATGGAATTGGGATTGCTGGAATGCAATTTGATCTGAAGTTAAACAAAACGGACTTTACAAATCCGCATGGCAACATAACGGGAGTAAGACTTGTATTATCGAAAGTTTGACCTCATACAAAAACTACGCACGAAGAAGTATTTACGATTTCTTCTGGAATCCCGGATATAAGGTATAGATTTAAATTCCTCTTACCACCGTCTATGTGATCTATGTTTTGATGCATATAAACAAATTCACAGAACAGCGTGATCTTTGGACTTGTTTATCGTTGCTTTGTTCGGCAGCAATTATAAAGGCGGCGATTAAGGTAAGCTTAAACAAAGCATGGATCTTGTGTTAGTTTGTAGAGGTATATGTCTTAGTTATATGCCTTATTTACTCCAAATACGATCGATCGATCGACAAGGCTGTTATTTAACTGGCTGTCAATACTGCGACTGTTAATTTGCTTTTGGTATTTTATCATTCGAATTCATGGAATGTTTTCCTCGTATTACGCTTCAGATTATAAAATATAGTAGTTTGCCCGGCTTTTTTTACACGAATTAAGTACCCAAATTTGTATCTATTGGAAATTTATATCCTTATAAAAATCTAAAACTAATGATTCATGCACATCATCTAAAACTACTTGAGTACCGACTTTTTTGCCAGGAATTTCCCAAGAATTACAAAATGAAAATTGATGAGTTTCTGGAATCTTGATTCCCAGGAAATCATGCCAATGTCCAAGAAATTGTGTTTAAATTGAAGCGTGATAGAATATATATATCTCTTGCATTCATTTGCAGGCCACTTTATTGCTCATAATTAAAAGAAACAGGCGCGATATAACTTGAAGCGTGATAGAATATATCTCTTGCAGCCATATGCAATTAAGCCACTTCATTGCTTATAATTAAAAGAAACAGGCGAAATATTAATTGAAAATAAATCCAGGGATTTTTCAACATTACCAGAAATTTGCGACATGATAATTTGCATGTATACTAATTTGCATTTAACTTTCAGCATTATGGCCTTCAACATTTACTATAAAATATATATAGTAAATATACAAAACTTAAAAATACCGTTGACCTAGACCTTGCCTACTGTTTGCCGACCTCTAGATCGGTCGAGCAGCTGTTCAGAAACGTTTTGGTGGCCAATTTTTTTTGCTTGGGCATTTCTGTAATCTGCCAAATTTAAAAATATATTGCTCAAAGTTTTGTCCGTGTTCTGTCAACGAACTTATAAAATCGCTCACATTGATTCGAATATTTCGATTCATGTAGTTGATGAATTGACGTGTAATATACCAAAAAAAGTTGTTAAAGATATTGTCTTTCGTATTTGTGTATAAACTTTTCTGTACGGCTCGGATTTTCACTGCAATCACTTTAAAAAATATTATCAGTCTTATCAGGAACTTGAACAATACGAAGGCTATATACACATTTGTTCACAATCAGTTGGCCGAACGTAGAAATACCTAAGGTAAGTAATTCGATCATTAAAACGTTGGGAAACGGCTGTTCTATTGACCCAAAGGTCGGCAAACAGTGCGCAAGGTCTAGGGCAACGACATTTTAAGGTTTTGTATATTTACTATATGTATTTGATAGTAAAAGTTGAAGGCCATTATGCTGAAAGTTAAATGCAAATTAGTATAAATGCAAATTATCATGTCGCAAATTTTTGGTAATGACAGCTTTACGAAGCAATCATTTAGGGCAATCTCGACTTCCTCACGGCTTTTACCTAGCGATATCCTCGTCACCTCGGTAAATTAAATGTTATTAGTATTAAAAAACAATTTAATAAAAAAGACTGAGGGAACTATGAAATAACATGTTTCATTAAAAATTTGTTTGGCCGAAATTTACGATCATTTCAGGATTTAGCGAAGCATTCCCGGCGTTAGTTAATTTCTCACGCTTGTGAAAGGCTTCACTTTCGTTTTCTAACTTTCCTTTAACCTAAATTCCAAGCTGCATGAATATTACAATTTTTACGATTAGAAAACAATTTTGCAAACATTATTTGTTAAAAACACTAGCAGGCCATCATGAAAGAGGACAGATTGAGCCCAAAATAATGTACTCATGCATAATATACCCGTGCGTGGTTGGAATATCTTCTACCCCAACCTCGTACCCAGGGTCTTTTTACCTCCGCCACAGCGAAATTACCCTGGGTACGAGGTTGCTTCTACCCATGGGGTCGCATACTTTCTATCTTTTTAGTGCAATGACTACCCCACAGATTATTGTTCAGGGGGGCGCGTACTGGCAGAGACCCAGGGATACAGGTCTTGGCATTACAGATGATGAGTATAAAAATATACTCAAAGAATCTGCAAAGACAGGGTATGCCATTTTAATGGTAAGTTCTCTGGGTTTTTAACCTGGAACAACACTTCAGCAATAATGCATTGCTCCCTAGCTCAACGGAGAATGTTCCTGAAATGTTCATTCGGTGTTATTTCAGTTAGTTAATAGTCTGTACTTCTTAGTATCATGCACTATTTAAGAGGAACAAATTGCCAAGAATAAAGCCTTCTTGGGGCCTTCACAGACTGGGGATTTCGCTGTCGACAACTATTTGTGATCGACAACTAAAAGTTATGGACATGCAGCTAAAAACGTAGTCTGTCGCGCAAGTTGTCGGCGACTGAACTCTAAATCATTAGTTGTCGACAACTAAACAGTTTCCCTTTTCGACTAATAGTTGTCGACGGCCTCATTTTTTGGCGTTTTTCTAGTGTGTGAAAACTTCTGTTTTAGTTGTCGAATACTTTTAATCTCCGCGCTATTTCCGTTGCTAAATCAGTATTTAAGCGCCAGTGTGTGAAATATCCTTTATTGGACTTATTTAGTAGTCGATAACTTTTAGTTGTCGATCACAAATAGTTATCGACAACCAAATCCCTAGTCTGTGGAGGCCTTAAAAACATGAATATGAGTAAAACAAGAAAGCGTATATATCAGTGAACATTATCGGCTCTGTCACCTGAAAACAATTCACTTTCAGTATATTCGCCTTCCTTGTTATATTCATATCCTGTTAAATTTCAAATTGGTTTTAATGGTTTACGAACAGGGTATGCATGTGTTTTAGAACGGGGGAACAGCAGTTGATGCCGTAGAAGCAGCAGTCCGTGTCTTGGAGGACAACGAGTATTTTGATGCTGGTTACGGATCATTATTAAACAACGATGGCTCAGTTGAATGTGACGCTATGATCATGGATGGAAACACGTTAAATAATGGTACAGGCATCAGGTTTCTCTTACAATATCATAACTTGGCTTTAAAATAATTTCAACTAAAAAAACATGCAGCATTCCCTGACCATCCCCTGGTTTTAAGACAAGAAAACAAATTTCATTGTTAATCAAGAATGGGACAATTTTTTGTTTCTTAACTACTTCAGAACAAAATATCACCGAAAACTTCTTTTCTAGTTTTCTTAAATATTTGGTTTACAAGATTTTGTACTACGAAGTATTTTTTCACTTATCAGTATTTTACAAAAATTGTCTGCTGGTAATGGTTTCTATATTTTTGAATCACAATGAACATTGTGAACATTATTCATCACTTATACAGGAGCAGTGATAACTGGACGAAATTTCCGTAATCCTGTTTCACTTGCCAAGAAGATCATGAATGAAACAGTTCACTGCGCCTTGAGTGGCGAAGGTGCTTTGCAGTTTGCTCAAAGAGAAGAATTTCCCATTTCCGAACAGGAAGAACTAATCAGCCCAGGAGTGAAAAAATTGCAAATTCGATATCCAGATTTTGTAAAATATGAACGTAATCGCTTCAAAGGAATTCCAACACCAGCGAGTGACACAGTATCAGCTGTTGCAAGGGATGCCAATGGTTATTTAGCTTGCGCGACGTCAACAGGTATTCATTACTGTAGCCATAATCAAAATATAGAAATAACTAGTGGTAATCACAGATTTGTGATGTGCGTTCGAAATGTGCTGGTTTCGGTTTAACAAAAATTTCGATTTAACAACAACAAAAATGCGGTTAACATTATAACGTCACAGTGTGAATACATAAACAAGGAGGAATTTCGTTTTGAACTAATCGCCATATTTGTTTACATTCTTTAGGCAAATCTAATCAGAATGCCTAAATTTTAACTACTTCATGTAAAATGGTATATATTGTACTTTTTATCCACATTTATGCATTCTGATTGGGTTACTGAAAATGTAAACAAACTTGCTGATTGGACTAAAACGAAACCCCCCTTTGTTTAATACATATAGCTAATAGTAAGTTTTCACAATGGCAAAGGTGAAACAATCACTTTTCGATAATATATAAGCATTCGTATTTTGGTTTAAAATTTAAAGAGTTTCAACTAGTTTTGTCAAACCAGCTATTCACTTATTTCATGCACTATTGGCAGTGTTGCCATAGAATGCCATATGAGAATATGCACATATTTTTCTATTGCTTATGCCCCCGTACTTCAAACATTGCCCCGACAAATGTGGTTAAGCAACTTCAGAATATGCAAGAAACCTTATCGACACTTCCAGTTTCATGTTTAACCGACTTGACCGCTTTTTCATTACCATGCAGGTGGGGTAGCAGGACGTATGAAAGGTCGTGTTAGTGATGCATCATTGGTGGGTTGTGGGGGTTACGCAAATGAACACGGAGCAGCAACCACATCTGGACTAGGAGAATCTATAATGAAAATGACCCTAGCAAGAGAGGTCGTTTACCAGATGGAGGGTGGACGGAATGCTCAGGTTTGTATGTATGTATAGTTTATATATCCAGTATATATGTTTTTATATCAGCGAGAATCACCGCTGATGTCAGCACCACCTAACAACTACTTCATACCAGAAATTTCGCCCACTCGCACAAGCCTATATGTACAAGAAGAATAATTTTCCATAGGTTATGAATAAAGGCCACTGCTTCCGTCGAATATAAATTAGTTCCTTGTGGACCGTTTTTATTCGACGTTGAAGCTGCCATGTTTACGGACGCATTTTATGGATTTTCTTCCCAAACTCGCAACAATATGGCAGGAAAATTATCTATTCAACTAGTTTTTTTCAATTTTTCGCAAAAGGAATCTGCGGTAATGGCTTTGGACAGGATGAGAGAAAGATTAGGTGACGTAGCTGGTGTTACTGCGATTGACAATCAGGGAAATTTTGGAAGGGCTTTTACTACCGAAATGATGGTTTGGGCAAGCATCAAGGACGATAAAATTCAATTCGGCTTGAAACCAAACGAAGTCGAAGAAGAGAAATTATAAAAGAAATCATATTTTTACAAACAGTTTCAGCGTGAACTTTCGATAGGAGAGCAAATAATCAATGTTCACGTTTATAGGTTACACATACTTAGACGAAAAGATTCATGAAGCAATCTTTATACCTTAACTATAGGATTGAAAACCAATAAAGCACTTTTTAAAGCGTTTTACTACTTTAAAAACCTCTTAAGAACTTTTTTGCAAGAAATTAGAGGCTGTAGAATAGCGAAAAAGCCATATAGTTGTATTTCTACAATATCCTCTCGTGTTTCTGCTCCGAATGCGCGTTGTTGTGTTACTGCCATTTGAGAGCGTTCAAGCTTGAAGCGTGCAAAATGTTTCGCGTTTGTTTACGTTTAAAACGATAGCGTTATGGGGGTAATAAGACACGTTTGGCCAATAATATTGTTTCGTTAATATGAGCATGCAACGGTTATTATTAGTAACGAAAATGACATGTTTTGATTGACAAAACAGCAGGTTTGCCTGGTTTGGTAATAAACGTTATATAAATATAATAACTACAATGAAGCACGCAATTTGATTGTAAATGGTTCAAACGTGCTGTTAAAACAATGCAAAAGTTCCTGTAAATCTATCTTGTGTGCAAATCAATCTCAGCATGCTGAAATACATGCCATGTATTCAGATTTCGGAATGGTAAAAACTTAATGATGCAAAGAGAGAAATAGATTGTGGTACCCCCTGCTTAATAGCTGGTTTTTTCATTAAAAACTTATTTTGTATTAGATCGTGAACAGGTGATCTTACTGAGCAACAAAAACTGAATTCTCTAGCTAATCTCAATAACTAAATTACTAATAAGAAGCGGTTTTGTTATGCATTTTACTATATGAACAATTGTGATAAAAATGTACTTGGCATCATCTCAAGATACAATGATAAAATATTTATTTAAAGTTTAAAAAGACGACGTTTCGACGCTAACACACGCCATTATATTATCAAGTCAAATAAGAGTAACTAAGAAAATAAAAGTAGATTACCCCCCCCCCATATACGGATGAAAGGGATGCCGCCAATGACGTCACAATGGGTGTGCATAGGGATGCCACGTGAACATTATGTGGGGATACATGATAGTTTCGCGTGAACATCATAGATGATACATTTTGCGTACAATGACGTCATACTAAATGTACACGGGAGTTTCACGTGTACATTATGCGTTTGATGTGTGTAGTGTTTATAGGGTATAATATAGGAATCAAGATCAGATTTTAGTATGGATTATTTATTATTTCGATTTGTTGAAAAATTATGGTACAGTTCGATTTGTTTGTGAAATAATTTTTATTAATATAATTTAGGTACTCTACGACTATTAAATAGATAGTGATTTAGGATACGATTAACTATTGTTCTAAAGGCACTTAAACTTACGGTTCGTTGTATTTTGATGAAATGTGCGATCATCAATAAGTAAAAATTAATGTTTGAGGGAAATAAGAACGAGTTTAGTAGAAACATTTGATCACGTCTTAGCATGCAGTCGGTGACTTCTATCCACCAATTATTATCATAACTCATCGGCCATGACGTTTCGCCAATGTACACGCTGTACCCGATTGGTTCTTTGACGTTCACATAGTAGCCATATTTCTTTTGTCGCATAGGCGGTTTGTTTGAGTATACGCGGAACCCTTTACCCTTCCTACCGAAATTATATTCACGTTTTGTACAGAATCCAACTTTGAAACTTGAGGATTTCATCATCTATCAGAAACTCAGTCACCCACATTAGCTTTTCAGTTATTTGTTTTTTCAGTGTCAAAGTTATTCTGAGTCTTCGATAACGTTAGGAGTACAGTCTTAACGACGAGATCTTTTAGAGTCTGCACACGCTCCATCGCCAAGGGTTATGTACAACTGAACCGCATTTTATTAAGTGACTGTTGATATTGCACAACATCACATGCGTAATGAATACATTAACATATCATGTGAGCATTGTATACAGGATTTGAATAATTAAACAATGTATACGTGTACAGATAGATTAACAATGTACACGTGTACGACGTTGACGCGATGTTCGCGTTAACATTTCACGTGAACATTGTATACGGTATGCGTGTTGTATGCGTGTACAGATAAATAGATCATGTATATGTATACGACGCTGATCTGATGTACGCGTTAACATTTCGACGATGCTCGTTTGCAATGGTTTCCTTAAGAAAGGTTTAGTAAACCATTTGGCTAGGTTTAGATTCTAATCTTCATCATCATCATCGTCATCATCATCACTGCCTTTATTTTTTTTCACATCTTCAATCTCGTGGTCGTTTAAAAGCCTTTTAATGAGGAACTTTCTCTTATCAACTGCAGCTTCTATTGCTTCTTCTGGGTCAAAATCATCATTTTGAATAAACGCATCTTTTGTGTGGATTATTTTCTTATGTACTGGATCTTTCTTCATTTGTCTCATCCACAAAAGGCGCTCTAAGTAGATATTTTCTAATTCTTTCTGGAGTCTAGGCATAACATTGAAGTAAGCTTTCTCTTTAGCGGTATGCTGATCGAAACCACTGCTTATAAGACTTTCTTCCATTTGCTCAAAAGATGTGTTACTTCTTTGTTTTGCTTCTTCTATTAACGGTATCCAGGGGTCGATTTCTTCTTCAGATTCTGAGTCAGACACCGTCGAACTTCCAGACTGCTGGGTGGAAGTGGTCGAGACATCATCTTGGAAATCTCTTTCTTGACTGTCCGAGTCTGTTTGAGACATGTTTCTTTCTTGTTCTCGTAGTGGACAGTAATCCCGTTCGTGTCTGCGCTGATTGTAACCGCGGCTAAAGTATCTTCCGCAAAATTGACAGCTCATTCCCTTACCACTGGAGGAGTGGGAATGCCTTGTTATCGAGCAGTAATGCAGTTTTATGAGCAAATGAGCATGTGCTCATGAGCAGTTATGAGCATGTGCTCCTCTGCTCATCGCAAAAACTGTACCCGGTTCATAGAGATTTTTTAGGCCCAAACTCCTATAGTTAAGAATGCGAGAATGTGCTCATAACTGCTCAAGCACATGCTCATCGGTCCATCGGCCAAAATCATGGGTACTCAATTTTTGAATATATTGATATTGATTCAGTGTCTTTTTCAACCTTTGATATAGCAACTTCAAGTGCTCGAGCTAAACACATTTTGTCAGTGTAATTAATACGAATAATTGATCGCTTGCTGATCAAGTAAATTGATCTCATATCGTTTCTTTCCGGTGCCTCCGTTGGGCATCTCAACGTTTCACAATATTAACATTTACTGAGTCGTTTAATCTGAATCCCCGATTAGATTGAATAACTCGTTCAATTTAAAATGAACTTTAATTTCTCACTAGATATAAAGTGTAAAGGGTAATTATTCACTTATTTTGATAAAGCTCTGGCACAAATTTGCAGAGGAAGGGTCACGCATGCGCAAGCGTTTACCCGGCGTCTCAGCGATATAAAACCCCGCGTTAGTGCAATCAAAATGCACAAGTACACACGCATCAATTGGAAAACCACGTTCCGTACGGATCATAGACAAGAATTGAGGCAAAGAGTGCTTTATTTGCTGTAAAAATGAAAGTAGCTGACTTAATCTTTTATTGGGGGGAAGATGCCGTGCACCCAATTATCTACATGACCTTATTCAGCTTTGAAAACAAAATCTTATCCACGCTGGTAAAAGACGAAAACGAATGGAAGATTGTTTTTGATGAAAGACAAACATTTACAAATAAAGAGTTTGTTCGAAAGTTATGGTGTACATGCGTAGATCACAGATACGTTGATCTCAAATATTGGGTTTTTAAACACTATGTTGACAAGATAGACATTCATGTACTAAGTGATAAACGCTCATGATTTTAAAAAATAGCATAATCAAGCATTTACAGATGGAAAAATTATAAAAAAGGTTTGGCACAGGTGTATATTCCAAGGATTTATTGACGATAAATAATACACTGATGATGGGAATCTTGTTGATAAAATTGTGTTTGTCATTTTTACTCTTAACGTTAACGCCGGGTAAACGCTTGCGCATGCGTGACCCTTCCTCTGCAAATTTGTGCCAGAGCTTTATCAAAATAAGTGAATAATTACCCTTTACACTTTATATCTAGTGAGAAATTAAAGTTCATTTTAAATTGAACGAGTTATTCAATCTAATCGGGGATTCAGATTAAACGACTCAGTAAATGTTAATATTGTGAAACGTTGAGATGCCCAACGGAGGCACCGGAAAGAAACGATATGAGATCAATTTACTTGATCAGCAAGCGATCAATTATTCGTATTAATTACACTGACAAAATGTGTTTAGCTCGAGCACTTGAAGTTGCTATATCAAAGGTTGAAAAAGACACTGAATCAATATCAATATATTCAAAAATTGAGTACCCATGATTTTGGCCGATGGACCGATGAGCATGTGCTCTTGAGCAGTTATGAGCACATTCTCGCATTCTTAACTATAGGAGTTTGGGCCTAAAAAATCTCTATGAACCGGGTACAGTTTTTGCGATGAGCAGAGGAGCACATGCTCATAACTGCTCATGAGCACATGCTCATTTGCTCATAAAACTGCATTACTGCTCGATAACAAGGCATTCCCACTCCTCCAGTGGTAAGGGAATGAGCTGTCAATTTTGCGGAAGATACTTTAGCCGCGGTTACAATCAGCGCAGACACGAACGGGATTACTGTCCACTACGAGAACAAGAAAGAAACATGTCTCAAACAGACTCGGACAGTCAAGAAAGAGATTTCCAAGATGATGTCTCGACCACTTCCACCCAGCAGTCTGGAAGTTCGACGGTGTCTGACTCAGAATCTGAAGAAGAAATCGACCCCTGGATACCGTTAATAGAAGAAGCAAAACAAAGAAGTAACACAGCTTTTGAGCAAATGGAAGAAAGTCTTATAAGCAGTGGTTTCGATCAGCATACCGCTAAAGAGAAAGCTTACTTCAATGTTATGCCTAGACTCCAGAAAGAATTAGAAAATATCTATTAGAGCGCCTTTTGTGGATGAGACAAATGAAGAAAGATCCAGTACATAAGAAAATAATCCACACAAAAGATGCGTTTATTCAAAATGATGATTTTGACCCAGAAGAAGCAATAGAAGCTGCAGTTGATAAGAGAAAGTTCCTCATTAAAAGGCTTTTAAACGACCACGAGATTGAAGATGTGAAAAAAAATAAAGGCAGTGATGATGATGACGATGATGATGATGAGATTAGAATCTAAACCTAGCCAAATGGTTTACTAAACCTTTCTTAAGGAAACCATTGCAAACGAGCATCGTCGAAATGTTAACGCGTACATCAGATCAGCGTCGTATACATATACATGATCTATTTATCTGTACACGCATACAACACGCATACCGTATACAATGTTCACGTGAAATGTTAACGCGAACATCGCGTCAACGTCGTACACGTGTACATTGTTAATCTATCTGTACGTATACATTGTTTAATTATTCAAATCCTGTATACAATGCTCACATGATATGTTAATGTATTCATTACGCATGTGATGTTGTGCAATATCAACAGTCACTTAATAAAATGCGGTTCAGTTGTACATAACCCTTGGCGATGGAGCGTGTGCAGACTCTAAAAGATCTCGTCGTTAAAACTGTACTCCTAACGTTATCGAAGACTCAGAATAACTTTGACACTGAAAAACAAATAACTGAAAAGCTAATGTGGCTGAGTTTCTGATAGATGATGAAATCCTCAAGTCTCAAAGTTGGATTCTGTACAAAACGTGAATATAATTTCGGTAGGAAGGGTAAAGTGTTCCGCGTATACTCAAACAAACCGCCTATGCGACAAAAGAAATATGGCTACTATGTGAACGTCAAAGAACCAATCGGGTACAGCGTGTACATTGGCGAAACGTCATGGCCGATGAGTTATGATAATAATTGGTGGATAGAAGTCACCGACTGCATGCTAAGACGTGATCAAATGTTTCTACTAAACTCGTTCTTATTTCCCTCAAACATTAATTTTTACTTATTGATGATCGCACATTTCATCAAAATACAACGAACCGTAAGTTTAAGTGCCTTTAGAACAATAGTTAATCGTATCCTAAATCACTATCTATTTAATAGTCGTAGAGTACCTAAATTATATTAATAAAAATTATTTCACAAACAAATCGAACTGTACCATAATTTTTCAACAAATCGAAATAATAAATAATCCATACTATAAATAATCCATACTATAGCCCAGCTTCAATGGGTAGCTTAGGGAGTTTGGCTCAGCCAGGCAGATAAGGAGTCGCCGCACAACTTTCTGAAAAATTAGTACCGTTATATGCTTATGCATGGCCATTTATGGATCTACCACGATCTTGATGAACACAGCGTGGTCTCTGATGTATTGACGAGTACGTAGAGTTGAATGTTTAACAAAGTTCCGCGTCCCCACACCTGTATTCTCGCGTTGTCTTGGTCTTTGAAATTCGTTTTCTCCTCGCGGCCACAAAGTGCATCGAACGTTTTGTCTTTGCGCTATGTCATCTTGCTGATCAACAAGAACAAAGGTAAACTTCTTTGTGAAAGGCCAGGGAAGTGTTTCATCTCGATCACTTTTCATCAAAATCAGGTAAATTCCCAAGTATCCCCTATTGCCACTGGGTCCTTCGTTCAAATTGGACGTCAACTTCAATTTATAACCGTGACTGGAGAAAAAAGGTTCACTCTCAATTTCGCCCCAATCATTATACGAGTTTGCTTGGGCAAGCTTTCTTGTGAAGTTTGCTATCTTCCAAGTGTATGCTAGTTCAAGTTGTTGGCCAGGTGGAGGTTGCTGAACTACCTGTGGAGCATGTGCAGCTTCAGTTGTTCTTGACGTAAAGACTTCATATCTGAATCTGAGACCCTTTACATCTTCATCAAGCTAGAGCAATTGAATTTATTAGAGGCACTCAGCCTGATGGTGAATATAATTTATTTTGCAATATATACTACAGCTGTACAGCAACATAGCTACATAGTAAAACCGGCTAACCTTTGAAATTAATTGCTTCAAAAAATCTTCTGATTCCTTGTGCTGCAATGTTATAGAATAGAAAGAGTGGAATTGATAGTGGATATCTATATATATATATAAAGAGGGGAATAAAATACTTTACAAAAGAAAACACATCTTGTAAATTAATATTATATACGAAGACATTCAGAATCAAACAAGCGAAAAAAATTCATTCAAACAAATGCCCGCAAAATTGGCCTTTAGAACTCAGAGGCCGGTTGTATCAAGGCCGTTTAGCCAGATGTATATGTAAATCTGGAACTAATTATAGTTGTTAGATGCTTGTATATGATAAGCTGAAACAGCTACATTAATATTAATAAAAAACGATATTAACAACGATCATCGTTTCTGCAAACTAATTTAGGAACTAAAATGTGATGTGTAACTACTGATATTATCCAGGGGCCGGTTGTATGAAAGCCGGATAGCGCTATCCACCGGATAGTGATTTTTTCAACCTTTCTAAAAATGCTTGAAAAGCAATGAAATGTCAGCTTTGGAACCAATAATTATTAAAGAGCATCTTCGATTTAGGAATACTAAGATCTAATCAAAGTTATAGCAAAAAACGATTTTGAAGCGATTGAAAAAACACTATCCGGTGGATAGCGCTATCCGGCTTTCATTCAAGCGGCCCCAGGTGATCTCTCGCTCATATTTTCGCCAGAGGAGTTGTCGAAATAAAAATTCATTCCACCAGAATGTTTAGTCACAAAAACTATAGCTCTAACTGTAAATATGAAACTGAAATAAAGTATATTTCACAAAACTCAAGGGGCAGAAATTAGCTAAGTTGTTTCAACTGTTAGGTGGATTTTTATTCCACAAGTCCCAAGCACGTCCTTTTTCGCTATTTCAGATCACGTGGATAGCAATTTCATCTTCCAATGTAATGTTGACCCTAAAGCTTAGATCAGTTATTAAATTGTTGCCTTTTAAGGATCAATCACGATCTTGATGTACACGGCGTGGTATTTGATGTACTGACGAGTACGAAGAGTTGAATGTTTGGCAAAGTCCTTTATTCCGTAACCCCCGTTTTCACGTTTTCTTGGTCTCTTAAACACGTCCTGCCCTTTTGGGACAAAACATTTTTCAATGTTTTGCCTTTGACTGGTGTCATCTTGCTGATCAACAAGGATAAATGTGCATCGCTTTGTAAAAGGCCAGGCTAGATTTTCATCTCGATCACTTTTCATCAAAGATATGTAAACACCCAAGTATCCGGAGTAGCCAACTGGACCTTCATTTAACTCGACAGAAAGTTTCATTCTGTATCCATGACTGGAGAAAAATGGTTCACTTTCAATATCGCCTATTTCATTATCCGAATTTGCTCGAGCAAGCTTTCTTGCGAAGTTTGCTATCTTCAAAGTGTATGCTGGTTCAGCTTCTTGGTGACATAAAGGTTGTTGCATGCTTGTTTTACTACAAGCAGAGCATGTAGAGCCCTCATGGCCTCTGGCCTGCAACACTTCTATTTTTCTCCAAAGAATGCCCAAATCCTGATCATGCTATAGCAATTGAATCAGATCATTGATATTTTTTGGCCAAAATGTACGTGTACATGTATACAAGCATGGACATGCAGTATGTGTTTAGTTTCAAAATGAGATAATTTTTAAGTTTCTGCTCTTTTTCATGTTTTTACTTTTGAATGGCTCTTATACTGTAAGTGTTGACAATTGTTTCCTGTCTCTCCAACAAGAAACTGTGCTACTATAGATCCGGAACTTTAGAAAATGAATAATTTGATATACCTGATTTAAACATTAATAATTTATTTCAGACATTATTTTATTTATACACACTGACCTTTGCTTTGACTTGCTTCAACTCATTCTCATGCTGAAAATTATTAGATTAATTAATACAAAATGGGCATATGAAGGAAATACATTGACTGATCACTAATGTGCAAAATATTACAAATGACAACCAAAAAATGTAAATGTTCTGATTGGTAAAGCTAGGCTATTTCTGCCAGTTGAAATCATTGCATGCAATTTAATTTTGCCCCTATTGCAATTAATGTAGAAATATAAGTCAATTAATCACTAAAATACTAAAATTCTTTAAAATATGAAAGTAGGAAACTTCATATGTTGGAAACATATAACCAAACAATTTGAACTTTTTGATGGACTGTTCATGCTTTAAAAGACAAATTAATGAATTACAATTAATTGAGATGGTAGCCAGAAAACAATACTGCACTGTACTAATACTGCAATTTCTATGCATTGACAACGGTAATATTACCTCTAACTTCAGTCTTTTAATATCTTCTTCATGCTATTTAATATATTAATAGAAAAAACAACTACTCAAAAATGTGAGCCACATTTAATTAAAAGCAGATAAAAAACTGTCAATCTGTACATCAATCACAAACCTTTTTCTCCAAGGTATTAACTTTCAGCATGAGGCTTTCAAGCTTCTGCTCAAGCTTACTAACATCAAGTTGATTATTGTTTTCTGCACTGCGGATCAAAAAGTGGCAGCTATTCTGATGATCCTTGATTAATGAGATAATACATTTTATAGCAGTATTATATAATTCCATACAGCCAATTTTAAACACCATTTGGAAGTACTATATTATTAATACACCCACTTTTTACATTCCAAATATGGTCATACCTGTAGTAAAGAACCTAAACACCCCACCCAGCTACATCCTTCATTACAACAGTTGACATCAAGTTGTTTGATCACTCTCCTTGCTGCTTGATCTTCAAATATCTATTTGTCAGTATAAAACAGCATAAACATTATACTAGTCGATCTGGCACCACTACAGTCTTATAATAACCATGTTCCAGCAGGGTGACTGCTTCTGTTTACGGTGCTTGTGATTAACGAATCATATGGAAAAATAGCGCATGTGCAAAAAACATTAGAGAGGACTTGTGCATGGTATTCTGTAACAATTAAGGAGACACTAGACAGTCAACCCTAACATCATTTAATTTTTTATTAATTGCCCCAGAAATAGCAAATGAACTGATATCCAAAATTCACCAAAACTACCCAAAACATTGGTTAATGAAACATACAATATGATACCATACTGTACCTTGGCACCTGATATGTCAATTCTGCAGGTGGGGCACCTAGGATCATTCCTATATTTAAATTAATCAAATATGGTGGCATGGTGCTTTCAATTTCTCCCATTTATCTGAGCTGTTATATGCAGTAAATTATACTGGCAACCACATTTTTTTACATATGTGTCAAGTCGTATGTATACATAAATAGACCTTTCACACGGCAATAAGAGTTTATTACGTCGGTGATATTATTCATAATCAAAGGAAAAATTTCATAAGGTGTCTTTAATTGACTACAGTTTGACAAGACTTAGTGACAACATACAGTAAAGAACCATGTTTGCAGCAAGCCTTACTTGAGAATATCTTCAATACAGAGCTCACAAAATTGATGTCCACAATCTCGTATTTGCACAGGGTCTTTTAAAACCTCAAGACATATTGCACATTCCCAGTAATTTCTGGCCGCATTCTGGTCCTTAATTAAACCATTTCAATGGATGACCAGAATTTCCAGTCGTTGCCATCCTTGGGCAAAACACCTCCTAACTGCAAAACATTTTGCTTTAATGAAGTAAAAGTTTGAAACAGAATTATTGATTGCTCACTTCGATTCAGTCCTTGCAACTTTGTTCTTAAATTCCTGGATATACTTTTGTTTGAAAGTTGATGATCTCAAATAGTCAAATAAGCTGGATTGTGCAATCTCTATGTCGCTCCCTTACCACCCAGGTGCTTAGCAAAAAATAAAAGATCACCATTTCGATCCTTTGTTCTTTCAATAAATTTAGTGGAAAAAACGAAAGTACATGTGCAGGCAATCAAACAGAAGTGACGATAAAAGTAGTATTTTAGTCTAGATATTGTTTTAAGTCAGATAGCAAGCATAATCCAAAGTTTTAAATTGTCGATAAGTAATGTCCTTATTCGAAACTTTTTAAGTGTAAGGGTAATATGGCATTAATCATCATGATACAGAATATAACAGACTAAATTTCTAAGAGAACTAAATTCTAATTTCAACCTGGCGCTGTCTTTCATGGATCAACTATGATTTTAATGTACACAGCGTGATCCCTAATGTATTGACGAGTGTGCAAAGTTGTATGCAGAACAAAGTCCGGAAAACCACGACCAGTGTTAGCGCGCTGTCGTGGTCGCTTGAAGTTATTCTCTCCTTCTGGAACAAAAGACTTCTGGATGTTCTGTCTTTTACCAACATCATCTTGTTGGTCAACGAGAACAAAGCTGCAACGCTTTGTGAAAGGCCAGGGTAAAATTCCATCGCGATCACTCATTAACAAACCCATGTAAACACCCAAAAAGCCAACATAATTTCTTGGTCCTTCGTTGAGATTCACCTCTAGTCGCATTTTGTAACCATGAATCGAGAAAAATGGTTCACTTTCCAGAGAACCAAGTTGGTTATCCGATCTGGCAATTAAAAGCTTTCTTGTGAAGTTTGCAATCTTCCAAGTGTACGCTGGTTCAGGTTCTGGCGGGGTTAAAGGTTTCTGAACTTTTTGTGGAGCATGTGCAGCTTGTGCCGATTGTGACACTAAGAACTCCTCTCTGAGTGCTTTCAAATCTTCATCGTGCTAAAACAATTTGAGTGTTGCAAAGTTAACATAAATCAGATATTTGCTTTCTTAAACATTGCATGAGACCTTAGTTGAAATGCATTAGAATTTCTCTTATTATGATATGAGATAGAGCAGGACTATGATATGAGATAGAGCAGGCATGGCTTGATATTTTACATTTTAAATTTTACATTTTTACTGATAATCAAAGTTACAGTTGAGTTACCTTCGACTTGAGTTGTTTCAACTCGTTCTCATGCTGTAATGTTTAAAAATTAGAATGTCACAAAAAAACTCTAAGTCTAACGCTGCAAGAAAACTCCCTAAAATGATAATTAAAATAACATTCTTCTATTTACACATGCAGTATTGCCAGTATACACTACAATTCTATTTGAGGCAATTTAGCTTATCTCTAAAACTATTACCTTCAACGTAAGTTCTTTAATATCATCTTCTTGCTGGTAATATTTAAAGACAGTGATGTTATGAAAGTAATAGCCAAATTGTGAGTTGCGACAGAACAATTCACGACTCTCACCTTTTTCTCTAAAGTAGAAACTTTTAACATGAGAATTTGAAGTTTTCGCTGAAGTTTCCAAACATCAAGTTGATGGGCATTGTCAGCCCTGCCTATCAAAAAGTTGCAGCTATTCTGATGGTCCTAAATTGACGAGATTAACAGTTTTGTACGCATATACTAACTTTTTGTCATGCGGGAAAAAGCATGATAGAATTACGACAACTGCGAAGTTTGCGGTAGAATGTTGTTAAACGCGGAAAATAAAAATTTTATTGCCTTGTAAAGTTTGGCGGAAATTTTAAATTTACAACCGATTTTGTGCACAAGATTACAAGAACATGCATTTTACAACATTTTGCAGTCAAATGTTTATTCCCTCATGCCTAGATAAGACATTAGTCCAACATACAAGATGTTCATTATTTTACTTCATCGTGACAAGTCGTCCAACTTTCTAAAAAACTCGCAGGTACCATACCTGTAGTAGAGAGCTTAAACATCCCATCCAGCTACATCCTTCATTACAACAATTAACATGAAGTTGTTTGATTTGTCGCCTAGCAGCTTGATCTTCAAATATCTAGTGTAATGTAATAACAAATGGACAAGATGTCCACTAGATGCCACTCAAAAGTTAAAGACCCACTTCAGATCAATTGTCTGATGTCTGGCAGCCATTAGAGGCGTTTGTGATGGGTTTATTTCCCGCTAGCGTAAGTTAAAATAAAATTAATCTTAAGAAAACATTAATGTCCAGAAGTGAACATTTTAAATAATGATATTTATAATATAATATTTATAGTACGCGCGTGCTGATTGGTCGAGAAGCATGTTTCTATAGCTGTATAGTCAGTATAGAAACACGGGACTTTTCCCGCCCAACTTGACAAGCGAAGTAATGTAATGAGAATTTGTAATTGAATCGAACTATAATATTTGTGCAAAATCTTTTTATTGAGTTATAGTATAAAAGAAATAGCAATAATTTTATAATTCTATAACTGTATAAAAACACGGGAAAAATAACTCGAAATAACTGATTATATCTCGTTCTCCCAAACTCCCCCACGCGCGTTTCTATAATGATATTACAAAGATATCGAAACACATTACAAACTATTTTCATGCAATATGTCTTATACATATTAGCTAGGCTAAGTAACTAAGATGTTATTTTATTTGTCTCATTTAATTTGACTTATGTAATCATAAACTGATAATATAGATATTTACAAGTTATTTCATTCATTTATTATCCTATACGTACCTTGGCATATGATATGTCAATCCTACATGATGGGCATCGAGGATCAGACCTGTCAAATTATTAATGCTGTATGCACAATGCATATTACCGTATAATATATATCAGATTGACTTCACTAATAGGTAATAGAGTTATATGGTTATATGCTAACTCCATTGTGCTTATATAATTAGACAACACATACCAGCTTGCAATCATAATTATTAGTTGTATTTTTTATTTAATTCTATCAAATAATATCAATGTTGTTTTCCAAATATTGTATAATGGATTAACTCAAGGAAGGTGACACCCCCCCTCTTGCAACACTCTTTCTTCAGTACAGACCCACAGTTAGTGGAAAGGGGGCTCTCCCATCTCCCACTGCTAATAAATTTGAAACAACACATGAAATTTTTACTCCGGCGCCAGCGACGGAGTTGAAAATTCGCCCCGGTTTTGTTTTGTTGTTGTTGTTGTTGTTTTTTTTATTTTTCGTCGTCGCAAGTGAATTGGCGCGAAACATTCTAGTATTTTCCGATGTGCGATTCGATTTCGCTCGCATGATAAGGCAATTCCTCCAAGAGGAACAAATAAACCGTTGTTTTCATGCTGTTCGATTAAGTTTAGATTGAATTGGGGTAAGAATATATTTAATACATGTAGATTCTGGTCCTATTTTAATAATATCGGTGCTATTTCGCCGTTTAACAAGATGATGTGGTCGTGTATGGGCGCGTTGACACCTCGCAGTTTGCACAGGATTGAAGATATACAATATAAGCGCGAATTCTAAAGGCAAAGTGTAAGACAAAGCGAATGAATCATGCGGTTTATTTACATTTTTTAACAATTGAACTTCTATACTTTTTAAAGTACGATGTGCTTCTGAATTTTGCGATCGAACATTTATAGATTCGCAAGGCATTTAAATGCGAATATGAACTGTATTGTTTATGTTCAGAAGCTCTATAATAAAGACTGGCACGTCCGCCGGAGTTAACGCCAGAACAGGCGTCTTGTTTATTTTAAAATTTAATTTTCACCTACTTAGTTTTTATGTGGATAGTTTATGTATTATAATTTTTATGTAAAACTCTGTGAACAATACCTGAGGATATCTTGAATACAGAGCTCACAAAATTGATGTCCACAGTCTTGTATTTGCACAGGGTCTTTCAAAACCTCCAGACATATTGCGCATTCATAAGCATGTCTTGCTGCATTCTGGTCCTTGAACCACTTCATGGGATGACCAGAATGACCATTTGTAGCCATTTTATTGCTTAAACATCAGTGTGATTTTGGAAAGATACTGCATGTTCCGACAAGTGTTCGATTAAAGCCGTGTTATATTTCCCCAGAATTGTTGTTCTAAGAATGGTATTAAATTACTTCCCTTGACCTTGTGAAAGCGGTACAATATCAAATTTTTGCTGACGCAGAGCACAAAATATTGCAACCGTGTTTACACTACAACTGAACAACCCCAGTGGCCGTTGGAGTTATGCGCCTTATTTCGGTGAATGTAGCAGACACGTAATCGTATAGTTTTGACTTTTGATTGTTTATTAATTAACACTGATACTGATCTATATATACAATATTAAGAATTATAAGTAAAGTAATAATGTAAACAAGACGCCTGCTCAAGGCGTTACTCCGCCTGCAGGTGAAGAAACTACAGGTGACAAAAGGTCACAAAATGAGGTGATTTTGCTTTTTGTACTGTTGTCTGTCATACTTTTGGGATTTTTTGTTATACATTTTGTATTCATTAATATGAAATTATTCATTGATTGATGCATCTTTATTCATTGATGTAACTTTATTTTATTATAATGATGTAACTTCATTCAGTTGCTTAACTTTGTTTACAGATGTAACTTCATTAATTAATATAACTTTATTCATTGTAACTTCATTGTTGGCATTCAAAGTTAAGTTGGCATTCAAAGGTGACTTAAATTGGTATTCAAATGTGACTTGGTATACAAATGTGACTTGGTATTCGAATGTGACTTGGTATTCAAATGTGCATTCATGGAATTCACACTCAGGGACATAAATTTTTTTTGCAACTTCCTGCAAATGAGCACCAAAACCTGGAAATTAGAACAAAAATAGGGTTTTATAAGTTTGGCAAATCAATCCTGTGATAGAAACCCCTTTTAACCCTGTTATCACTCGCTACTCTGGTTTATATAAATGATCACAAAGCCTGGTCAAATTGTAATCAGGACTTAACGTTTCGACAGTCCAGTCTACTGTCTTTATCAGGGGTGATCTGACATCATACCCAAGGGATGATGTCACCTGCCAATAAGATGCATATATTCCTCTGGCAAATGGGCACTGTCGTCCCTATTCAGAGCATGATTACTCATATTCATATGCCACGCTTTTACGCAAAGTCTTCGACCATGTATCAATTGTTAGTGGTAATTACTTTAGAGTTTTCCCATGCAATCTTGTGTTTCATGTCACACAGGTGCTCTGCCAAGGAAAAACTCTAAAGTAATTACCACTAACAATCGATATGGTCAAAGACTTTGCGTAGAAGCGTGGAATATAAAGATCATGCTCTGAATAAGGATGACGGTGGCGATTTGCCAAAGGAATATATGCATCTCATTGGCAGGTGACATCATCCCTTGGTTATTTAAGAAGCTTCAATTCCAGCTTTAGATCACCCCTGATGAAGACAGTAGACTGGACTGTCAAATTTTGGGTCCTGATTACAATTCGACCAGGCTTTGTAATAATTTATACATTTATATTTGTGATAAAAGAATATCTTGGTGTAATCTGAAGTACGACACAACTTGGCCATTTTTGATTCTGTGAAACCAATTGCAAAGAAACATGTTTCATATAAAAATTCATTGCCGAATTGAGGCATTTTATAAAACAGGCTTTAAAATAGACTCTAGTAAATAGAAATATCGAATTCTTAAACATGCAGGGTCGCTAAACTTGTAGTATGTATAATTTCTGAGAGCAAACAGTACTTTGTATATACCTAGTTTGTATTAAAACACTACGTCAACGTGAATCACTAAATCAACTATAAAACAGAAAATCTTGGGTATACTAATATGCAATTACCGCCACAGCATATGAATACAATCTAAATCTTAATAACTTACCCTTGTAGTTGTTGAACATGGTTCTGAAAGCTCTTTCAATTCGACATTCATATTTTTCAATTTTTCACAACGAAGGAACCTCGATTCAAACACGAGGCACAAGGCCACGAAGAAAAATAAACATTGCACAAAATCAACCCAAAACCTCCCTAAATGCCAACTGATGTACATATTGATGTACATAATTCATCCGTGTAACCCAGGGCTTCTCGGTCAAAATGTTTTGGGTTACCTGTAGAAATGCCAACTTCTGTCGCCCAAAACTACGACTACTACGACTACTAAAAGGAAAAAAGACCATGGCATTTTAAGACTCCGCTGCGCATACGCAGGCGGAGTAATGAGTTAAGAAACTTAATCGTTACTACTTACTTCTTCCAGTTCTTTGGCGTGTCCTCAGGGCTACATTCAATATTTATCTGGTTAGCAAATTAACTGAACATTCTACAATACAGGTTAGCTTTTCTTTTAGATCCTTTCGATAGGAGTTCCTAGTCTCAATTAGATTTAATTTTAACATACAATGTACTTTGTCATGTCAAACTGACACAAACTAATATAATTGTTTCCTGAGCGCCTCACGAACCACCCAGGTTGTGCATAATTTTGATTTTATGTTACATACTAAAGTCTTAGATAAAATCTATACAAGCTGTTTAATCCATTGATGAAATATACATAAGATTGATAAGAACCTATTTGAACACTGTTTAATCAATTCTTTTTCATTAAAAATATATTTAGAACAGTTAAGAAAAGTTTAGAACGGCTCTTTTATGGATCTATCACAATCATGATACATACAGTGTCATCCCTAATGTAATCACGAGTTTCTAGAGTTGAATGTAACACAAACTTTTGTCTTCCTTGACCTTCGCCTATGTCCTGTATTGGTCTCTGAAAATTCTTTTCTTCTTTTGGAATGATTACTTTACTGACATTTTGTCTTTGACTAGGATCGTCTTGCTGATCAAGGAGAATAAATGTGAAACGCTTCTTGAATGGCCAAGACAGAAAGACATCTCGATCACTTTTCATTAAATTAACATAAACACCCATGTAACCTTCACACCCCCTTGCACCTTCATTTAAATACATCGTAAGCCTCATTTTGTATCCGTGCCTGGAGAAAAAATCTCCACTTTCCAAAGCGCCAAGACTATTCCGTGCAATTGCATCAACCAACTGCGCTGTAAAATTTGGTATTTGCCAAATGTAATCTGCTTCAGGCTTCTGGTAGGACGATGGTTGCTGCACTACTTCTGGAACGCGTGCACGAATCATCGCCTGCATCGTCTCAATTTTCTGTCCAAGAAGTTTCATCTCTTCATCGTACTACAGGAATTTAAAACGCATATTTAAGATTTTCGATCAAACGAAATTTTTCGCTCGATTTTCTTTTCAATTGTGACCGGTGAAGAGAATCCGCTACGGTCGAATTCAGGCTCACAATTGAAAAGAATATTTGAAAAGAAAATCGGGCGAAAAATTTCGTTCAGTCGAAAAATTCCGCCTAGCTGCATTTATAAACCGGGAAAAACTTCCTCGAAACGGAAAATTTTCCGGGAAGCGCATGCGCAGTAGAACCTTTTTAAATTTCGGAAATATTTCTGTTCCGAGGAAAAAACACAAAGTACATTCATTTGAAATTTTGTGAAAAATCTTTCATTTGGAAAATTTTTCTCCAAAAACTTTTACTTTCCGTTCCGTTCCAATGAAACTTTTCCGATGTGTATTTTTCGATAGAAATCGATCTTGTATTGATTGTTACGTTATGTGGTGATATCATGAGGCCTAGGACCTAAATCTGTTATGCAACAAGCAAAAAGCAAATAAATATGGCAGATAATATTGATCACTTTATATACTTGAAACAGTTTTGCATATTCATGACATCTCCATTTTTTCGCCTTATTTTTTTTTGAACACTGCCATAATATGTCGGATAATTTATGAAAATTTGGACAGATGCTCCTCTTTATCATAGCTAACAAAAGCTGAATACCTTTTTTGAAAATGTTGATATATAATCTTAAGCCGATTCATGCAGAAACAACATTGTTGGAAGCAACAGTCAGCCTGACCATTAATGGAAGGAAATGATTGGGGGGGGGCAAAACTTATAACTTTAAATCCAAGTTTTCACTGAGCCCATGTTAGAACGACTAAATTGCTACTGTTAGATGTTTTGTGTTAAACGTATGAACAATAGTTTGAGATACGACTTTTGATACAGACATATAGTAAGATTTTCAATGTGACAATATTCTCTGTCTATCTGGAGCGCACATTACGCTGTAACAATAGACATTACAATATAACATTTATAGCACGCGTGCTGATTGGTCAAGAAGCGTGTTTCTATATAACTGTATAGAAACGCGGGACTTTTCCCGCCAAACTTGACAAGGGAAATAATGTAATGAGAATTTGTATTTGAATCGAATTATAATATTTGTACAGAAGCTTTTTATTGAGTTATATTATAAAAGAAATCGAAAACATTTTTTCCTGTGTTTCAATACAGTTATAGAAACACTTGTAGGAGTTTGGGAGTTGCCACCATTCGCTCATAGACAACGAAGGCGAGTTGTCTAATTGTTTTAGTATACACACTGTACCTAGATATATTAATTTCGAGAAAATAATCGATACACCGCAATTACACCGAAAAATAATTTAATTAATTCAATTTTATACGGTCGCGCGAGCGAATTTTTCCCAAACGTTCACCATCACGTGAAAACAATTCATCACGTGAAAACAATTCATCACGAATAGACAATGGTCGAGTAGCCAATCAGAATGTAGGATTTGTAATAGACAATAGTCGGGTGTATACTAAAAATGTATAGAAAAACCCGGAAAATGTTTTCTATTTCTTAATTGTGTAAAGGTGAGCCTTTAACTTGAATTGCTTCAAATCATTTTCAGACTTTTCATTCTAAGAAGTATAAAATAGGAAGACGGTAAGATGGCAGAGTTGTGGCTTAAGAAATCATGGTAATAAATTTGTATACAACATTTTAATACTTAAAACATGATGACATGACCGCGAACGACAAAAAAATACGAAAGCGATCGAAGATATTTAAAAAACGTGTAGGTACGAAATTGACAAAAACGACTCTGAATATAGGATTGTATGATTGTATAGATTTCCTCGTTGGTATTAATAAAGAGTTTTTTTCTGCGTAGATTTTACAAAATTTAATCTCACATTAACGTAACTCTATTTAATTGTATTTCTAACTGTTGTTATCGTTAAGAAAATCAGTACTAGACAACTGATTTCTCCGCCAAATACAGTTATCGTTATGGCAATTTATGGCTCTACGACGATCTTGATAAACACAGCGTGGTCTCTGATGTATTGACGAGAACGTAGAGTTGAATGTTTGATAAACTCATCCGTCCCCCGACTTTTATTCTCGCGTTGTCTTGGTCTTTTAAACTCTTTTTCGCCCTCTGGGACCATAATGTGTTCAACGTTTTGTCTTTGCGCAATATCATCTTGTTGATCAACAAGAATAAACGTAGTTTTCTTTGTGAATGGCCAAGGAAGAGTTCCATCACGATCACCTTTCACTAATGTTAGGTAAATTCCCGTGTATCCCGATCTGTCACGCGGACCTTCGTTCAAACAAACCAAGACTTTCAATTTGTAACCATGGCTAGAAAAAAATGGTTCACTCTCCAGATCACCACAATCGTTGTCGGATATTGCTCTAGCAAGCTTTCTTGTGATGTTTGCTATTTTCCAAGTATAGGCTGGTTCAGCCTCCTTTAAAGGAACCTTGGACAAGGATGGAGCATGCGCAGTTGCTAAGATCTCATGCTGAAGAATTCTTACGTCTTCGTCATGCTAAAATTAAACAAGAAATATACATGGTTACTGCCATTTTTTGGTTTTATGATATGTAATAGGATAATCACCACAATAGATGGGAATGATGCTTTAATATGCTTGCATATTAGGGGCAAATTACCTATATGTAATAAAGATAATTTATTAATGGTAATTATGAAATTTAAGGCAAAGAGTTTAGATACCATGTTGCATCAAGTCTTTCCGATTCATAATTAATATTCCCAATAAAACCACTACTCTTGCAATGAAGAATAATATAACTAAATGTTGTAACTATTGCTCCATATTCATTTTCTTCAATTCATTTTCACACTTTTCATTCACTAATATTATTGAAATGTTTATGCAAAACAAAATAGCAATTTTAACTCAAAAATTGTGACAAAAAACTTACCTTCAAATGGATCTGTTTAAAATCATTTTCATACTGGAATATGAACAAGAAAATGTTGATCTTTTGAAAAAACTACCCAAGTAGCACTGTTCTACCAGACTGGAAAAAAGCTCACTTAAATTGCACCAAAATCACAACATGTTTCGCATTAAGTAGCTTTCTAAGTTGGTCATAAATCATTCAAGTTTATGCTGCTAATGCTTGTATAGCCAGCTAACCAGGTCCCTCATCGCTTAATTACGTTGAAGTAAAGGTGAATTGATAATAAACTATTTTTGGAGGATGCACAGCACACATAGTCATAGCATTTTTAATTCAAATTTTTCAAAGATTTCTTACATCCTAATTTATGTTGGGTCTGCAATCAAATTTAAAAAATTTATTCAGACAGCCTTACCATTTTTATTTTTCAATACTTTCCATGCACAATAAACAAATTATTGCCCTTATTATATTTATACAAAGCAAACATGAACAAAACACCTGACAATTTTTGGCAAAATATTTCTTACTTGGCTTAAGAAAGTTACACTGACCTTTTCCTGAACCTTCTTCAACTCAGTTTCATGCTGAAATAATAAAAAAATAATAAATATAATAAAATAATAAAATAAAAATAGTGACCGGCCCTTAAAGGGAACTGCTACGGTCGAATTCAGGCTCACAATTAAGACCGACCCTTAAAGGGAACCGCTACGGTTGATTGAGGCTCACAATTCAAAACAATACTCAGGTTCGCCTTCGTTGACTATTCGCTCATAGACAACTCGGACTCGTTGTCTAATTGTTAAGAGGAGATTTTTTATTATGTCTATTATGTCGCGTATTTTGGCGGGAAAACGCTCAAAACCTAAAATCTTTTCGGCGTACCACTCAAAATCCATTTATTTTACCGTTATTCTTTAGATTATGTTGTGGACTAAGTTTTGAACTGTATTTGGTGAATGCAAAACACCAAACAAAGGAGTTATTACAAAATATAATGCGGCGGCTATCAACAATGTTATAATGTCAACGCCATTATAACTGAAATGAATACAAAAGAAGCTTCGATTCAAGTGTCATTTTCTTCTCGGCGTATCCCGAGAAAGCTTTTCATTTTCACAATATTTTGAGATTATACAGTAAACATACTTTGTGGATGCTTTTCAGGTTTGCAAAACATTTTTAATGCTGAAAATTTTAGTGCTGTTACATGAAGATATATAACTGAGGTTTTGAGCGTATATTACGCGACATAGAAAAATATCTCCTCCTAAATAGAAACACTTGTGGGAGTTTGGGAAAACTCGAAATAACGTGAAAAAACTCTCCCTACGGGGCTTGTACGGGCTCGTTCTTCGACCCCCACGCGTGTGTCTATAACTGTATAGAAACACGAAAAATGTTTTCTATTTCTTCATTGTGTAAAGGTGAGCCTTTAACTTGAATTGCTTCAACTCATTTTAAGACTTTTCATTCTAAGAAGTATAAAATGTAGGAAGACAGTAAGATGGCAGAGTTGTGGCTAAAGAAGTCATGGTAAAAAAATTGTATGCAGCATCTTAATACTTAAAACATGATGACATGACCGCGAACGACAAAAAAATACGAAAGCGATCGAAGATATTCTTTAATGCAGATTATGTTACGAAATCACTCTAGAGGGACTTTTTTTATTTCCATTGATCTAAAACCCCGTAACTAAGGCCTAAGTCGGTTGCTAAGGAGGGTAAACAACTAGGTATGGTCCTTATGATGCAAAATAAACATAATTTATGATGCAAATAGTATAGTTTGATGCTGATTCTAGCTTTGTTATGGTTCAAAGAGTAATAATACAACATGTCTGAAAAATATCAAAATTCTAGAAAAAAAAATTTTTTTCAGGATTATTCTACCTTAAAAAACGTGTAGGTACGAAATTGACAATAACGACTCTGAAAGGGAATATAGGATTAAAAGGAAATATAGGATCATCGCTGGTATTAATAAAGAGTTTTTTCTGCGTCGATTTTACAAATGCATGGCAACAAACCGTAATTGTAAAATTTAATCTCACATTAACGTAACTCTATTTAATTGTATTTTTAACTGTTGTTATCGTTAAGAAAATCAGTACTAGACAACTGATTTCTCAGTCCGCCAAATACAGTTATCGTTATGGCAATTTATGGCTCAACGACGATCTTGATAAACACAGCGTGGTCTCTGATGTATTGACGAGAACGTAGAGTTGAATGTTTGATAAAGTTACTCGTCCCACAACCTTCATTCTCGCGTTGTCTTGGTCTCTTAAACTGTTTTTCGCCCTCTGGGACCATAATGTGTTCAACGTTTTGTCTTTGCGCTATGTCATCTTGCTGATCAACAAGAATAAACGTAGTTTTCTTTGTGAAAGGCCAAGGAAGAGTTCCATCACGATCACCTTTCACTAATATGAGGTAAATTCCCATGTATCCCGATCTGTCACGCGGACCTTCGTTCAGATAAACCAAGACTTTCAATTTGTAACCAAGGCTAGAAAAAAATGGTTCACTCTCCAGATCACCACAATCGTTGTCGGATATTGCTCTAGCAAGCTTCCTTGTGAAGTTTGCTATTTTCCAAGTATATGCTGGTTCAGCCTCCTGTAAAGGCACCTTGGACAAGGATGGAGCATGGGCAGTTGCTAAGATCTCATGCCGAAGAATTCTTACGTCTTCGTCATGCTAAAATGAAACAAAAAATATATAGTTACCGCCATTTTTTGGTTTTAAGATATGTAATAAGATAATAATAACACAATAGATGGGAATAATGCGCTTTAATATGCTTGCATATTAGGGGAAAAGTACCTATAATTTATTTAAATAATAATAAATAAAGAGAATTTATCAGTGGTAATTATGAAATTTAAGGCCAAGAGCTTAGATACCATGTTGCATCAATTCTTTGCAATTCATAATAATTATTCCCAATAAAACCACTACTCTTGCAATGAAGAATAATATAATTAACTAAATGTTGTAACTATTGCTCCATAAAAGTTAAACTTAACCTTCAGGTCCTTCAATTTCCCACTTTTCATTCACTAATATTATTGAAATATTCATGCAAAACAAAATATGCAATTTTAACTCAAAAATTGTGACAAAAAACTGACCTTTAAATGGATCTGTTTCAAATCATTTTCATATTGGAATATGAACAAGAAAATGTTGATCTTTTGAAAAAACTACCAAAGTAGCACTGTTCCCCCAGACTGGAAAAAAGTTCACTTACATTGTACCAACAACATGTTTTATGCTGCTAATGCTTGTACAGCCTGCTAAAAAACCAGGTCCCTCATCGCTTATGTTGAAGTAAACTTGAATTGATAATGAACTATTTTTGGAGCACGCAGAGCACACATAGTCATGGCATTATTAACTGAGTTATGAATTATGATGTTAAAAGCGGTTCATGAGTCAGATGTTATTACAGTTTTTAAAGCTGCCTTTGAACTATATACTCTGAAAACTGGCCTGTCTTCTTCGTCATCCCTCTCGGAAGATTTCGTCCGAGTGTTAATTCAAATTTTTCAAAGTTTTCTTACATCTTAATCTTACATCATGTCTTTATGTTGGGTCAATCAAATTTAAATAACTTATTCAGAGAGCCTTTTACTATTTTTTATTTTTCAATACTTTCCATGCACAATAAACAATGCCCTTATTATATTTATACAACGCAAACATGAACAAAACACCTTACAATTTTTGGCAAAATAATTCTTACTTGGCTTAAGAAAGTTACACTGACCTTTTCCTGAACCCTCTTCAACTCAGTTTCATGCTGAAATAATAAAAAATAATAAATATAATAATAAAATATAATAAAATAAAAATAATATAGATATAGATAGATAGATATAGATATAAATGTGATACAAACCATCATCATATTTGTGTATTATATATACATTTCTTCCAAATGTTCTTATAATTACCTTCAATTTCAGTTCTTTAATATCTTCTTCATGCTGTGTAATAAATTTATTTAATACGTATGTTACTGGTCAAAAATATCCCAGACAAATGTACAGTTCTAAATAATTTCTAAATAATTCCAATAAAAATCACCTTCTTTTCTTGTTTTTCCAAGGTAAAAACTTTCATCATGAGAGTTTCAAGTTTTTTCTCAAGTTTACCAACATCAAGTTGATTGACATTGTCAGCACTGCGGATCAAAAATTTGCAGGCATTTTGATGATCCTATGTTGAACAAATTGATCATCATATACAAGTGATGTTTCCTGTCCTCTTTTTAGTTAACCTAATTTTATCTATAATATAACATTTATAGTACGCGCTTGCTGATTGGTCGAGAAGCGTGTTTCTATAACTGTTATAGAAACACGGGAATTTTCCCGCCGAACTTGGCAAGCGAAGCGATGTAATGAGAATTTGTAATTGAATCGAATTATAATATTTGTACAAAATCTTTTTATCGAGTTATATTATAAAAGAAATAGAAAACGTTTTTCCTGTGTTTCTATACAGTTATAGAAACACTTGTGGGAGTTTGGGAGAACTCGAAATAACGTGGAAAAACTCGCCCTACGGGCTCGTTTTTCCACTGATTATTTCTCGTTCTCCCAAACTCCCACGCGTGTTTCTATAACTGTATAGAAACACAGAAAATGTTTTCTATTTCTTAAAGGGTACCAGGGGACAGGCTGGGAGACAATTCCTACACCTGTTAATTTCCTACACCTGTTAAATTGTTAGGTTGACTGTATGTACTCCTACACCTGTTAATTTGTTAGGTTGACTGTATGCATGTACTGTATAACCACCTAGAGTACAATCTGGTTCTAGCATTAATCCTCCCAGCCATATGAGTTGAGATGTCAGTTGCATTTCCCTAGCTGTTATAATGCCGGTTGATGCGTGCATTGGAGTAATATGCTAGAAGGCATCGGGATAAACACTTCCCCAAATATTTGTCAGTTGTCATACCTGTAGTAAAGAGGTTAAACACCCCACCCAGCTACATCCTTCATTACAACAATTTACATCAAGCTGATTGATCATTCTTTTTGCAGCTTGATCTTCAAATATCTATTGTGAAATAAAAATTGAGAACATATTAAGGTTCTGCTACTTCAAATCATTGCCAGTAATTCCTTTCCTCATCCAACTTATCATCAAAATCGTCTCAATCCATATATACAAAGAAAATTACCTTGACACCTGATATATCAATTCTACATGTAGGGCATCGAGGATCAACCCTATTGAATTTATATAATATATTAATTAGGACATATTTTCAAACAGGCAGGGTTTTCACTGTAACACTCTACTGTAACACAAGGGTAGATAGCCCGTAGAACTACAAGCATAAGAGGACGAAGCAGATATTACACTTCAACATGGCTTTTGCTTTTCCTGCATAATGACAATGATGTGTACTGTTAAAGTGTAGTATAAAATACTCAGTGGCTATGTAAATTTCATGTTATTATAATTATTCATGTCTTTAGAAATTTATTGTTTTCACAGTCAATGAACACCAAAATATTGGCATATTATAGCCGGACAAATCGTCAGGCTGGCTACGCTACTGAAGATACTACAGTCTACACTCCAGTAAGCATGAACTCTCGATTAAAACATTACTAGACATATATTCTATACAGTATAATTATTTTTATTATTTAAAATGTGAACCTTACTTGAGAATATCTTCAATACAGAGCTCACAAAATTGATGTCCACAATCTCGTATTTGCACAGGGTCTTTTAAAACCTCCAGACATATTGCGCATTCCCAATAATTTCTGGCCGCATTCTGGTCCTTAAACCATTTCAATGGATGACCAGAATTTCCAATCGTTGCCATCCTTGTACAAAACACCTAACCGCAAAACATTTCGTTTTAATGAAGTAAAAGTTTGAAACAGTCCTTGCAACTTTGTTCTTAAATTCCTGGATACCTTTTGTTTTGAAAGTTGATGATCTCACATAGTCAAATAAGCTGGATTGGCTTTGCATACTGAGATTTTAATCTGAGATTAAAATTAGATTATAGACCCTTTCGATAATTACGTCACAACATTATTGTTTTAAATTTAGAAGTTAGAACGATCGTAATTAAAAGAGATGGATTTCAACCGAAGTTTTACTTTCACGAGCCATGTGAAAAGATACAAAACATCGTTCTTCATCACATGCATGAAATCGAACTCTGTGGAAAATGAAATGTCAAATGTACCTAAGAAGCCGTAACACTAAAACGAAGCTACAAGGCCACGACCCTCGCCCTCGAGTAATGGCTTTTTTCCACACTTATTTGTCAAAATTTATAACGATAATGCTAGGAATCAAACCTACGCTTTGGGGATGCCGGTACAATGCACTTGCCACACGCACAAAGCTACTGAAGTAGCTAAGAAGAGCAAAGTTTGTTGGTGCGAAATAGACCTTTTGTCTAGTAAAACACCAGTAAGAGCCTATTCTGGTCCTGAAACCACTTCAATGGATGACCAGAAACCTAAAATGACCGTTTGTTGCCATAGTGCATGACGGAAGAAGATTATTCAGGGACAAATCGCTTTGATGATTACAAAGTCAAAGTGGTTAGAAAAAAAGATTAAATTGTTTGCTTGTTGCATACTTGCATTGCCTAAATTCCTGGATTTGTCAGCGAATGCAGTTCACTTCCGTTTTATCTGATCGGAACTGATAAACTAAATTAACCAATTCGTGGAAAAGTGGAACACACAATTCTCATAGGATGGCCTTCCTAGAGCTTTGAGACACGACATTTTGCAAATTCAATATATTATATGAGACTATGAGTAGAATTGCAGAAATATTAAAAGCGAAATATTACCATAACCTTCATACAACAATGTTGTCTTATTTTTCCAGGAATCTGGCAACCCTGGAAGGTAGTACGAAAACGAGGCACGCATTGCTTTTTATTATTTTTTAAATACAGTACTCAGTAAACAGTAGCCAGTTTTCATTCAGTTGCAACACAGCAGATTCTAAAAGTTCCTATCAATTGCTGGAAAAAATCCTCTTTTGCAATCAGTACAGTTACATGACAGTTAGGCATTGTATGACATATTACTTATTACATATTACTACTTTACAGTTTTAATATCGACATTAAAATCGTTGTGTTCACGGGTCGACTACAACCATGATAAATAGAGTGCCATTCTTAATGTATCCACGAGTATTTAGAATTGCATGTGTAACAAAATTTTCATATCCACGACCAACATTCTCAACCCCCTGAGGTCTTTCAAAATTTCTCTCTCCTCTTGGGACTATTGATTCCTCGATATCTTGTCTTTGACTCGGGTCATTTTGCTGATCGACAAGGATAAATGTGAAACGCTTTGTAAAAGGCCATGGCAGAAGTGCATCTTGATCTCCCTTCATTAAAAGTAAATAAATACCCATGCAGCCGGGGTACCCTATTGATTCTTGGTTTAAATTGAGTCGAAGCTTCATTTTGTAACCATCTCTTGAGAAAAACGGCTCACTTTCCAAACGACCAATTACGTTTTGTAATATCGCCTGATGATATTTTCTTGCAAAATCTCTTATTCTCCAAGTGTAGGTTACCACACGTTCCTGGTGATTGCTAAAATTGGACGTTGCCAATAGTTGCTGGTTTCCCTGAGGGGCACTCATGATTCTCATGGTATAGACCGTTAGGATTTCGTTAAATTCCTGCCTAAGTTGGTCCAGATCTTGGTTATGCTACAGGAAAAAAAAGAATTGACATATGCGTGGCTAAGAATCTTCCTAAATAGACTAACGCCTGTATTCTGAAACCTCACTCTCACTCACACTCATGGAGTGTGACACTAAAATCGCGTTCCTGCTGGTCAATGAGAGAGTCCCATCTCAATCGACAGCGAGAGTTTGAGCAAAATATTCAACATCAAGCTCTCATTACTCCGCCTGCGTATGCGCAGCGGAGTCTTAATATGCCATAGTCTTTTTTCCTTTTAGTAGTCGTAGTTTTGGGCGACAGAAGTTGGCGTTTCTACAGGTAACCCAAAACAGCTTCATTTTTCACCGAGAAGCCCTGGGTTACACGGTCCACGGAGTGAACGCCTTGAGCAGGCGTCTTGTTTCAGTTGAAATACCGCGCTGAATAATTAATACGATTATGATCTCCCACTCAATGAGTGAGGATGTTAGTAAGGGTTTAGAATACAGGCGTAGGATTTATATTTGTATTAACGGTTTAAATGTTTTAACAAATCAACGGTCACAACGGAGGAAAAAACGTACGATTTCATAACAAACCGAAAAAGCTGGGAAATTATGCAAGTCGTTTCTTTAACCACTAGGCTAAAGAGAACATTGCCAGTTGGAGAGAGAAAACTACGTTTTTAATAGTGTTCGGGTGGGGCGCTTTCAAAGGTGTCACTTAAGGATCATGAAATGTAGCCACTCCTGTTTTACTTTTATATCGGGTATCCTGCAGCCAGCTTTATAAAATTTGCAGTCACTTTTAAAATCTAAGGAGCGAGTGACAGTTCCGGCTATACATGCTCAATAGTGTATTCTTTATTTGAAAACAAAAACATCATGAAATCATAAAAACAAACTGACCTGTTCTTTCATCTGCCTCATCTCGTTTTCATGTTGCAATGATTGGAGTGCAAGCTTAACAAAAAAACACCTAATATTTATGACATATGCCCCAAGACAGCCCAAGAAGTATGTGTGTGTGGCTGTACTATTGCGCTGTCATGCCCCTTTATGTGATGCTTAAATGCTTTTGTTCAACACAACCTATAAATCATAAATGAAATTGCTATCCCTCCAATCACGCAAAAGTTATTGAATATAGCTAGTGCTAAAAACAAATGAGATATGAAAGTTATAAACCTGATCTGCATATGTTACCTTCTGTTCCAAAGTTGAGACTTTTACCACAAGTGCTTCAAGTTTATCTGCATCAAGTTGATGGACAGCATCCCTACCATGAGTGCAGTTTTTTTGATGATCCTGGATCGAAAGTACATTATGCACATAAACGCGTGATTTAGATAAATTACAGAAATATTGTGACTCAATGTTAATATTTAATGCAAAACTAACCTCATATAAATCCCATTGTAACCCTAATCACTTGATCTAAATTCTAATCCTAATCTTGAATGATCCTTGATCTTTTTTCACAACTACAATTCTAAGCTATAATTCTATTCTGTATAAGTCTGTATAACCTTAGTTCCTTGATCTTTTATATAACCATGCATAATTCTGACCCAACCCTAATTCCAGTCTATAACCTTATATAGTTCTTTCCTAATTCAAACCTTGCCTAATTTAGACCTAAATCTATAAGGCAAATCCTAAACTTAACCTCAAATACCGAACCTGTAGAAGCGAGCTGAGGCATCCCTGCCAGCTACATCCTTCGTTGCAACAGTTAACATCAAGTTGTTGAATCAATCTTCTCGCTGCGTTATCTTCAAATATCTAGTGAAGCACAGATGGTGAGGTTTGATTGCAACCTTGGTCACCTTTGTGAGAGCCCGAGCATGGTAATTATTTTAGAAGCAATATAAAGAGCTATAAACATACCATTGCCTCCGATATTTCTATTCTGCATGATGGACATCGAGCATTAATCCTGAAGGGAAAGTATATTTAGACCACGTACTCGTGTGAACGACATTAAAATTTGAGCAAACACTGATCGATCTTGAAAAACAAGTTCTGACTTCTCATCTCTCTGGATAGTATTCATTGGGCGTAAATTTATATTTATTCAGTGCTGATCGAACCGTGTATGCCCTAGCTAAAACGTGTTATTTCCCAGTAATGTCTTATCACATAAATTGTAGATTGATATTCTATAGGTACCACTATATACGGCGATTTATGCACGTCAATTATGTAGATTACTGCATGCATGGGTATACATGCTGAATTATTCCAGCAATGGAGAAAATTTCGATCTATAGACTTGAACGAAATCTAACACCACAGCTGGAAAAAGCATCTTGAGACGAGTAAAAGTATAGAAATGTATAAAATCACGCATAAGGATGAATTATTGACAAAGTTTTAGGAATTTCGCTAGATGGAGATAACCTTAATCATAGCAGGAAATTATATACATGAAAGAGATAACCAGGGGATCGAGCGATTGAGAAAACTAAACTATTTTCAGCGCACATAATACAAATATTTACGAGATTTGCAGGACTTTATAGTCCTAATTTTAAGGCTGTGTTATACTATGCAACTTCCCTTTCAACTTGCAATGCAATTCTAATCCTGATGCATCTAAAGCTGACAAATACGAACATTTCTTACGATCTGCTAACGTTTTCTGCAAATCATTTCGAACATTCGGCAAATTAATATCCCTCAAAACAATAATTGCATTGCAAGTTGCAAGGAAAATTGCATAGTTTAACAGCGCCTTTACATTTCGAAACCAAATCTTTTGATCATTCTAAAATGGTCTTTACTCTAGTTGTGGTGATGAAGATTTCATTTTTTCTGCCCTGATCAAAATTTGTACTCTTATCAGTTATCATGGCAACATCCAACGGGAAAGCGAGGAGTATACATACAGTCAATCTTATACCTGAGATTACTTGCGATACAAACCGCACAAAATTGATGTCCGCAATCTCTTATTTGCACAGGATCTTTCAAAACCTCCAGACATATTGCGCATTCATAAGCATGTCTTGCTGCATGCTGGTCCTTGAACCACTTCATGGGATGACCAGAATGACCATTTGTAGCCATTTTATTGCTTAAACATCAGTGTGAATATGGAAAGATACTGCATGTTCCGACAAGTGTTCGATCAAAGCCGCGTTATATTTCCCCAGAATTGTTGTTCTAAGAATGGTATCAAATTACTTCCGTTGTGATTAAAGTTATACGATATCAAATTTGGCTGACGCTGAGCACAAAATATTGCAAGCGTGTTTACACTGCAACTAAACAACCCCAGGTTGTGCATAATTTTGATTTCTTTGTTATATACTGAAGTCTTAGATTATTCCAATGATGAAATATACATAGGAACCTATTTGAAATACACTGTTCAAGTCAGGATACAGTTCCATCTAAATTCCTTTTCATTAAATCCAGATTTAAAAGTTTAGAATCGCTCTTTTATGGATCTATCACAATCATTATATATACAGTGTCATCTCTAATGTAATGGCCAGTTTCTAGAGTTGAATGTAACACAAACTTTTGTCTTCCTTGACCTCTCTGAAATGTTCTTGTTGGTCTCTGGAATTTCTTTTCTTCTTTTGGAGTGATTGCTACACTGACATTTCGTCTTTGACTGGGATCGTCTTGCTTATCAAGGAGAACAAATGTGAAACGCTTCTTGAATGGCCAGGGCAGAAAATCATCTCGATCACTTTTCATGAAATGAACATAAACACCCATGTAACCTTCACACCCCCTTGCACCTTCATTTAAATACGCCGTAAGCCTCATTTTGTAGCCGTGACTGGAGAAAAAATCTTCACTTTCCAAAGGGCCAAGACTATTCCGGGCAATTGCATCAACCAACTGCGCTGTAAAATTTGGTATTTGCCAAATGTAATCTGCTTCAGGCTTCTGGTAGGACGATGGTTGCTGAACTACTTCTGGAACGCGCGCACTAATCATCGCCTGCATCGTCTCAATCTTCTGTCCAAGAAGTTTCATCTCTTCATCGTGCTACAGGAATTTAGAAGGAATACTTAGGCCTGTTTTCCACTTCAACCGTACCGTAGCGAAACGTAGCGTATCTCATTGTTTTAAAGTCATTAGTTCTGGTCGAATACTCCGGAAACAAAGAAATACGCTACGTTACGCTACGATTGAAGTGGAAAACAGGCCTTAAGCTGAATTTACACACCGGGAAAAACTTCCTCGGTACGGAAAATTTTCCGGGAAGCGCATGCGCAGTAGAATCTTTTCAAATTTCATTCGGAAATATTTCTGTTCCTAAACTTGTTATAGGTGAATAAATATGGCAGATAATATTTATCACTTTCAATCTGAATGCCTTTTTTGAAAATGTTGATATATAATCTTAAGCCGATTCATGCAGAAACAACATTGTTAGAAGCAACAGTCATTAACTGAAACAAATGATCGGCAAAACTTATAACTTTAAATCCAAGTTTTCAGCCCGTGTTAGAAAGACTAGTCTAAATTGCTACTGTTAGACGTTTAGTGTTAAGCCTATAAACAAGTAGATATAACCTTTGGTGCAGACAGACAGTATAATATTTGAATAAAACGATACTCTCTGTCTATCTGGAGCACACATTACGCTGTCTCATCAATGTTAGTCATTATTGATAAAGATAGACATTGTGGAACAAGAATGATTTTGACTAATACGCACTTTTAACTTGAATTGCTTCAACTCATTTTCAGACTTTTCATTCTACGAAATATTAAAAAGGAAAGTGGTAAGATGGTAATATTTTTCTATACATACTTTTTTACTATTTAAAACAATGACATGACGAACGACAGAAATGCATATTTTAAAAAAAGCGTTGGTACGAAATTGACAAAATGGGATATGTTCGATGTAAACAGGCCCAATGCAAAGATTGTATGATTGTATAGGTTTCCTCGCTGGTAAAGTCTAAAGAGTTCAGAAATTTTTTTCTGCGTAGATGTTACAAATCCCTCTTTTTTGGGAGTCGCCACATCTTCGTTTTATTTTGCACTATTGTCTCCAAGGGAATATCAAAAGAAAAGATTTTTTAGCGATTTTAGTGGTTTTGATGCATCGTATTCTACCAGAAAATTTGAAGATTCTATACGCGTCATACAGTTTACTTTTTGCGTCTGAAATTGCGTGACAAGGCTCCTCCAAAATAAAAATTAAAAATAATTTATAAAAACATATATTCTTCAGAACATGTTTAAACTCAGATATTCAACGTATCACAATGTGTCAAGTTTTTTTCCCTTTCTAGAAACATCCTGAAACAATGCCATGACTACAAACCGTAATTGTAACATTTAATCTAACATTAACTGAACTCTAACTATATCTGTTTTTCTAACTGTTGTTATGGTCAAGAAATTCAGTACTAGACAACTACAGCAAATAGAGTTATCGTTATAGCCACTTATGAATCTTAGTTATGGATCTAGCACGATCTTGATGTACACAGCGTGGTCTCTGATGTATAGACGAGTACGTAGAGTTGAATGTTTGATAAAGTCATCCGTCCCATAACCTATATTCTCGCGTTGTCTTGGTCTCTTAAACTCTTTTTGGCCCTCTGGGACCATAATGTATTCAACGTTTTGTCTTTGCGCAATATCATCTTGCTGATCAACAAGAATAAACGTAGTTTTCTTTGTGAAAGGCCAAGGAAGAATTCCATCACGATCACCTTTCACTAATATCAGGTAAATTCCCATGTATCCCGATCTACCACCCGGACCTTCGTTCAGATAAACCGAGACTTTCATTTTGTAACCATGGCTAGAAAAAAATGGTTCACTATCCAGTTTACCATAATCGTTGTCAGATATCGCTCTAGCAAGCTTTCTTGTGAAGTTTGCTATCTTCCAAGTATATGCTGGTTCAGCCTCTTGTAAAGGCACCTGGGACAAGGATGGAGCATAGGCAGTTGCTAAGATCTCATGCCGAAGAATTCTTACGTCTTCGTCATGCTAAAATAAAACAAAAATACACATGATTACTGCCATTTTTTGGTTTTATGATATGTAATAAGATAATATTACCATGTTATTGCATCATTGCGAACTAAAAAAATACAAGGCATTTGCGGATCATAATACTTAGTCCCAATAAAACTCCTATTCTTGAAATGAAGAATGATATAACTTAATGTTGTAACTATTGCTCCATATAAAAGTTAAACTTAACCTTCAACTTTAAGTGCTTCAATTCATTTTCACACTTTTCATTCTGTAAAATTATTGATATGTTTATGTAAAACCATAGGCGGCCCAGAACTGATCTCACTGACCTCGCGCTACGCTCATGTTGTCTGAACAGTCTTATATTATATAAGACTGTTCAGACAACATGAGCGTAGCGCGAGGTCAGTGAGATCAGTTCTGGGCCGCCTATGGTAAAACAATAAAATAGCAATTTTAACTCAAAAATTGTGACAAAAAACTTACCTTCAAATGGATCTGTTTCAAATCATTTTCATACTGGAATATGAACAAAAAATATTGATCTTTCGAAAAAACTACCAAAGTAGCACTGTTCCACCAGACTGGAAAAAAGCTCACTTTAAATAATTGCACCAAAATCACAACACGATTTTGCATTAAGTAGCTTTCTAAGTTGGTCAAAAATCATTCAAGTTTATGCTGCTAATGCTTGTACAGCCTGCTAACTTCTGCTAACTAGGTCCCTCATCGCTTATGTTGAAGTAAAGGTGAATTGATAATGAACTATTTTTGGAGCACGCACAGCACACATCTAGTCATAGCATTATTTAGATCAAAATTTTCAAAGATCTCTTACATCTTAATTTATGTTGGGTCAATCAAATTGCCCTTATTATATTTATACGAAGCAAACATGAACGAAACACCTGACAATTTTTGGCAATCAAGTTACACTGACCTTTTCCTGAACCTTCTTCAACTCAGTTTCATGCTGAAAAAATAAAAAAATAAATATAATAAAATAATTCTTACTTGGCTTAAGAAAATTACACTGACCTTTTCCTGAACTTTCTTCAACTCAGTTTCATGCTGAAATAATAAAAAAATAAATATAATAAAATAATAAAATAAAAATAATATAGATATAGATAGATAGATATAGATATAAATGTGATACAAACCATTATCATATTTGTGTATTATAAGCTATATAAATTATTAAGATACATTCCTTCCAAATGTTCTCATAATTACCTTCAATTTCAGTTCTTTAATATCTTCTTCATGCTGTGTAATAAATTTATTTAATATAGGTACATCACTGGTCAAAGATATCTCAGACAAATGTACAGTTCTAACAATTCCAGCTAGATATTTGATAATTTTGACCAATAAAAATCACCTTCTTTTCTTGTTTTTCCAAGGTAAAAACGTTCATCATGAGAGTTTCAAGTTTTTTCTCAAGTTTGCCAACATCAAGTTGATTGACATTGTCAGCACTGCGGATCAAAAATTTGCAGGCATTTTGATGATCCTATGTTGAACAAATCGATCATCATACAAGTGATGTTTCCTGTTCTCTTTTTAGTCAACCTAATTTTATAGGGTACCAGAGGACAAGAGGGGGGCAAGGGTATTTTCGTGATCTGTGATTAGCATCATTTCTGTATTTCCGTGACTCGTGAAGACCTAAAACGCTGGCAAAGGCATCTTATTTTCCCCAATATTTTACCACTATTTATAATTTTTTAGATTAAATACTGGGCCCCAACTAAACGAAAGGTAGAATAGTCAAAACAGTAGCTTTCCGCCTAATTTCCCAGTCTTCCCGCTGCAAAGTCAACTAGACGTAAAAATCGTGAAAATGAAATGATCTTCTTCGTGATTTGTGAAATCTTAAAAACACCTTTGTGATTTCATGACAAGACCCCCCCTTGCCCCCCCCCCAGGACAGGCTGGGAGACAATTCCAAAGTTGACTGTATGTACTGTATAAACACCCAGAGTACAATCTGGTTCTAGCAATCTTCCCTGCCATATGAGTTGAGATGTCAGTTGCATTTCCAGTTGTACCTAATGCTGGTTGACGTATGCATTGGAGTAACTTCTAGTTTAGTTGCATAGAGAAAATATGCTACAAGGCATTGGGATAGACACTTCCCCAAATATTTGTCAGTTTCATACCTGTAGTAAAGAGGTTAAACACCCCATCCAGCTACATCCTTCATTACAACAATTTACATCAAGTTGATTGATCATTCTCCTTGCAGCTTGATCTTCAAATATCTATTGTGAAATAACAAGAGAGCATATTAATTAATGTTCTGCTACTACTTCAAATCATTTCCAATTCCTTTCCTCATCCAACTTATCACCAAAATCTGTAATCCATATATACAAAGAAAATTACCTTGGCACCTGATATGTCAATTCTACATGTAGGGCATCGAGGATCAACCCTATTGAATTTATATAATATATTAATTAGGAAATATTTTCAAACAGGCAGGGTTTTCACTGTAACACTCTACTGTAACACAAGGGTAGATAGCCTGTAGAACTACAAACATAAGAGGACAAAGCAGATACTACACTTCAACATGGAATATCAATTAACGTAGAAGGTGAGGGGCTTTTGTTCTTCCTGCATAATGTTGTGTACTGTAAGATTATCAAGATACTATACACTATGCAGTAAGCGTGAACTCTCGATTAACATATTACTAGATATAGATGTTATACAGCAGGCATTATAATACGGAATTTTTACAAGGACACATATTGTCTTTAGGTTCAATAATCACTCAGTCTTAGAAATTACAACGTGAAATTACAACGCAAGCATATAAAAAAGAGCATAGCCATGCAAAGCACGGTCCGTCAGTCTCTAGCCTTTTTTAATATATAATATATTCAATAATGTCAATTTTATAATAGAAACAATAATTATTTTAAATAGTCAAATTAAAATTATATTAGACATTTTTGTCCATGAGGCATGATTTTTAACTACACGCTTTTCCATTTACTAACAAGGACACATTCGCCTTTTACAAGGACACAAAGTGTGTCAAAAACACGCGTATTATAATGCCTGTTATACAGTATAATTATTCAGCTTTAATGTGAGCCTTACTTGAGAATATCTTCAATACAGAGCTCACAAAATTGATGTCCGCAATCTCGTATTTGCACAGGGTCTTTTAAAACCTCAAGACATATTGCACATTCCCACAAATTTCTGGCCGCATTCTGGTCCTTAAACCACTTCAATGGATGACCAGAATTTCCAATCGTTGCCATTGTGGTGGAAGAATATTATTTGGGAAACAAACCGCTTTGATAACACCGAAACCAAAGCGGTTTGAAACAAAAATTAAATTACTTGCTCTTCTTTGCAATTTTGTTGCGTTGAATGCGTGCCTTTAAAATTTCCGGAATTGTCAACAAATGCTAATCACTTCCGTTTTACCTGGAATCCTGGTTCCAATGATCGGAACGAACCACAGGTGGAATACACAATTCTCATCGAATGGGCTTCCCAGAACTAAACTTGGCATTTCAAACTCCAGATTTTTGTGAATTCAATATATTAGTTGATAAGGTCACACGTTAGAATTACAGAATTACTCAATATTCTACATATATCTATAATTATGACTTGTGGATGTCTAAACTCTTATTTAGATCCAAATTCCTCCATCCATTCTGCATACTTCTTAATATCTGCTTCTGAGACGGACTTTGAAACTTTCTTCAAAGCTTCTTTGAAATCGTCCATATTGACTGGCAGATCCAGCTCCTCTTTGGGCAGATTTCGGATCTGTTCCGGAGTGAGACCTTGAATACGTCTTCTCATTGACATCATCGATGCGTCCCTGAAAAAATGAAGAAAATGATAAATATACAGCCTTGCTCCAAACTCCAAAGTGAAGTTGGAACTCGTTCCAATCATCATCTACGGGGCACCCTATTATGGTATAGTGTACCTGCAGACATTAGTAATATCAGCACCACTATAACCATCCATGCTCTCGGCAACTTCCTCGAGGACAACATTTTCAGCAAGTGCGACATCACGGAGGCATATTTTCAACAGTTCAAGTCTCCCCTTGGCTAGATAAGAGAGACGTCAGATTGAGCATATAATGGGCAGGTATTGATACATTAAACCGGTAAATATTTTCTAATTGTATTTCAGAAGGGGATCATTGCTTTAATGAGTCATCAAATGTTCCTAAACCGGACTAATTTTGTGTCGACAGAATTCCCATTATGGATGTTTAGAAGAGGTAAAGCGGGGTGCTTAGGCTTAGTGGTACAGTGAGGACTGTATTTCTCTAGCTCTTAAACTTTGTCAACCTGTTGGCAGTGGAATGTATATTCGTTTTTCCAAACGTCTTCGTAAGGCTTCGTCTAAGTCCCAAGGAAAGTTCGTCGCTGCTAGGACCATCACCAGTTTCCCATCAGCAGAAGTGGCTCCGTCCACGCCTAGCGAGAAAATTAGAGCATTTCATTTCAAGACGAGAATCTTGGGGCAAATTTTGTCAGTGCAATGCAAAGACAGCAAGTGACGCATATAACCCGAAAGTCATAAAATCGGTCGTTCTTACCGTCCATTTGCACGAGAAGTTCCGACTTCACCCGACGACTGGCTTCGTGTTCATTCTCTGTACCGCGTCGACTGCAAATCGAGTCTATTTCATCGATAAACACTGTACTAGGAGCATAAAACCTCGCCTACAAGTAAAAACCAAAATAAACAGGATGTAAACTACACAGATTTAGCACAAGAACCAAGAACAATGTTTCTCCCAAATGGGCAGAATTCAGCAATTGGATTTATCTGTTTGTGTCTACAAAACTTTGTAACAGGCATTGCATGGAAGTTAAGCATGGGAATTTTGCTCTGGAGAACAGCTTACCATTTCAAAAAGTAACCTCACAAGTTTTTCAGATTCTCCGCGATATTTTGATGTCAAAGTTGAAGAGGAAACATTGAAGAAGGTTGTGCCACATTCTGTTGCCACAGCTTTCGCCAGCATTGTTTTACCAGTTCCTGGAGGTCCCACCATACACACACCCTAGGTTAGAAACATAAAAATATAGTCATCTCTCCTTGAGTACCAATAGCTAATCTAGGGCAGTGTCCATGTGGAGCTTCAAAAATACTGACTTTATTAAAATGTTTAATAGCATTATGGTTAATAATGGTTTAATGGTATATTGGTCATTACCTTCCATGGTCGTCGTAGTCCAGTAAAATACTGTGGCATCAACAATGGCAAGACAACAGCTTCTTCTAGAAGTCGTTTCGCTTCATCCAGTTCTGCAATGTCTGACCTTTAAGTAAGATTATTCAAAATCCACAATTCTGCACAATTGTTGTTAATTTATGTTACAGGAGTTATTTAGGCCATACCAATGGACATTTGGATTCCTTTGTAAAATATCTCTTTCCAATCCCTCAACAAGATCCTTGTCGTAGCCAGATGAATCAAATTTCTTTTCATCTTCTGAATCTTTTGACTCTGGTTTCTCTTCATCCTGAAATGCAAGTAGGTCAAATTGGAATCAGAGTTTTTGGACAAGCATCCATCTTAAGTTCAAGCAAATTTAAATGACTGCAGATGACTGCCACTGGAAGTTGGACATTGTTACCTTCTTTCCACGCCCACCACCACGATTGTCCCTCTCGTTCCTTGAGGGATTTTTGGATGCTGCGGGGGCTCCACGTCCACGTTCTGGCGGTTTGGCTTCAGACCTGCGGGAATTAGAAGGCTTCCGGGCAGCAGGTTTCGACAGAGCCTGTTCTTCTCTTCTTACTGGTCTCGGAGCTGGTCTCACATTCCTGGAAATGTTATCAGTGTATTATTTCAGGGAAGAAAAATGTTATGGAGTATATGACTCATATTATGCAATAAATATCCCCCCACCTTTTCTCTCGTTCAACCGGAGTGGGTGGAGGCCAGACCTCTGGATCTCTTGTCGGCTCTTCATATCCCCCTGCCCCACCATAATGGCGTGGGGTTGGGTCTTTCTTGAAATTGTTCAATGTTTTGTTCATGTCATTAACTTGTTCATATTCTTGTGCAAGCTCTTGACGAATCTTAAATTTTAAGCGAGATAAAAATTTAAACGAAGTGGATATTTGCAATGTCCAGATCTTACTAAGCAGCAGCTGAAATTCCCTATTTCTCAAAGAGGATAAACACAAACAATCTCTTCTACCTGATGCCATTTCTGCTTGCGTACAGGATCAACAATTCCTACAACGTACTTCTGTATCTGTTGTAAAACTCCTTGAAAATAAACCAAAGATGTATCGTAGTTACCAAGCAAGGCATATTCACGCGCCATTTTCACATTTTCTACTATTTCGTCCATGGTAAACGAATGTAAACAACCGCTAGACAATGCTATCGTGCTGGTTCAAGAAAAAGTACAGTTGTATTGGCGACAAAATTATTTTAAAACCGAAAATGAGGTTCAAAATATATAAACTCTTTGCAAACGAAAACAATTCAACGGTTCACCCGATTCGAACCATCCATCGGTCGGTTAGGGCGGAAAACTGTCAAGATTTTAAACAGACAAAGTTTTCTATTTGAATAAATTTAATTTTGAACGGTTCATTTAACCATAAATATCATGCAGTTTTACATTATTTTTATTACTACGGATATCTTTTTAGCATTGTTGGGTGCAAAAATGAATTTTTATAATTCATTTACGCTGACGGTTGGTAGCCGCCAAAAATGTCGCTGGTAGTAGTGAATTATAAATAAATTTTAAAATGTGCAAATAGATCAGGTATCTTCTCAAAAAAGCTTAAAACATAAACAGATAACGATGTAAAATCGACATAATATTCTACCAAGAGTTCAAAAACAATAATTGTATAAATTTGTATTTATTCCGCTATTTATTCGATGAGCATGTTTGACATCAGGGAAACTTACACCACGTTTTAAAAACTGCTGAGCAATTATGAGCCTTCGTGCAATATTTTAAAAATTTTGGTGGAAATTTTAAAATATTAGAAGGTTTGTGCAGTCAAAATTAGTATTTTACATTGTCTTTCTGAAATGCAAATAATTTGAACAACATATAGCAGAGTAAAGTGAGCTAAATTATGAAATGTAAAGCACCACTTTGGGTTGGCCAGAGCCCAGAGGTCCTACTTGCAAAATCTAAACTAAAATCTAAAATCTCAAAATGTAGATATTAACATCTTTTATTTCTAAACTTTTATAGGATGCCAACTGCAGGCAGAGCTAGTGCAAGCGAGGAGATAGAGAGTACATGTTACTTTCCCTGCACAGAAATAGTCAATGTGGTTGAGTTCAGTCCTTATCAGAACACTTCAAGATTGATCGCATATGGTGGAGATAACCGGATATGTGTTGGATCCTGTTTGTTTGACGATGAAAATTTACAGGATTTCCAATTTGAACACCAGGTTGATATATTACATGGTGCACGAGTGGAGGCCATCTCTTGGTCACCTCAGAGCTCGATTGACCAATACCCTGGGTTGTTGAGGTAAATTAAAACCGTATGTGGAGGAGTCTTGACTAATACATCCAACTTACCAAGCCTAGATTATAGTCTATTAATATATCTCATGTTTTAAAATTCCTCGGGGTATTCCTAGTTTTACCTTGATGTTAAATATTAATGTTGTTAATCATTATCCCTATGTATTGTACATGTTAGATTTTGTACTGCTGGTGGAGATAAAAAGTTAAGATGTTTTTCTGTTGATCTGAAAAATAACTCCACAGTTCAAATGTTGGATGGTCATGAAAGTTACATAAATGATTGTGTTTTCAATCCAATACAAGGCAGCGCCATTGCAAGTGTTGGTGGTATGTACATATATCATTAAAAAATATTAGTCTATTGAGGACCAAAGGAAATTAACAAGCAACTGTATATTTGCAAAATTAGGGTGAAAGGTAATGAATGGAATGAAAATTCCACAACTTCTACCCTAATTCTGCAAATACAAATCCTAAGCTGTACACTAGTTTAAGTCAAATAAACTTTTATTATGGGTTTATATTAACAAGTAAATTATCTATCAGTAAATTGTAATTGGATATCTTCATTCCATGCAATAGTGCCAGTAATTAGTAATCAAACTAATTAATGCATTGTAGGTTGACATCATACAGGGTATACTGAATAAGGATGAGAATACGCTCTTTTCCAGCCATTCTCTAAAAAACAATAATGAGCAAATATTTTCCCGCCATTTTCTACAGAATAATAATGAGCGTGCACTTTCCCCCGTTATTTTCTAGAGAATAATAATGAGCGTAGACTTTTTCCCGCCATTTTCAAAAAAATGTTAATGATTTTCTTGCCATTTTCTACAGAATAATAATCAATGAATAATAATGATCGTACACTTTTTCCCGCCATTTTCTAGACAATAACAACGAGCAAACATTTTCCCGATATTTCATACAGAATAATAATAAGTGTACGCTTTTTTCTCGCCATTTTCTACAAAATAATGTACGCCAGTGAACAAAATAATGGCGTTATGTACGGAAGTGCGGTTTGTATGCCTATGAGAGAATGTTCAATGCTTATAAGCAATTGTTTATATAAGCATTTGCAAGTGTTTATAAAACTTTTCATCAGGTGAAGCGAAAAGAGGTAGTTGGGTACATTTTACAGCACAACGCGAATAAATAAATATGGCCTTTATATGAAAACCCTGGCTACGGGGCATCGGGCAGGTTAGTGCTATGTCATGCAAAATAACAGAAATCGACCAAGAAACATGTATTTTATGACATGTCATTTGCTTCAATTTAAACTACTACTTTTTCTCCATATCAGTGAAAATTAAGTTATGAAAATTTGGCCATTTGTGACAAGGTTTCTGAACTGATGCTGCTATACGCATCAAGCATGTGCATTCTGGCACTACCGGGGCCTTTAACCGCTGGATCTTTAACAGCCAGTTCAGCTGCGATTCCAAACACGCTCAATGCGCATGCACAACTTTTCATCACGTGATCGACGTCTGTTGAATCGCCTAAACAAACAAATGCCGCCATAACAGCTGTCAACGCACACCCTGCTGCGGTGATCTTCGTCAGCACTGGATGGCCATTCGACACTGTGATCACCCTGCTGCCATCAGTCACGAAGTCGTCTTTTCCAGTTACCACGACAACACAGTGACACTCAAGGGCAAGGGCCTTGGCAGACCCAAGGGCGTGGTCGGAACTCTGGCTACTGTCAACCCCTTTTTGAGCACCATCTAGAAAAGATAATACAGCGTTAGACAAAATCTTGATCGGGGAAAGGAGAATGGAATCCAGGTACACAGTTCAACTATTACGTTGTATAAGTTATCCGTACCTGATGATTCAACATCGAGTCTTTTGCAAACACTTTTGGCCAGAGCCATAATCTCAGAAGCATTGCCTCTAATCGCTGTGGGTTTATAAGAAAGAGCCAGTTCGGTCGCAGTCTTTGTCCGCAAGCTGGTGGCACCCACGCCTACTGGATCCAACACCCATGGTTTCCCTAGTTCACGTGCCTTGGCTGCAACCTTGTGCATGGACCTGATCCACGGGACAGAGAGTGTTCCAATATTGATCAGCAATGCTGAGGCCAAACCAATAAACTCTTCTACTTCCTCTTCAGCTAGAAATGAATGCTTCATATTAGTAGGTTTTAACGTTTCTCTAAAGTGTTATACCGCTCTTATAGTCAGTGCGTCGTACGTGGAAGGATTGATCGTATCGTTTTATCTCAGTCTATCAGTCATGACCCTAAAACAAAATTGTCAAGAGGAATGGTTGGGGATGGAATGGATGAGAATATGGCAATAACAATGAATATGCAAATAGATCAGATCAAAAAATCGATAACAATCGAAAACGTGAATCTAAACAATACCATTGCTACGGGCAGAAAAACACGAAACGTCTAATTTGGTCTCCAAATTATTAGTATGTCACGTGCATTATTAGTATGTCACGTGCAAAAAAATACTAAAATACTGATGAACGTTTGAGCATCTTAATTTCAGCGAAGAGTCTCCATCCTCCCTCACCCTCAAGTAGTGAAACATTAAAGACCACGTCTGTTCAAGTTTTATTCTGAGCCAATATCTTACACTCGATCCAAGTCTCGCTCAGTTTGGATCTTGATCATCCAGTGAGTATTAAGAGATCAGTGTAAAGCTCAAAACAGCGAGGACGACTTAAAGGATGTTTTATTTTGTAAGTGGAAGCTGGGTCATAGTCTGTGAGTTGTTGAATTGCTTGTTCCACTTGCTCATTACTGGCGATTGTCGATCGAATGTCGAAAGAAGTCACCTAAGAAACAATTTGTGCTCATACCGGGTTACTGGTTAGTAGAAGTTTGACATTAATACCCCAGTTACAATATAGCTACCAGCCTACCAAGTCTGCAATCATGTCTGCTTTTCAACTTGCCCTACCGGCGCTGCCTACGAGTACATTGTGACTGATATATAATTTCACGTGCAAAACTAATCTTTAGCAGTTAAATATGCCGTGGTGATGCGAGTCGGGTGCCGTGTGATTGTGGCCCGCCACATGCAACAAATACGAATTTAATAAATTGTGACAAAGACATAGAAATTTCGACACCACACGTAAATATTGTGTAATCTTAGGATGCTAAGACAAGTTGTGTAGCATATATCACTCACCGTGTGCCATAGCGGGTGATGCTCCTATTGCAAGAAGAGTGTTTGCCATGATATCCATAGACACATAGTTTGTAATGCATTGAACAAGTGGACTATCTGTTCTTAGCTTTTGAAGTAGGCCGGCGCATTCATCACAAGAGACTGAGATTGGTTTGTTGTGATGTGTTGACCGAGACATGTTTCTGTGTAACGGAAGTATAGCGCTGCAAAGGTATAGCTTTTATACATTTGTTGATGTATGTGCAAGCGGAAGTAGATCTTAAGTTCAGGAAGCACCCCCTCCTCTGAACTGCTAAGGACGCATCGCAACGTCAGCTTGAGATGTTTTTCATCAGATATTAAAATGACCTCTGCCGCTCTGAAGCTCAAGTTCAAGAGAAATCTTCATATAAAAAGATACAACACATGATTTTTCATTGAACCGTTCTAGGACAGAAATCTTCTGGCCATGCCCATGATGAAATAACAAGTTTATGTTTATAATTTTGGTCCATTTCAGCCATCAGTAAATAACAACACCCCGTGGGAAGTAAATAAGAACACCCCGTGCGAAGTAAATGGAGAGGCTCCCCCCGGATACAATCACAGAACGGGAAATTACTAGTTTCCAAGAAGATGGGGCTATTTGTTTACGAGCTGTGTTCTGTCAGAAATGGGTTGATCTCTTGAGGAAGGGAATAGAGCACAATCGCCTCCATCCATCCGAAAAGACAAAACGCAAGGGTCACTCTCCTCTGTTTTTTCACGACTACGACAACTGGGAAGACATTCCGGAATACAAGGAATTTCTTCTCCACTCCCCAGTTGCAGAGGTAGCGGGACGACTTTCCCGGTCTGCGGTAAGGCAAATTGCCTCTTCTTTATGCAAGGGTGTAGACTTACCTTTTATATTAGGGAATATTGAAATTGGTTTAAATTTTGCGCATGGACAACATAGTTAAATTGATTTTCATTAAAAGTCATTACAATAACCCGTTATCATCCACTATCTTCGTGTCATAATCCCCGCTCGAGGTTTCCAGCGACCAAACCTGCCACATTTAACTAAATATTCTATAATCGATGAGTTATCTGACCGACGTTGTCAATTTTCCCAGAAAATCGCGCTGTATTCCAATCACGTTATCGTGAAAGACAGCGGGTCAACGGTGGAAACACCATGGCACCAAGATCAGGCTTACTATGAAGTCGATGGACAACAGGAAAGTATTGTTTTAAAAGGACTCTACCCATGGAAAACGAAACGATACATAACATGAATAGCATTGTTTTGCAATAATATATTACTGGCAAGCATGAATGAATCAGTTTGTCCTCTTTTTAGTTGCATTCACGCAGTGTTTTGGCTGAAGTTTTTGAGATTACTGTTGAAGTATCGTTACCGGAGTACATAAGAAATCGAGACATATATCAGAGTATTGAATGCCTTTGTATTCGTAGAAAAAGTTCAGCAAAATGCACCTATGATCAGCTTGTTGCATCAGCATCTGCATATATTGCTGCGTGATTCATGAAAAACCATCTGCATAACAGATCCTCCACCACACCTTCATTCATTTTCTCTGAAACCTAAACGTGTTGTGTGTGACACATACTTATGAAGAGAATTTTGTTATCATAGGTATGTTCCGTGTGGCTTCCTGTCGACCCACTCACAGAGCACACGTGTCTCCGTCTTGCGAAAGGTTCTCACAAGTCACCTAACTATTTCAAACCGGTTCACTTTAACGGCCCTCTATTCAGCCCTTACGAAATCAAACCTGGAAAAGAAGAGCAAGCGAAAGAGTTTCTGTCGCCAGATTTTGATGGAAACGACCAATACCAAATCCTATCCTGGAATATGGAGGTGGGTTCCCCATGGAAACATTAAAACATCCTTTCTGCTATTCAAGTCATCCGCTTCTCTGGCTATTCAGATGTCTCCATAACACATGCTAGAGTATAATTATACTCTAAAGAACGTTTTTATCCACATTTCCTTTGATTGAAATTAGTTTTGCGCGCGAACTTGTGCGGTTATTCACTCGGTTTTAGAAAGATAGCTGATCGCTATTCTTTGTGTTTTAGCCCGGAGACTGCATTGTTTTTCACATGAAAACGGTTCACAGTGCTCATGGTAACAACCTACAAACGCCGCATCGAGCCTTCTCCACAAGGTGGCTTGGTGACGACGCGGTCAAGGGTGAACGACCGTGGATGAATTTGCCACCAAGCACTCAGATGAATGGTTTAGTAAAAGGAGATAAACTCGTCGATTCTGGATCATTCCCCGTTGTTTGGAACGTGTAATGGAAATTTTTGCTGATTTCTGATCAATGGTTAATGGATTTGCTGTTTTGACTCATTCAGAACGGTTTTAAACGGGCTGGCCTTTTAACATAATATAGAGAAAAGAAAGCCTAAAAGGATAAAAATCATATACTAAAGGCTGTTAGAAGCCTAGAAAGGAGCGGTGCAATTTTTCTTTAAAACAGAGCGAGGTCTCCTCACATGAAAAGTATTCTGATTCAAGGGACATTAATTTTGACAGACAGTTCCGTCAAGGATAACCGAGCATGTACTTTAGGTGTTCACTTTAATAGTTTACCGAACCTATAATTAACATGAACAGTTTTCTGTACTTAGCATTTTCTGTACATTAAATGGAACAACAACTGCATTTTGCTTCTCATTTACTGCGCATGCGTGTCCTATCAACCGGCACAGCTTGTACCAACCTATTCTGTATGACGTCAACCCGATTTTGATCAGCTTGAAGACTAATTACTTGGATGGGGGGCAGTCTATTATCGCCCTAATTGGAATTTATACAAAAGAAATTTTCAGTGCTGTTTTCGAATGAAAATCATGAATAGTTGTCATTACCAGCTCTTGCAAGTATTCGAGCCAAACTGCTTCATATTTTACGTCAAGCTAAATCGTTTACATGACTTTTGTGAACTTATCTGGGTTCCTATATAGACGACCACACATGTCGTATTTGGGATGTTGAAAGTGGTCAAGAAACAGCTTTGTTGCGTCTAACATCCCCTGGTGTTTCAGTCAAGTGGATTCCAAATGAACCCAACAAGGTGTGTAACCGTTTAGGATGATATCTCCAACTTCCTAGACGGAGTAGTTAATAAAGAACTCTCTGAATGTAATTGTCATCAAACCTGGTTGAACAAAAGCCAAAAGAAAATAAGAACACTCCTGGATGTTTTGGCCTAAAGCAATGGTGGAAAGGAGTTTGTAAATTTAGAAGCATGCACTGTCTTGATTTGGGTTGAAACGTCGGGGCCTATTTTAGCCCGTCGCTCCTAAATCAAATTTTATTATCGCTCCATTCCAAAGGAAATCATTTGTCTTGTTTGATATTTAAATAGTTTTTGGTCGCGCAGAAGAATGGTACAATACGGATATACGATATTGTTAGCCAGCGCCCGTTCATGTCACTCAGCACTCTAACCTCACCGCTAAAGTGTGTTGATTGGTCGACCGCTAATCCAATCAGGATCGGGGGCGTTGTATCGAACGAGTGGGAGATTTGGGATATTTCTCAATACAGGTCGGTATTACAAATCTGTCGAATCGTTGAGTATAACATTCATTGTATTCATATTGAAAAGAAAATATCTTATATTTTCAGTTCGCCTCAAGCAAGCAAGGAAGCTCATGTTGAAGGCGCTGTTAACTTCAGGTAACTGATGCATTATCAGATTTTCTTCCTTTAGTCTTTACACACAGTTTGTTATACCTAGGTCTCCATGAGCACAGCACGTAATGTTTTGTATGCATGGCTCAGTTCTGTTGGTTGCGATAAGGGCAAGCACTGTCTCTCATTTCGTTCCAAACATTCTAGCGAATCCTTCAAAACTTAGGAGTTATCAATGCAAAGTTGAATCACAAAGATTTCAATTTTGTTAGCTAGCCTGTGGTCTAATGCAAGCAATTTCACCGTCTTACTATAGGTGGTGTAAGTTGACCGATGGAATATTTGCCACCACAGGACGTCCTGGAAACCAGATCAAAGTTTTCCAAGTCGGTCACCATAAGGTAAGCCATTGACACAACGTTTGCTCTAATCCTGTGAACCATTCTCATTTCCAAGACTTTTTGACCATACTGTGTGGTACCAGGTAACCTTGAAGCAGATGCATATATGCTTAGCAAATGGGAGCGATTTTAAAGTGGTAAATTCTTTCAGAACCCCGTGACTGCAAACTTAAAAGTTGGCGGAGGTTTGTCGTGGCACAGTCGACTTCCAATTTGCGCTGTCGGGGGTGACCACGCTGTACACTTATGGCGATTGGAACTTTAACTAACAAACATACACGAACCACAATGAGCTGTAATCGTACGAAACTAAAAATACCCTTACAGGTTCACATTTTTATATAAAGGGATGCTTGGGAGTCCCCCAGATGTTTTGCTTTAGCTTTTGGACGCTGAAATTCGGGCGTATGGCACGATTATAGGCCATTTTAGGTTTTTTTTAAACGGCAAAATCCTTAAGTTACAGAATCCAGATACATTGAGCGTACGAATTTCTTAAGAATTAAGAATTGCGAACAGTATATTGTGCGTTGGAATTTATTAGAAACCGAATGTATTAAAGTATGTCATGCAGTTGATTACTATCCGAATGCAAACATCCCATAGCTATGAATAAGCCTGAATCTCGAATTACTTGATATTACAAACTCTGAAGTGAGTCTCCGATGGGGTAATGTTAAGTTATAATTTATGCTACGCTAATCGATGCTATACCAGTATTTACATATATATAAATAACACCAACACTATATACATCATCACACACGGTTCTGATCAGTCCATTGAACTAAAATTATTATTCCTAATCGAGTGAAATGCCAAAAATCGCAATGAAAATATAATATAGGATAATGGCAACCTTGGTGAACCTGCAAACAGAAATTTCAGGTTCTCTGTTAGACGGTTAGTTAGTTCCTCACATGCAATACACGTGTGTCTCGAGGTGAAATATATAGGCACAGAACGGTAGCCTTTCAAAGATTAGTTCAATGAATTAGTCATCAGAACCTCACAACCAATTTTTTTTTCAATACCCAGTTCAATGATTGTAGCTATAACAAGTCGGGTACACAAATAATTTAATATAACTACAACTTGTCATGTTGCCACGCAGCTTCATAAGAGCAAGACTTCCTGCAAAAATAAACATTTGAAGTAAATAAACATACAGTATACAAATGAGGAATTTGCTGGCATTTTTTACCATAGTGGTTTAGTTCAGTACTTTACTTTTCCAATGAATAGTTTTTGGAAAGCGATTTCCACAGACATTTTGATGTTCGAGATAATGTGAAATTTCAGATTACGTAACCATACTTCAAGTTAGAAATCTGAACTAATCTGAACTAATCTCGTATTTAATCTCCCTTTTGTCCTTTACATTCAGTGCAATTTGAAAGATGCATGAATGCCTAAACAAAAGGTTCACGCGAAGATAGATGTAAGATTTACCTAACAGGGGTAAATCCGCTAGCGATTCTGATTTAAACAGATTTTACAGTGAGTTTCGTGGACTAAAACCGCATAGGGCCTGCTTGGATTACCAAAGCCAGTTTACCACTAGCGATGTTAGGGCAAATTGGAACTATGGATGGGGGTACATTTGATGTGAATATCGAGCATTAGTCTGCAATGAATTTTAATCGCATTGAAAGGGATTTTTTCTAGTTTACTGTAAATTACCAAAGATTTTTTACCAAAGTACTCCTTCCAATGGTACATTGCTATACGGGCGTTAAGCACTTCGAAGAAAACAGTTTCAACCTAATAATCTTAGGAAAGAAGGTTTACGACTTACATAATCGTCATCAGATAATTCATCGGGATCTGATTTTTGCCCCTTTCTTCGGAAGATATCTCCAAATAACGATGATGGGCTGTCGTCACCAGAGTTTCGTATTGTGACGGAATGTTTTCTATTTACATCCTCGAGTTTATTTTGTCTCCTATCCCCCGCCAGAAGCAAACCTTCATCACTTCCTTTCAACTGAGCGCCTTCAACGCAGATGGTATTTTTGGTCGAACACGATTCCAGGCTCTTTTCTTTCCGGCCGAATGTTCGAAAGTCGTTAGAAATCGAGGGTGGAGGATTTTCACACCCTGTTCACCATCGTTCGTGCTTTGTTGCCATTTTACTGTGTGTTGATTTCTTTGTTTTGTGTTTTCGTCTTTTTTCCTCCTGTTATCTTCAGTTTGTTTCTTGTTTAGTTGCCTCTGTTTAGCATCACGTTTCTTCTGTCCTGCATTTTCTTTGCTTTCATGTGCGTTTTTCTTGATAGGGCTCGCACTTTCTTTTCCGATCGCACCACCATCGTCCCCTTTCTTCGAACTTTCGCCAACCTTCGGTGGACATTCCTCTTGTATATTCTCGGTAAACTCTTCATGATGGAACAAATCGTCAAATTCTCGACCAGCTAACTTTTGTATCTTGACCGTCTGTCTGTCCCTTAAACTGTCTAAACAAGACATGCTGTTTATTTTGTCAGGGGAATTTGTAGAGGCGTACTTAAGCTTACGTTTTCTTGACTGCTTTACCAAATCCTGAGTAAGAATATCTGTAGGCAAATTCTCAAATGCATTCGTTTCTCCGGGTGGAGACGAATCTGGTTTTTCATTTGGTAATTTGATTAAATCATGTGATCTGTCCTCAGATTCCTCCATAACTTTTTCCCCAACGCATTTGTTGTTACGTCCTGAAGTCTTTTTTTTCGCAGGGGCTTGTTTATAAATCTCGTGGTTTCTCCGCGCCTTTCCAGATCCTTTATTCCTTCCCGCTGCGCCACTCGGCGTCTGTGTACTCTCAACGAAAGGCTGTTGAAATATTTTGTGAACTTCAGCCAATGAATTACCACGCTTCTGTTCGCCTCGGATAGTCGCTTTCTCGACCTCGGACAAGCCTCCTGGCAGGAGATTCCCTGTTGAGCTCACATCACTGCTAGGCGTATCGAACACAGATTCTTTTCTTGGTAAACGTTTTGGCGTTTCATTTTCGTTCTTGGTTTGGGCCGATAACATCTTACTTTTGTCTTCATCACTCTTGCGATACGTTTTAATTTCCTGCAGATCCTTACAAGTAGGAACTTTATCATAGAATGGTCGGAAATTTGACGATTTTGGTGGAGTAATTAAACCGTAATTGTCGTCTATAGTCACTGGTGATCTGTTTTGCTTTGTCGTCGATGTAACCACAAGCGTCAACCGCTCCTTAGAAATAGGGCTGGTCTTATCTTCGGAAAACGATTTTGTCCTGTCACTTTTTGTGTGAAACACGCCAGTATTTGAAGAAACTACCCCTGTCTCGTCATCAGAAAGTGCATCAAAAAACGAATCCAAACTCGACAGCTTTTCTGGCAACGATTTTTTTATAATACTTCTTTTGTTTCTGCTTTTAGTAACCGAAGGGCTTCCTTCTTTATCTGAAAGTTCTTGCAAGTTGGCCGAGTTTTTCGAAGATGGTTTTTTTACTTTGGCATTCAGTGAATGCGAGTTACTGGCTGTTTGCGGGACCTGGTGCCGACTACCTCCCGCAACAGACGCGTTTGTGCTTGAGCACACTTCATCGGAACGAGTTGTCGAGGAAATTATTTCATGCAATGAATTTGAGTATTGTTCGTTTTGGTACTCATTCGACGTCGTTGTCGAGGTAGCTTCTCTTACTTTGGGTAAAATGGTGGTTGTTCTGGCTTTGTTTGTAGAGTTACCTTCTATTTTCCTTGATCGAAGTGTTTTTGTTTCCTCACTATATCTTCCACCTGCAGTAAATGTCAAAGTTTCAAGATTCTCCGTTTCTTTTGCTTTAGACGTCTGAATGTCACCCTTCGATTTTGTCGTTCTCTTCGAGAGTGTACAAAATATTTCTGGTCAACTTTGTCAGAGTTCGGCTTATATCGCCGATCCGGGGTCCTTCGAGCCGGAGGTGGATTAGAATTTTCCTCTTTGTCACTCGATACTTTTGAGCTGTCGTTAAAGATTGCTTCAGGAGAAGTAGTTGCATTACTAATCGTGTTTATTTTCCTGTTTGACGATCCTTTTTGAAAGCCCCGTTTTTCAACAACTGTCCTATTAGTCCTTCGAACCTTGTCAGATGCTAACTCTTCGTGACTGGCTACACTCGACGAATCTTTAGTAGTCTCAGAAGAAATGATTGGATTCTCCTCACCTACCACCAGGTGTGTTGAACTCATCGGAGTTCCTTTCAATATTCTTTTCTCTGGCAGCAATAGGTAGTCCTTCGAGCAGGAGAGATACTGTTATCTATTTCCTTCTCAGCGACGCTTTTCCCCGAGGTGGTTTTAATTTCCGGAGACAAAGCCGGAGTTGTAGCCGGTGATTTACTCCGCGTCATGCGTGGCGTCCTACTGTTAATGTTATCCTCTGGCATGTCGGTTGAAGCTGAACAACAGCTTTCCGTTTCAGAACCGCTTTGTTTAGAAACCCTCGATGGTTTCTTTTTCAATATGTATTTTCGCCTACGCTTGCTGCTTCTTTTCTGTGCTTCAGCTTTTGAAAAGCTTGGATTCGTGAAAAGGATTTTCACACTGCAAGATTCGTTAAAAGTGTTATCTCTTTGTTCATGTGAGAGATTGTAAGAACCTTTATTTGCGGTCGAGTTTACGGCATCACAACTGTTAATATGCTCCTTTTTTGCAGCTGTTTTCTTTGCAAAATTTGGCGACAAATGCACGTTCAGGGTCTTCGGTAACGACGATGTGTCCCCACTGCTCGGAAATTCTCTCAAATTACTTTTTGATGAACCTGTCTCTTTCATGTTGCCCGGTTTGACGAATGATTTCAAAGATGTGCTATATTTCCGCCCTTTCTTTGCAGGAATAGGCTGTTCCCTTTTAGTCGTGTTGACTATACTGTACGATTTGCCAGATGCGTTGCGATCCATCATTTCGCGTATTTCATTTGAATTGCGATTTACAAACATGCCAGAATTTTGTTTCTGATGGTCTTTTGGGGGATCGGGGATAAAACGTATTTCCTCAGTCGTGTGTAACACACTACACGATTCATTGAAGTCGCTGTATCTCGTATCCTCTTTTGCTGAAGGTCTACTTGCGTCAACGTTTTCAGTCGATTCTACACCAAATATTATCCGCGTATCGTTATCGTAAAGTCTGTCTGTCTGGTCCCTTTCAACCGCACTATCCGATTCGCCTTCAGTGTTTCCACCATTCGTAACTTCTCCCGTGTTTTCATTATTTCCGGTCGAAGATTCATCTTGGTAGTTGAAAGGCAAGACTTTCATAACGTTGTCCGCTCGGCCCGCCTTATCTGCCTTACCATCATCAGCTCGCGTGCCCACGCGAAGAAAATCTAGTTCGGAATAGTGAAGCTTCTTGATTTTCTCGTCGATTTTGGGGCGATGTGGATACGTGGATGGGGTCAGAAGAATTCGAGAATTACTTGACTCTGAAAAAGATAAAAACGATGCAAAATTTTACTGTAGAGCATTTTGCTAACGAGCACACGAAAGACAGGAGGCATCACAGAATCAGAGATATAAAGAAAGTCCACCATAAGTGACGCGATGGCCATTTAAAGCCAATTTGTTACAGCAAAATGCTTTCACTTTGGCGGAACTTTAGTTGACCAATGAGCGTATGCTCTACACGCTAACTGACCAATCAGCGTTGACGACGATGATAGAAACAAACCTTGTGTCCAATATCCAGGCGGCAACAACAAACCCAGAGCACATTCAGGCGCCAAAAATGGATGACGTACTGCTTCAAGAGGAGACAGGCGTAAACCTAAATTTAATATGAATCAAACTGTAAATAAAAAGGTTGACCTAGCCTGGTTGTACCCACAGGTTCAATCCCCGTGAGCGCCTAATACATCTGAAGAACGTACGTCGTAAAAGTGATGACCGACCAAAATTTGTATTTTAACTTTGATATAAATGAAAAATCACAATATCTCATTACTGTGCGGTACTTGCTCCGTCGGACAAAAAATCGGCCCCCCAAGATCCATACGAATTCACGTATTCACGCTCAAAAATAATCGAAATAAGGCGTCACGCAAAACAGGAAGCAAATTTCACGCTCACGCAGAGGCTAAAAGAGAGCATGCCTAATTGAATTCGACAAAATAAATGACAAACATCAAATATAAATAGAAAGTCAGAAACAGTCCAACAAACGCTTTTGACATCTTTTCTGTGGGATCTAGCCATTTTTGGAGCAGCCTGGATCACGTAATCACGCTATTTCGCAAAAGAATTCACGAAATCCGCCGCTTAAATATTTAAATATTTGAATTCACGATTTCACGCACCGAAAATAATTTAACCCCGCGATAACGACCGAAATAACAGCCATTCACGCTCACGTAAAAATCATTGGGACTCCAAAAAATTACTCCAGATACAATGTAGAGCTCACTGCTACGTCACAGAAAAGTAACCAATGGCCGGCCGCCGTCTGTGGAAAAAAGCGCGCGAAATTTTTAAGGCAAAAGCAAAATGGCTTCTAGATCTTGCGCTAAATGTACTTCCTTTACAAATAAGGAAGAAATGACTAAATTATCAGCCAAAAAAAATGTAAAGTGCGGAAAAAAAGACGAAGAAACAATACAGAACCGTCTCAGGTACGTATTTGTTATTTTATCAAACGTAAATCGTGTATTTTTTATGTGTCTCGACAAAAGGTCGAGTCTGTCCTTTCTAAACTTCTATAGAATTTCAATACTTGTCTGCTTCTTCTCGGCTTTTTACTGTATATATAATCTGATAATTAGTATATAATACGGGTAAAAGAATAAATCTTAGGCGAATGTTACTTACAAAGGCACAATAACTCTGACTGCGTATTGCTTGATTGAATATTTGTACAATATGTTTTTAAAAATGTCAGGAGCCGTTGATGATTTATCTTACCTGGATCAAAGGTGAGAAGCCTTGCTATGAAATCTGCAAAAATGTAGTCAGTTGATCCCAACTTCTTTAGGATATTAACAACATTTTGGGAATAGCCTACAAATAAGAAGGAAATCATTAGTTAATTGTATCATGATGTAAAACAAATATGATTCCAAATAGTTTAACATATTAGGTGTAATTGACAACTAAACAGGAAAGTTTAACCATATATTTTGAGTTTAGGATTTAAGATTTTTAGTGCAATTTTTAAAATTTGTGATCTCTATGACTTTCTGATCGATTTTTGACCTTTTATATTTCATATTGACAGTTGGTAAAATAGTGAAATGGAATATATTTCATATTGACAGTTAGTAAAATAGTGAAATGGAATAAAAAGTGTTAGATGGCTAGTAAAAATATATTCTCATGTCCCCCTGTATAATAACAACCTTATTATAAACCCAATTGTGCAGTGTGTACAAAACTAATGAATATACCATGCAAAATTAAGGTCAATGACCATGTTGAAGTGTGCCACAAACCTACCTGGGACAGATTTAACTCGGCCAACAAATTTCTTGAAATTTGAAAAATATTTGCCAGATTGAAAAGGACACATTGGAAATGGACCAAGCAATGCTTGCATCTTTGAAAATAAAAATTGTAAATTGAGATCATCTCTAAAAGAGAAGATTATTTTTTATTGAATTATAGATGTAGCCATCCCATCCATACCTTCTCTAAAATCTCATCCTTTGAAGTTGCCAGAAACAATGGTTCTCCAAGATAAAGCTGCAAATTTCATAGAAATCAAACAATGAAACAAATAAGTGTGTCTTAAAGTTAAATTTTTGTTTTCTTTTAGGGGGTAAAAATTTAATGTGTAGGACTGTTGCCTAGCTTCCAAACTAAAAATGAAAATGAATTGGTGATACAAGTAAGTCCTCTTCAATCTTTACATCACTGTAAACTTTTTTGTCTAATACTCTGGAAATTTTTTAATCAAATAAGTATATATAATTTAAAGCGCAAGCACGTTTTAACACCTTTGGCTTTGAAGTTTAATAACCAAACAACTTGATTGATTGAAAATTTATATTTCATATGCGTGTGTAGCATCAAGAAGACAAAAATCGTCATATTTTTGTTGCATATTACACTTTTTACGGCCATTTTTTTGGCTATGAAATGTTATCGATAATAGACAATTTTGGCACGCGCGAGTCTGCATGACAGTTCCTTCGAATCCAAATAATTGCCATTGAAATAAAAATCTTGAATCTGGGATCATTGAAACATCAAACGGAATGCCTTCACTTAGTTGCAACGTCGTGAAGGAAACTAGGTAGTTACAGAAATCATAATGGCCTGGATTACCACACATACCTCCGCCAGGACACAACCCAGTGACCACATGTCAATCTGAGGACCAAAAGGTAAACCAAACATCACCTCGGGAGCTCGATAGAACACCGTTTGCAACTCAAACGAACCAAAATACAACGACATCTGAAAAAAAGAAGACTCGTTTTGGCTGCGTTTTTTTTCTCAAAACACGACCGCAGAAGATCACGGTAATGGTAACGGTGAGTGGTTTTACATCCTGGAATAACTTTTCATATTCAAACAGATTTTAATTTCTGCAAGTTTTTCTCAGAAGAAGTTCGTGTAGAATAATACGTAACAAATAGCAATCCATGCTTCACGAAAGAGCTTTTGTTGTACTCTTACCTCGTCATGATTCCAATATATAGCATTGCCAAAGTCGATTATTTTGACATCGTTTTTATCGCCTAGAAATGTTTAGAAATCTCAACACAATGGATACACAACGAGTATAAGAATATATAGAGCAGACTTGCATGTGTGTTGAAAGATTCCTAAATTTTATAGCCAAAGGCAAACACTAATGGGCAAATTTTTAACTGTGGGGTATCCTGTTGAGAGGAAGCCAAGAATTGGCACTTAGCACTATCAAATTATGCTGGGAAGATATAATGTGATCATTCACATATTCAGCATGGTCTTCTCACTGCATTAAATACTCACCATTGGTAAAGAGAATATTTTCTGGTTTAATATCAGCATGGATAATGTTTACACTACAAATGAAGGTAAGATAAAGTGATCAGATGAATGTGTTATCATCATATTTCAATGATATAATATTAAAACTGGGAAAACCAACTTGGAAACATTGACTTACCTTGATAAAACTGCCAAACACTGAGTAACCTGTAGATTAAATTACATAATATTTAATTAAGATTAGCTAATTAAAATTCCACTTAATTTCATTACTTAGCAAAGGAGTGTTAAATAATTTTATAATATGTGATAAACATGCTGCATAAAACCTACTTGAAATGCAATCTTTCGTATCAAGTTAACTTTTTCCACCTATAATGTTATTTCACATATATTAATTTAAGTATAGAAGTACATAATTTGAACCCATGATCTTAACTATGTTAACAGTTATACAAAAATGCATAATATCTGGTTTGTATTTTCACTTTACCTTGCTTGGAAAAGGAAACATCTACATACAATGGAATGATAAAATAAATTTAACTCTACAATTTTCTAAAACTTAACATTTAACAATATAGTTCAAAGATGATATGTATATATAATCATGCAGTTACACAAATAATTAGAAGCTATGTTTCACCTGAAAATATTTGTAAAGAGGCGTTGGAGAGAGAAACTCAAACACCATGCAGAAATGCTGACCAACAGTGAAAACATTCTTTACATGAAAAATAGGAAGTATAAACAAAAGTATTCGTATCAAAATGAGTTCTGGCCAAATTTCAACAAGAATTTGTATGCTTTTCGGCATTACCAGAATGTGGGCAATATTTGCAACTTTTAGAAAGTCTGCTTTCTTAAGATGAAGTAAACAGCTTGCTTCCTACAAGGAAAAATATTAAGAAAAAAATATAATTATATTAAATATTTATAGTTATTCATACTTTGGAATAATTTCTGCACAATACCTACCTGAGGTCCTAAATTCTGATAACTTGCATGAAGGAACTTGATTGCAACATGTCTTTTCTTTGGATGAAATATATCCTGTGTTTTTTAAAATAAATGCTTTTATAATAATGATGATATAAGATTACATAAAGTATGAGATAACATTCAAATATTAATCTCTAACCTCTGCTCTAAATAAGAGTGAAGATTGACCCTCTCCAACCTTTGCAATAACTTTGTATCGTCCAGCAAGGATTGCTACAAGACATTGGTAATATATAATTGTTAAATTTTTTAATGAACCATTATATACAGTACCCAAACTTGATTCTCACTCTTGTGTCAGATTTCATGCACTGTACCATGCATAAATGGTTGAATTCTCTATATTCATTACATTGGCTGGCTTATTTTTCAGTTTTAAATAAGCACATTGATTGCAGAAGTAGATACAAAATGTAAACAACATATTTACTTGTGTATATCTTCTGATAATTAAGTAAATTAACTACAGGGAATTGAATATGAATACACATACAACCAGTTATGGGTGAGAATTTTTCTTCATTGGCTGACTGATTTTGTAAACATATTTCCTTGTTTTCTCCATCACCGTTTCTGATTCTTTCATAACATTCTCCCAAGCCAACAGTCATTTGGGCAAACAAAAAACATCTTGGAGGATTTTCACAAACAAGACTTCTTTCTGAGATCTGCCTGGAATGAGAGCTGGAGAGCTGACAAATATGAAATAGTTTGTACAAATCTCCATGATCAATTGGCCTATACTTGGCACTGTATTGGTGTCACTCCATCTTCAATAATCAGACATTCAGTTGTCTGATTTAATATCCTACTGAATTGAGAAAGGCTTTTGGATTGGCTCAAAATATTGGCTAAATCATTCCAGGAAGGGGATAAATTGACAAAGATTTTAATATTGTGAAGACTTCAAGTCTGGATTAATACTAATATTAGTAATATTTAAAAACGTGCTTTGAAACTGCTAAATGAAGATTATATCCAGTCCTGTACTCAACCACAAGTATACAGGCTATGAACTATCAAAGTTGTTCACGATGGTCTCAAATTTGCAGGAGAAAATAGAGAAGTTACTTGAAATACTCAAGACCCAGGGTTTGATCGGCTTTGTTGATGGAAATCATGGAATGAATTATGGTAGACTCGTAAATGTTTTGGTGATTGGTCGAGTAGAACGTAAACAATACAACGGAGACGTAAATATTTAATATTTTCGAGTGGAGTTATTTCATATTTATAAATACGCATCATTCAGCTACATAGCGGAGGATATTTACCTTGGATCTTGCGAAGGATGACGAAAACTTTGTAAATCGTTGTACTTTTTCATACTTTTTGGCTGGATCAAATTTCAACATTCATCCGCATCGTTGATCGTTTGAATTGCCGCCATTTTGAGAAAAAAATCAAACGTAAAACTTGAAGTACTTCATGTTAGGATATTCCAATGGTCAGCCAGGGGCGAGCTAATATAATCTGGCATCGCTTGTTAGTTGTTGCGTACGTTGAGCGAGCATGCGAGCTTCCCTCGATCTTCGAGATCTTCGCAAGAACCCCAAATGGAAGTTACCTTTCTTGGCTTTTTGCTGTGATGCTAAACTTTCAGGTGAAGTTTGTCTAGGTTAGGTCTCTTGGGGACATTTCACAGGACCCGAGGGTGCAAGTCTTTCTAGACGAGGCTTTTCTGAGTTCCAAAAGCCTCTTTCATCGAAATGTCTTCGGAGATATGACCAGTGCTCTCGCAATTTAAATATGAATACTTTTTATTGTGGGGGAGGATGACAAAGAACATTTGAAAAGAATATATTAAATATTCCTCCCTCCCCTCGATAGAGTCAAGCTTTTGTAAAGAGATTTTCTTAAAAGTTAACTAAAAGTGAGAACGCTGGATATGATACCCCAAAATTCTCGTCTCTTTCCACGTAAAAGTCTGGAACAAACTTTGAAAGACTCCAAAGTCTAAGACCAAGTCTCAGTTTTTGAACAGATTTTGGAATGCCCCAGAATGTAACTAACTCTCTTTCTATTAAGTAAAGCTTTCTCTAAAAGACTTTGCAAGACGTAAAATTCCGGGAACTCTTTTGCTGAAAGCTTTTTCAAAGGGACTTTGCAATTAAGTAAAAAGCTTGGAATAATGTTTAGAGTTTAGTTAACATCAATCTATCTACATTTAAAATAACCTTACAGTTATGGTGCCAATTATTTTTACCTATATTTATTCAAATTCTTGAGGTATCGCGTCCGCTAACTTTAGTTTTGATCCAATCGAAGGCAACCAAAAACCTTGTTCGCCAGCCCACACATTCGTTCAAATACGAAGCTCTCCATAACCACATGACCCACCAGCCTGACAAACTACCTAGAACGGGAACCTTAAGAACAGCTTTGTCGTCGCCGACGTAGGCGAAGGAACCCAAATGACGGTACTTGAATGGCTCTAAACCTGCGTTTTTGAAATCTTGGTCTTCGTGCTTTGAATGTAGGGCAGTGAAGTGACTGCCAAGGTAGTGTCCTTGTTGCGAAGCCACCTGTGCGGTCGCTGGGTAACTGCGAAGTTTACTGTCGACCTTTTTAAGAACTTCGCGAAATTCATTCACATTTAATCTCTTGTTCCCGTCCTTGTCAACCTCGTTAAATGCTCTGGGAAAAGAAAGCTTAATTAATTTTTATCTTTAAGATCGAGTTTCCAATTGTGTGATTGGAAAAGTTCCGCAAGTTTTCTGATTATAATTTCACAATTTAACAAAGTATTCCAGGTATTCTTTGGTTTGAAGCAGTCATCCTTGGTGAACAAAATAAACATACGTATCTTACGTACTTTCTCAAGGATTTTTGCCAAGCCGTTGAAAAGTATGATGTGACCTGCGGATATTTTCGCTTTGCTTCTTCCATTATACCTATTAAACAAATACAAGATGTTAATTACGTACTTCAACATCGTATGATTAGGTACTGTGAGTCTGTATGGTAATGGCAAGATGTAGCCATGGTAGAACAATGATAAGGTGTGGTATGGTACATTAAGGAAGTTATGGTATGGTAAGGACTAAGGTGTAAGATGTATCACATGTTTGAAGGTAAAATTGGCATGGTAACTAAGGGTATGGTATCATATCAAGATATGGTCCAGTATGGTATGGTATGGTACTACGTAAGTTGTGTTATGTGGAAGATATGGTATAAAACGGGTATGCATATTAGATTTGTATAGTTGAAGATGGTATATTGGTATGGCATCCTCACCAGTAAATTCCTCCATAGTCAGAGCACCATCAGCATCTTTGTCAGCTTTTTCAAACCATTCTTTAACTGACTTGACTATTTTCTCCTGTTCCACAACTGAACAATCACCAATGGCATATATTGTTCCATTGCTGTTTTTTACTCGGAGATATTCATCAGTGATCAAACCATGCCTAAAACACAGGAATTTTTTCAATGGGGAAACAATATGGCAAAGGTGTGAAAAAATGTGTCTATTTCAAAGAGAGGATTGTCCATGTTTTAAACTGGTGCACCAATGTAACATTGTAAAAATGTACATTGTCTCGGTGACCATTTTAATTAACCAATGACCTGTTATTTTGTTCAGGTAGTTTCTTTGCAATCTCCTTAGTCAAAGGTAATGGTGCAATTCCAGTGGCCCAAACACAAGTACCATAGGTTTCAACTCTCTTCTCCTTAGTCTTTTTATCAAATATAACCAGTGAATGTTCCTTGACTTCAGTAACACGGGAGTCTGTGACACAGTCAATGTAATCCGTCTTGAAATGCTTTTCTGTGTAATCACTTATCTGAAATTTGCATATTCTGGACTCATTTATTTTGAATATCTATTCTAAACAATATATGAAGTACCTGAAGTTTCTCCTTCTTTGTCTGAGGTTTGTCCTAAGCTTGAATACTCAACTTTTAAAATAGCTATTACAACTTGTGTACCTGTTCATCATAATTGTTCAAAATGTGGTCACGGCTGTGTACTAGGGTGATCCGGGCATGCTGAACAAGGTCTGAATATTGCTTCTTTAAATCTTCCTTCACAAAGTCACGTAACTCAGCTGCAAACTCTACACCTATCACACAAAATGTGGAATATTCACAATCTCATGGTTATTTTAACTATACTCAGTTTGACTTTCTTTTGTTTTGACTCACCTGTTGGTCCACCTCCTACAACCACAAAGTGGAGCAGCCGCTTGATATCACTTTCAGATTGGTCTTTGATTGCAGCTGTTTCAAAACAATCTACTATGCTGTTGCGAATCTGACGCACATCATCAATTGACTTCAGAAAGTGACAGTTCTCCTCAACTCCTGGTGTATTGAATGTATTATTTCTTGAACCAACAGCAACAACCAAGATATCATAATTCAATGTGAATTCGGGATCCGAACTGGTAATACCTAACAACAGAAAGATAAAATAATGAAAAATTATGCTTTGTACAATATATGTTGAGCCATATAATATCTTGGATCAGTGTTTATCAGCATTACCTGATACATCCCGACATTTGATGAGCTGTTTTTCCACATTAATATCAACACACTCTGCCTCGTGAAACCGAACCCCATTCTTGTGCCATTTACTGTAGATCTTTCTAATTGGCTCAACAAGACTTCGGGCTTCTAGTGTACCAACTGTAACACTTGGTAGCAAGGGTGTCATCAAGAAATAGTTTCTTGGTGAAACTATTTCAATGTCATATAAATCTGGCTTAAGGTTCCTTAATTTAATACAATGCCTGATTCAGAATATATTTTGTAAAGATTCTTTCAAGTTTCAACTTAGGTCTCTCATCTCTGAGCAGGAATTAACTGAACCTTTGCCTCTGTTCTGAACCCATGCCCAGCCTGCTTAAGAATCATAATTGTTTGTTACCTGCTGGAGGCAATGAAACACTTTGTAGCTAACATTTTGAGTGAGGATATTTATTCTATCATCAATTTACTCGGAACTTGTTTTCGCATCTGCCTATTTTAAGTTTCAATCTTGCGATCGATTGACTATTATTGTAAGTACCCTTGGAATGTTACCTTAAAAAGTTTACAGCTGCCCATCCAGTTCCTAATACTACAATCCTCTTTCTTTTTTGTTCTTCAGAGGCAAGTAAGGTTGGTGCTAATCTGTGCTTTTGGGATAAGTAAAGCACAGAGCCAGCACCAACAACAAAGACGCCAAAATATTTCACAGCGGGATTGAGGTTTTTTGCGGCCGTTTTCCTGTATTTACTTGCAAAATAGACTATCCGTTTTACAAAGTCCATTCCATTATGCGACATGTTTAAAAAAATTAAAAATCTGCCAAATTACAACAAGATGCAAACAATCACACCCTATATAACGCACTGCAAAGGAAACAAATTGCAACAATTCATGTTCATTTAATGACAGATGTAAACACGAGTCCAGGCCTCTTCCATATAAAACGAGAATTTACGATCCTCTGGAGATTTCGTTTTTGATACAAGTTTTGATAAATTTAAAGATGATATTACCATCCATTCCATCCTGCGCATATTTCTGCTCATAACAAAATAAGCAAATCCAAAAGTGGCACCTTGGGCTCGGCTGGATTGAATTAAACATTAATCAAACTGTCATGTCGCAATGACGAAGACCTTATGGAATAGTGATGGCTAAAAAATGTTGTATAAACAAGTTGGCTGTATTTTTTCTTGCATAACTTTTGTTATAAAGAGTTATGTATAAAGAGTACATTTAATGTGATCTTTTCAAAAGATTAATGCCTTACATGTCAATATTCTAAATTTCTACGTCCGCTCTGTTCTCAAACCAGTTCCATCAGTTCTCTCCTATTTCGCGCCTCTTCGTCGAAATACTTCATGTCATTTTAACATAACTAATATTACTCTTACACTTTTTTGCCAGAAAACTCAGCCAGATGGTTTGGAATTAACGCGCGTTATTATATGGCAAGCGTCACTTCCGGTAAAATAGAGCTCAGTGATCGGCTGAGAAGAATTTTCAGCAGCCATTACTTTTCCGTAATGCCTAATGGACCGGCGTTACAGGCGGATGTCTGGCATCCATTACGAGATGAAAAACAGAAATTCTGAATGAAAAATGCACAAATAAATGCTCAAGAGGAAATTTAATTAACCTCGCTTGCTCGGTCTTTACCGATAAATGTCGGACCTCGACTTTTTGCACAAACCTCGCTCTTTTTAAAACCAGGTCAAAAAAACGGAGGATTGTGCAATAATCCATTTTTTGACAGGTCACTCCTGTTTGTGAATATGTATATACAATAATCTCGTTAATTTATGGCCTTACGAGTCTTGATCCCTTAATATAAAACTATCGTTAATGTGATAAAACTTAGTCTCCCCACTATAGATTTACCACGATTATAAAGATTGAAGCAAACTATTTACATGTAGCATCACAGTTATGGAAACGACCAGCAGTCTCCCATGCGGTGTTCGTGTCACATGATAATCATTGCGATAAGAACGATAAAAGAATTCACTTGTGGCAACAATTATAATTTCAAATTATAAAAATTAAACATGGCGGAAGCCAAAATGCAAAAATGTGCGTTCATAACAGTAAAAACATGGTTTAATTGCATTATGTGAATCAAGGTTTAGTCCTCGATTGTAATCATTATTATCGAGATAAACCCATGGTCATAGGCGGAGTGGGGAGCTTAAAATACTCGTAATCACAGCAAATCATTCAAACTCGATAAACAATTCGTATTCATAGCTTCATATGATTATGAATATAATATTCAGTATGCATTCTAAATTACAAACAGTGGAAATTCATAGTATTACATGTGGTTCCTCTGTATGTATATAAAAGGTCGCCCTTGTCAATGTTATTCGCCAATTCGATGTTTACAAACGGTACAAGCAAAGTGTGCGTATCAAATGTCGGGTGTATAGTTTGTGGATAAGTACCAATAGTTCACCACTTTGGCACTTTCTATGTATGTTAATATCATCTCAAACGAATTCTTGTATCTTCTAGCCAACAGTAAACTTCGCAAACCTTTCATAATGTACAGATCAATTATTAATCAACGCCTTTTGATTTACAGAGCATCGCATTTTCGAAATATTCCAAACAGCATGAAGTGGTCAAGTTGCACGAAGTCGCTTCGTGTATTCATACAGGAGAGCCGATTTTCGGCAAAAGCGCGTCTCTTTCCCGTTGCCATTCCTCGATCAAATCGCTATGTCTTTTGGAGGTCGTATTTCGAGGTGATTCACTGCCACTTAAAGTCCTTGAATGTTCTCTTCCACGTCTTAGTATCGCCTGTTGTTTGGCTTCGAACTTATCGCTTACATTCACAAGTTTTTTTGACAATGTCACGGCGTCTAGACTCAACGGGACGGATTGAGATCTTCTATCACGAGTTAAAGGATTGCCAAAATCTCCCATATATCTAGTAGACGGCGCTGAGGTACTTGGGTGCATCCTAGTGTAAACGTTGTCCACACTCAGACGATGTCTTGTTGTACGCCAAGGGATTTCTATAGCGTCTGTTGTCCGTAGTTTTGGCGTAGGGGGCTGGACGAGTAATTCCGGCACATTCAAATTTATCTCATCGTCGTGCTGAGAGGCGGGGGCTTCGTCCAGTAATGGCACCCCGGTACGAGACATTTTGACCGTCCGTTTTCCGTCTTTAAGGGTTCGTCTGTCGTTCCGAATCGCTTCGGCTTTAGTCACAGTGCTTTAATACATTTGGTTGCTGTTGTTTTCAAAAGGCGACATTTTTTCCAGAAATTAAACAATATAGCATTCATTGTGAAACCAAGATTGGACCGATTTTTCAACCAAACGAATATCAGTGGGAAAGGAAAGTCCGGGGGAGGATGCAAAAGCGGCGAAGATTTATATTTAGTCTAACGCTCAAAAAGCATTTCTGCTAAACAATATGCTCGTCCGCATGTGTATTGCATTGCCCTTTCATAGCCATTGTAGCTATTCTCATGCGAGCGATTTCATTCATCGGAAAAGCTGACGAAATCTTAGCCTGGCCTCAACCAGTCTGTTAGCAGCGTCGTTCGTATCCAAGCACTATTGATAACTGAAAACATGCACACGCTTACATAGATCGATCTTACCATTAACTGTGATCTTACACAGGCTTTTTACCTAGATCAGTGTCTAAACGATTGGGCGCGCAGACTTCAGGGTACCCACCGAGGGTCAGTGCTGAGGGTACCCCTGATCCTAGCCAGTGACCCATGTTAAAGCCAATTGTGCTACCTATATCGTCGATACGCGGCTAGTCTGCAAGCCTCGGCCTCGTATAAAAACCTCTATAAACTGCTTCAAAATAGATATCTTTGACATTCTTTGTCATGGACTTATAGTAATCATGCAGTAGATTTAGATTTTAACCAATTTCTTCGAGATTCATGAACTATGGTTCAGGATTATTAGTTCTTTTCAAATTGGTTGTTTTTACGGTCTGCCAACATGAATATATTAATATACCCCCCGCACTTAGGCCCTGTCCACACGTATCCAGATACTTTTAATAACGGAGGTTTTTTATCCGTTTTGACATTGCGTCTACCCACTTATAAACGATCTTCCGCGCCGCCTGTTTACAGCTAAGAGAGCCCGCTCTTACTGTTACCAGGCAATAATAAGTTACCCCAGGGTTTTGGTTGCCTCTAATTATTATTAACCTGTTCGAAAGGAGACTTAATTCAAGCACATTAAATTCATGAACTTAATTCATGAACATCGACATCCAATCATAAAAGCAATAATGCACGAAATTACTGCAGTTTTTATCCACATATTCAGAGTGAGTCTTGAGTGGGCGGATAACAAGTTTCATCGATTTACGACATCGTTTCAAATCGCTTTGGTTACGGTGCGTCCGAACGGACCGGATTCGTTGCGCTTTTAAAAATTTTCATGCTTGTGGGCTTTTTAAAGCTTAACGGATACGACCTGTATTTTTTCTGGATACGTGTGGATGCTAAGCGAAGCCGGAAATAAATGTTTGGGGATACAAACAGCCTCGTAATCTGAATGCAATGTTATTTATTTTACTATTAAAGCGCTTGGGTACGAGGCTGGGATACAAACCAATCCATAGACGCAGTCCGTGATATGTTGTGTTACACTAGTAAAATATTAAAAAATAAACTTTTCCAAGCTTTCGGACGAACGGGTCCATCATCAGGGAATAACTGGCGTAAAAGCAAGTTCTAGTTCATACAATAATGAGTTAAGCCTAAAGTTAAAACCTATTATAAAGGGGGGGGGGGTGCCAGAAGCCTGATTAATTACATAATTCTCTCTATTCAAAATGACAATGGTTTATAGTTCTTATTTCCTTAAAATCGGCTTATAAACGTCAGGAAGTATTTTACCATCATCTCTGTTCGAAATATGCTCAATCATGCGTGCTCCCTTCCATTTAAGTTGTGCCCGTCTGCTCTCTTTTTACATAATAATTTCGAATCATTCGATGCTATACCATGTTGACAATCGTATTCGTGCTTAGCCAAAGCCGATATTCCATCTTCCCCAAACAAACTGCTGCCTTGTGTTCCTTCTCTAGCGTTTCAAAAGCTCGCTCTGTTTTCTCCAATATATTCTATATCACAACCTGCACAAGGAAGACTATACAACCGTTGTCCCCTGTCTGTTTTTTGATTGATAATAAATCCTTTAGTTTTACTCAACTGTTTTTTCAACGTGCATATCGGCCTCACTGCAACCATAAACCCGTTTTTAATTAAAGTCCGTTTAATCGCTCCGTCGTATCTTGAATATACGGAAGAACCACTAAACCATTGTTCTTATCCAAGTTTGTTGATTGTTCATCATCGCCCACTGGTGAATTGCTACTTCATATCTTCTAATCATATCTCCTTGTCTTTTCATGTTCATCGTCTACACGGATTGCCGGACGTGCAACTTGGTTGGTTCCTTCAAAGGAAGATGCAACCAGCCATGGTGTTCATATCAGCCTTGATGTTCCTTTGGAGCCCAGTTAACGCTCTCTAGTAACCTGTTTTATCAATTATGTACCCCGTGTACGATGGCGGAAAACAAAGACCCAAGGGCTCTCCGAGTGGCTAGGATGCTTCTGTAAAAATTGCGATTTTTTCGTCTATTGGTTTGCGATTTTTGTGTATTTTTTGGAATTGGTTTGCAAGAATGCCGCCATTATGCTCAACGTGGCCCAAAGTTTCGATCCGTTTCTCCAGAAGAATTATTCCCACTCGTACAGCCCCTGAAACTATTTTTAACTCTTCACTGGTAGACTCGCCAGCAGGTTGATTCACGTGTTTTGATCCCATATTTCAGGCTACTGGCATTGCAAGAAGCTGTTCTAAAACGGCACGCTTTTTTTCATAGTCAACGTGATAGTTGATAGAATTGCGATATTCGATATTTGATTTAATAAAAACACTAATGAGATTACTGCAGTTTGGATCGGCATAATCAGAGTGCGTCCACACGTACCCAGATTCGTTGCGCTTCTAAAAGTTTCCACGCTGGAGAACTCTTTTTAAAGTTATCGGTTGCGCTCTGCGTTTTGTTGGGTACAATTTGTTGGATACAGGATACGTGTGGATGCTAAACGTACCCGCAACTAAATGTTCGTGGGTACAAACGAATTCAGATATGTGTTGACGCGTTCCGTGATACAACTAGAAGATAGACCCGGAGCCAATAACGTGGGCTACGGGAGCCTTAGATTTGACTACGGCTCTCGCTACCGCTACGAGATTCGTCACATTGACGTGATATTCGTGATACTTCGTACTGACGTCAGAGACTTGTATCCGTCGCTCATCTGACTACGGCATTTTAAGAAAATTTCGTAGTTCTGACTACGTGATTTAAAAAGCAATAAAAGTTGATATTTTCTCATTTTTTTCCAGAAAATGATTTGAGAGAACTGTTTTTATGACCATGGTCTTTGATCATGTGTATTTTTCAAACTATAGTTGGCGCAAAATTTCCGAAATATTTCACAGGATAAATATGCATTTATTATTGAGTTTGCAGAGGTTTATCATGCCAGCACGCGGTGGCATGCATACAACGTTTGTTTCGCGCCACGTGCCGATCTCGTGGCCATAGCGGGAGCCGTGGTCAAATCTAAAGCTCTCTATTGGCTGCTCATTAAACGAGTTAACGTCAAAAACCTGTGACGCCGATTTTCATTATTCTTAATGATTAAAATTATTTAACTTCCGGCGGCTATGTCTATGTTTTGCACAGCTCGTTATTCGCATAGACTATAGAGTTCACATAACTAAAAGCGCTTCGGGCTACTGCGTGCTCATAGAGGAAAAAATCTTTCATGTATGGAGGGAGCTCACGAACAGGAACAGCGTAATTCACCACAAGAACGGGCACATCTTGCCGAACAAAATGAGGAGAAGAAGGAAGCAGATGAAAGAAATAGACGTCAGACAATATTTCAAGCCCTTGCTGATTTTGTTTGTTCTGACAGCTTCAACAGTTTCTTAAAGGTAAATATTGAAATCTTCGTAAACACGTACTATTCACTGAGTTATTCACCGGGATCATGTCATATACTCATTTCAATACCTTCACGTTTTGTCTTATTATATACTCTTATACTCATCTACGGTGGTAAGTTTGTAGCTTGCACCAAATATTTTCGGCGTGGAATACTTGCCAATTTCTGTCAATTTTGGCTCAAGAAAATCTGAATAGCCGGAATGGAAATTTAGTGACAAACAAATGGAAATCGAAACAATAACTAGCATGCTAAATTCTTGTTAGAAGTTTATATCTTAAGGTTTTAGCTGTTGTGTTGTTAACTGTGTCTGTCTGTCTATTTCTTAAATAGTTTCAAGATTCTGCCGCTTTAAAATCTGCTTTGCCGCTGGTAACTGTACAACCGCGTACCAACGCCGACTACAAGACGGCCTAGAGTAAAATTTCGGAGCTTTCCACCCTGTATATCCATTTCAATAACTACACCTTATATGTTTGTCATGTTGTATACGAATTTTAATACTTACATTTAACGCTTTGTTACCTCGCGTTGCAAGCAACAGCGAGGTCTTAAATTCGCTAACGTTTTCCGAGTTTTCCTTCCGGATCGAGAAGTCACAACCCCCCGGCGTAGCTCCATAAGACCTATGCCAATGACAAATGTTTTCAGGTGGTTTTAAATCAACTTAAAATATTTCATCATGATCCTTTCATAGCAATCTGTCGTCAGATCCGATTGTATATGTTTAGCTCCACCAGCTTTTCACTATATAAGTTATTTCCTTCACGCGTGGACCGACAATAATTGCGCGCGCAATAAAAAATTACAAATTTGAAAAGCTATATATTTTCTGTCATTGTATTTCAGCTTTCGCTGTGCTTGGGGTGTCTATTCGCGTATCCATTTCAATTAGTCAGCTTAAATTGTTACATAGCTATTCAAATCTATTTGTTTCTAATGTTATTTTCGTTATTTCAGGTCATCTTCATCTTGCTTTGCATACCTCATGTGATTTCGACTGTTTTCTTCTCCATTTTTGACGCATGGTGCAATTTATATGAGCGAGCCTCTGTGACCAATTGTTCCCAGCCTTTCTTCGTGCCGCATCCCAGACAATGGATCTCAGCTTGGCTCGTGATGTCAATCATATCTCCCTGTCTTTTTATGTTCATCGTCTACACGGATTCCCAGACGTGCAACTTCCAACGGAAGGGGTTCAGAAAGATCTACAGAAAGGGATCGTTTGGTTCATTGATGTTTTTACTCGTAGCGTCACTCATATATTACTTCGTTCGGTTGGTTCCCTCAAAACAGGATACAACCAGCAAGTTCATATCAGCCATGATGTTTCTTTGGAGTCCAGTGAATGCATTCGTAATTTGTTTTATCAATTACATTCCTCGTGTACGGTGGCAGAAAACAAAGACACAAGGGCTCACCGAGTGGCTAGGATGCTTCTCTAAAAATGCCAATTTTTTCGTCTACTGGCTTGCTATTTTGGTGTATTTGTTTGTAGTGATTTGTAAGAATGTGGACATTATGCTGAACGTGGCCCAAAGTTTCGACCCGTTTCTCCAGAGGAATTATTCCCACTCGTACAGCCCCTATTGGGGGCTGATTGTGATAATAATTGGCTTCAATTTGGCGTTTCATGCACGTTTGCTCACCTTCTATTATGAAAAGATTTTCTACGGAAATAGAGATCTTTTTGCAGAACCTGGTGGCGATATGGTGTTTGACGAGGAAGACTCGACAGATATAAAATTACAAGAGTTGGCGCATGAAGAGAGAGAACACTGCGTTTAATATCAAAATCCGAGCACACCTATGATAACATCACCTTCGTAACATTTTCATTTCATCTTTACTTTTTCAACCTTTATATTTTTGTATATAGATTATATATTACTCCAGCTCATCCAGGGCAGGATGGGGTGTCTGTGTATTGGCCATGTATAGCTCTCTTGTATGCTGTTCGTTTTCATTGTGATATTGCTCAATTGCACGAAAAGATTTTTATCGCTTTCCCGGTGCAGCCCATATGGTAACATGAATAAATGAAGACCACGCATTTAAAGAATCATAACAGTACTCTCGGAGGGAGGGAAGGTGAAGGGGCGATATTCAGGCCGAGACGAACCTTGAACTGTTGTTCATGCTCACTTTTATAATGATTATAAGAACATGTCGCAGCTCTCGGAAGCTTTCGTCCAATTGGATAATGCTTTTCTATGCTTTCTAAAGAACGAAGCTATGCTTTTGGTTGAAACAGAAATGTATTGTAAAAATTCAGCCAATGAAAATCACGTGAAGCGTGATATGTATTTTTTACTGAGATGTAGCAACTAGCAATATTCCACGGGAAAATCAACAGGCTGAACAAGTTTCACTGCGATAAATATACTCCCCCCAAACCCAAACCACGTTCCCCACAGTCCTTAAATAGCCCATATAATCCCCGCGAAAGCAATAAAATGTTTATTCTTTTAAATTGGCCATCGCTATTATCACGGATGCCTCGGCTTAATCGGTACCAAATATTTTGATGCCGAGAGATGCAAATGTTTCTTACTGTAAAATAAATGCTTTCGTACAGAATAAAAATTACACTCTACGGATGTTTTCCTATACAAATACTTCGAAAGGCTCTTCACTAATATTTATCCCTCAAAAGTAGTCTTGCTGAACAGCATGAAGAGAAAAAGAAAACAATTCAAATAAATAGACGTCAAACAATATTTCAAGCAAAATGAAGCCATTAGAGATTTTGTTTGTTCTGACGGTTTCTTAAAGGTAAATATTAAAATCTTCGTAAACACTCTCATAGCTCTAGTGTCGCACCAGGGTTATGATATTAATATCGAGTTACACTTTTTCGGGACCTCCGTCCATGCATTTGTTTAGATCCCGTCGAATAGAATTGTAAAAAAGGCAGAGTTTTTACGCTCCTCTTGTAGTGTAACTCGGCTCCAAATACAAAAATGGATCCCTAAGGGTAAGGGCAATTGTTTTTACATGATAATAGGAATAGATGGGATGGGACTACCATGCATGTAGAATACCAACATCACGACGATGGTTTTCTATCGATAGGGTTTGGGGTCATTGAAAATAAATGAATAATTAAGGAACTTTAAGCATTTTTGGACGCCATTGACGTCATGTTCACAACAGCAAATATCTGGTTTCTCGCCATTCATCGAGTGAATATTAGCATAACTATACTAAAATTAATCAGCCTAAATTGTTGTGATATACCTATACTCATCTCATTTATTTGTTTCCAATCATAGTTTCGTCATTTCAGATCATCTTCATCTTGCTTTGCATACCTCATGCGATTTCGACTGTTTTCTTCTCCATTTTTGACGCATGGTGCAATTTATATGAGCGAGACTCTGTGACAAATTGTTCCCAGCCTTTCTTCGTGCCGCATCCCAGACAATGGATCTCAGCTTGACTCGTGATGTCAATCATATCTCCCTGTCTTTTTTTTTGTTCATCGTCTACACGAATTCCCAGACGTGCAACTTCCAACGGAAGGGGTTCAGAAAGATCGCCGGTGTGCGATTTTGGTGTATTTTTTGGAATTGGTTTGCAAGAATGCAGCCATTATGCTGAACGTGGCCCAAAGTTTCGATCCGTTTCTCCAGAGGAATTATTCCCAGAACCTGGTGGCGATATGGTGTTTTGACGTGGAAGACTCGCTTGAACCGGAAAATAATCGCAAAGAAGGCTCCAAAGATATGGAAATGGCTTTATAATAAACCTTTATAATAATAATAATAATAATAATAATAATAATAATAATAATAATAATAATAATAATAATAATAATAATAGAAATAATAATAATAATAATAATAATAATAATAATAATAATAATAATAATAATAATAATAATAATAATAATAATAATAATGGAAACTTTATTAAAGGTTTTCTTATTTACATATACTCATGCAATTATAAATCTCGCTTAATTAGGTAATTTATAATTGGCTACTTGAATCACAACTAAATAATATGTTTATATATATAATAACGACTATTAAATGACTATAACCTAAGTAAAGCATGCCAATTTTTTATACAAAATGTTTCAAAAAGCTAACATTTCTGGGCTTCCCCATTCCTTATTTCGACAACAAAATATATAATAAGTACTTCTGATAGCTATTGTTGTCATTTTATTTATGCAATATGTTTGATATTTCTTGTCGAGCCCAATCTTATCTAACATATCCAAGAAACTAGAGCACTCACTTGCAAAAACACCTAATGAGCTTATTGAAAGATTAATTAATTTAACGTCATAGAAATGCTGTTTTTGTTCTTGTACCAGTTCTCTATATTTGTGTTCTTTCCGCTTAACGTTGTTGTGAAGGTTTGTTTCATAGCCAACTGTCAGTTCAACCACATAGAGGGTGCCATCCGGATGTGATATTAGTAGATCAGGACGATACGATTCACCAGTTAGGATGGATGGATTTTTGAAACCAGGTAGATCAACGAATAGTCTAGAGTGATGGACTGTAGTTTGGACAGTATTGGCAAGCAAATTGAGGATCGAGTTGTGCCTCCACGTAAAACGTTCCAGGTATGATTGACAACCAGCGACCACATGTAGTAATGATTCTGGGTTGAGACAAAAAGAACATTCTGGACTTGAAGATATTCCCCATCTATGAAGATTTTTTCGCGTGGGAAGAGAGTTGTTTATATAGCGTATGGTAAAGTTGTAAATGTTTTTAGGAAGTTTTGTTTGAGCTGATGACCAGACCTTGTTGAGATGTGGTAAGGCGAACTTGGTAATACTCGAGAAAAAGGATCCTTGATTAGTCAGGGTGTTTTGAAGTCTATCTTCATGACCAGAGCGAAACTCTTTTAATACTTCTTTGGTGGAGTTGTATATGTCATATTGGATATTAGTATGGTTGTTGGTGGATTTCCACAATTCTTTAATTGCTTCGTTAGGAGAGTGCTTTAGGGCATTTCGAAGGACGGCTTGGCACTGGGTAAATTTGACAGAAGGAGGATAGATGTCTTGACCAAATTTATTGCGGGTTAAGTAAACAGTACTTAGCGTTCCTGATATTGGGATTTCAAGCCATTTACGAATGTATTGGTTAGCTACAGAGTCAATATTCTCAGAAATCCAAGTTCTTGACGGTGTCGCAACGGTGAAATGCCAAGATAGTTTTGATAGAACGTAGTGGCTATAGAGGAGGAGCTTATTTTTAGGGTGAAGTGGTTTTGAGTCAATGTCAGACATCAGTTCATCCATAAGCGTAGTTAATTCAGTCTTATGATCTTCATTAGACATGTCAAAATTGAAATAGCGTCCTAAGTATTTAAAAGAGTCTCCAAGGTTGATGGCAGGAATAAGGTTTTGGTTGATAAGGAGTTTTGGAAGGTATTGTATGGATTTGGTAATAGATTTTTTTATGCCAAATGTACTACATTTATCAACTCGGATTAGCATACTCGACCATTGGCACCAGATAGCAAAACGATTTAGCAGATGCTGGTTTTCTGATTCTTGTCCAGTAATTACAGCAGCATCATCAGCGAACTGAAACCAGTGAATGGGATTTAAAAGTTTAAACGAAAAACCAAATTGGCGATACTTTTCAGCTTTAATATGTTGTATGAACGTATTAAAACACATATTGAACAGCAGTGGACTGAGGCAATCACCTTGTAATACACCACGACCTACGGTAATAAAAGGAGTGCGGAATCTAGATGTAATTATTGAGGTCTTGAAATCAGTGTAGAGGCTTTTAATGACGAATTTAATGTGATCAGGAATATAGTGGTAATCTAGTACTGATTGGATTAGGTTATGATGTACTTCACCAAAAGCATTTTTAAGGTCAAGCAGTGTGATGACAAGGGATCGTTGATTGATGCGGGCTTTATTGATAATGTGGGCCATTTGCGCAGTGTGTTCTAGCGTGCCAGACAGACTTGGTGTGAAACCTTTCTGTATGTTATGTTCAATAAAATTATTTGCCTTGAGGAAGGAGTATATTGCGTTGCGAAGACAAGATGTGAACACCTTTAAAGGAATAGTCTCAAGTGTTATTGGGCGGAAATTCGACGGCAGATTTGTGTTGTCTTTTTTATGAATTAGGATGGTACATGCTCGTTTCCATTCAGGTGGGATCGTTCCAGAAGACCAGATGTTGTGTATCAGTTCAGTGAGGTATGTTCTCAAGAATGGGCATCGTTTGAAACATATTACAGAGAGTTGGTCGAGGGGGCAGGGGGAACCAGAGGCTTTCATTTTGCGTATAACATTAGTGATTTGTTGATACGTTGGGGGGTCAAGGTCAAACTGAACAAGAGGATCTGGTAGCTTTGGAATCCAGCTGGGAATTTGAAACAGTTTATTGGGGTTGATTTTAGCCAGAGATTGGGAGAAATAATTTAAACAGTCTGTCACGTTAAAGGATGGCAGGACAGATTCTTCTCTATTTATAATGTTTTTAACATAGCCCCAAAAGTTTCGACCGATGTATTTATCGTGATTGAGTCGCTCACTTGTGTTGTTTGATATAGTCCCCTCGTTTTTGTTATGACTGCGCAACTTGTCACGCAACGTACGCGAAACATATCTGATTTCACTAAGGTCGCCTTTGTTGTACTTTAAATTCTGTAGGGCTTTCTTTAACTGTATGTAATTTGTATTTATTTATCATATTATCATCAGGAATCGTTTCGTTATGTCCAAATTTCTCTGCAAAGTAATCATAAATAACAGCGTTTAGGTGTTTGATTTTTGAATTCGCGTCTTGAGATCTGATTGGATCGTCTAGCTGGAGCGCAGATTTAAAATATTCATTAGCCGTTAGCCATTCCGAATTTTTTTGGAAGAATTACCCCTTTTTTTAGTTCAGGAGGAGCTTCGTTGTTATCTACGTTAGCGCTGTTTGCGTCGATGTCTGCCGTGGCGTCGTCTGTGTTATCGCACATTTGCTCTTCAAGATCCGCACTCAGTTCGTTATTTAGCCCATGTATTATCCTACAGCTACGCTGATGCATCTTAACGCCACGCGCCCCTTTACATATCTTACCACAACAACATTTGACAACTGTTCGAATGGGAGACTGCATAACAGGCTCTTGGCTTCTTGCATTGCCAGACTGATCATTTTCTGCGTAATTTGAACGTTGTTTACAACGCCAAGTGTGGCGACCAAGCGAGACGAAATCTTGACCACAGAAAGAACAAACGACACAGACCAGTAACATAGCGATAAAACCTGAGCGAATCATCATGTGAGTCTTTTTGCGTATATTAAATTTAAGAATTTATACAATATATTGTGATTCAAGCACAAAATTTACTATAAAACTATGGACATGTACAGAGCACGTCTAAGCGGCTTTGCTCGATGTCAAATAATCATAATAATAATGGAAACTTTATTAATTCATTTAAAATCAATACATACAATTGCATATCTCACTTGAAAAAGGTAACATACAATTGGCTACTTGAATCGTGGAATACATATGTATATATACTGACATGTTTATATAAAAGCAAAAAGATATATCCTAATAAATTGTATACACTATATTTACAAAATTTGTGAGAGTGCTGATTAGTAACTTAATAACTGTGGATTCATCCATTCCTTGTTTCTACAGCAAAATATATAATACGTAGACCTGATACAGACAGCCATTATTCTCCTAATTAGGTATTTCTTATGTTTCTCGTCAAAACCTATGTCATTTAGCATATCTAGATACGGGCTACATTCCTTAGCAAAAACACCTAAAGCACTTATTGATAGATTAATAAATTTAACATCATTATAATTTCTTTTCTGTTCAATAATTAGTTGTTTATACCTTAAATAATAATAATAATAATAATAATAATGGAAACTTTATTGATTTTCTTTATAGTATATATACACAATTGTAAATCTCACTAATACTTTAGGTAACTTACAATCGGCTACTTGAATCTACTTATATATCAATACTATGTATATATGGAACGAAAAATTAGGATCAAAATACGATTATACATTTATGTAAGCTATTTATAATACATTATTAAACATTAATACACTAAAAGTTCAGGATTTTCCCACTCTTTATTTCTACGGCAAAATATATAATATGTAGTTCGAATCGCAATCGTCGCCATACGTTTCACACAGTAATCCTGTTGTTTCTGGTCTACGCCAAGTTTATCGAGCATTTTAAAAAGGGATCTACTTTCGTCAGCAAAAATACCTAAACAACTCATGGATATATTTACAAATACTACATCTCTATAAATTCTTGTTTGCTCTTTTACAAGTTCAGAATACTTTTGTTTTTTGCGGTTGCTGTTGTTTCGAAGGTTAGATTCATAACCGACGGTCAATTCTGCAATATATAATGTGTTGTCTGAAGTAACGAGGAGAATGTCAGGACGATATTGGTCCCCAGTGATTATTGATGGACACTTGTATCCAGGAATATCGACGTACAGGCTGGTATTTTTAACACAATGAAGGGTTTTAGCTAGGAAATTTAAAATCGAGTCATGGCGCCAAGTGAATCTGTCAAGGTAAGACTTGCAACCAGCAACAACGTGTAGCAGGGTTTCGGGTGACAAACAGTTGGAACAACTAGAGATGGAAGATATATTCCACCTTTTAAGATTTTGACCAGTTGGAAGTGAGTTATTGATATATCTGATACTAAAATTGAAGATATTTTTTGGAAGATTTGACTGAGCCACTGACCATAATTTTGTTAAGTGTGATAAGGCGAATTTATCAACACAACTAAAGAAAAGTCCTTGAGTTAGTAGCTTGTTTTGCAGCTTGTCCTCTTGGTTTGTGCGGAAATCTCGGAGAACTTCTTTTGTACAGGTATAAGCGTCATATTGGATATTTTTATTGGTACTCGTGGTTTTCCAAAGTTCATTTATTTCTGTGTTTGGGGAATTTTTTAAGGCGTTTCTCATAACCGTTTGGCATTGAACAAATTTAATAGAAATGGGACAAATATCGAGGCCAAATTTATTTCTAGACATGAAAACTGTACTGAGTGTTCCTGAGATTGGTATTTCAAGCCATCGACGTATGTACTTGTTAACGATGGAATCTTTCTTTAACCCATGTTTGAGATATGTTGGACACTGTAAAATGCCAAGATACTTTTGAAAGGACATAGCGACTGTAGAGTATTAGTTTATTTTTTGGATGAAGTGGCTTAGAGTCAATAACTGACATTAGATCTTCGGTTAGTGAGGTTAATTCGAGGTTAATAATAATAATAATAATAATAATAATAATAATAATAATAATAATAATAATAATAATAATAATAATAATAATAATAATAATAATAATAATAATAATAATAATAATAATAATAATAATAATAATAATAATAATAATAATAATAATAATAATAATAATAATAATAATAATAATAATAATAATAATGAAAACTTTATTGATTTTTTCTCTTATACGTACAATTGAAAATCTCTCTTTTAAAGGTAATTTGCAATTGGCTACTTGATATATGGAGATAAGATAATGGTTACAATACACAATTACATTACAGAATATTATATATATATAGTTCTTTAGTATGTAATAATAATAATAATAATAATAATAATAATAATAATAATAATAATAATAATAATAATAATAATAATAATAATATAAATAATAATAATAATAATAATAATAACGAACAGTGTGTTTGATATTAAAATCTGTGATAAGAGAAAACTTCGGCTTGAAATTCTCAATATCATACTCAACCTCATCCAATAATTGTTAATTAACTGTGGATGAAACTATTTAGGCGGCACGTTTTCTTGCATAGTAAACGTGATAGAATTGCGTTATTTGATTTATAATGAAAGCACTAATGAGATACTGCTGTTTTGATTGACATAATCAGAGCACGATTTGAGTGCCGAACGCAAATCAAATTTCATCGATTGCGTCATCGTTTTCAAATGGTTGCGGTTACAGTGCGTCCGCACGTACCCAGATTTGTTGCGCTTTTAAACGTTTCCACTCTGGAGAACTCTTTTTAAAGTCAGTCTTATCGGATGCGCTCTGCGTTTTGTTGGATACAGGATACGTGTGGATGCTAAACGTACCTGCAACTAAATGTTCGGGGATACAAACGAAACCAGATACGTGTTGACGAGGTCCATGATACAACCGCACGTAGCCGACGTCTTGGCTGTACATTAAATTAACGTGTTGACGTCAAAAACCTGTCACGTCGATTTTCAGTGTTCTAATGAAAAAACTATTTAACTTTCGGTGCCGTTATATATGCTTGCACGTCTCGTTATTCGCATAAAGTTCACATGAGTTCAACTGAAAACATTTCGGCCTACCGCGCTCATAGAGGAAGAGGATGGAGGGAGCTCACAAACAGGAACAGCGTAATTCACCACAAGGATGGGCACGTTTTGCTGAAGAAGATGAGGAAAAGGAAGCAATTCAAATAAATAGACGTCAGATAATATTTCAAGCCATCACTGATTTTGTTTGTTCTGAGGGCTTCAACAAATTCTTAAAGGTAAATGTTGAAATCTTCGTAAACACTATTCACTGAGTTATTCATGCCCGGGATCATGTTGTATACTTATTTTAATATATCCATCTAATTTATCCACCTTCTATGAATATGTTATATCTTGATCATGTTGTGTACTTATTTTATAATACTAGTCATTTCACGCTTTGTTTGACTCGTCTGGCCGGGCTTTACGTAAACAGACCCTAATTTTGTCCAGTGGTTTTATCACACGAAGTTTTCTCACTTTGCAATTCGACCCCATATACATATGCAGACCCTAAGGGTAAAGTCAAAGGTTTCACTTGATAACAGAGTAGGTAGATAAGAGGGGGCTATTATAGTTTGGCGGTTAGGTGGTTTTGTCCATTTCAAGGATCGGATTTTGGATGTATCTACGTTCTCGTGGTGGTTTACGGTGAAGAGATTATTGTACGGTAGCGGAAAATCATTGTTTTTTAACTCGGTTTACGGTTATCTATGTGTTTTATGCACGGAATACGGTTTAAAATATAAACGAGATCAAGGTTTGGAAGTTTTAATGGGAAGTATCTTCAATGATCCCAAAGTTCACGTTTGTATACCGATATATCTCGTCTCTCGAATCACAGACTGTTTCGATGAGGGACTAAGTACGAACTTAATAATATTAACTTTGATTGACATTAATTAATTAATTGCACGAGATTCTAAAGGTGATATGAACCAGGGGACACTGAACTGATTTAGCTAGAGATACGAGAGCACGTTTGCGTGAAAAGGACCTTTATCCAGTTTGCTAACCTGTTTAATTTGATTTATGTGTGATTATTTGAAGATTATGTAGAACCATTGCATTTATTATATAGCTATTCTCATCTCATTTATTTGTTTCATATTTTTTTCAATTTAGTTCATCTTCATCTTGCTTTGCATACCTCATGTGATTTCGACTGTTTTCTTCTCCATATTCGACGCGTGGTGCAATTTATATGAGCAAGCCTCTGTTACCAATTGTTCCCAACCTTTCTTCGTGCCGCATCCCAGACAATGGATCTCAGCTTGGCTCGTGATGTCAATCATATCTCCTGGTCTGTTCATATCCATCATCTACACGGATTGGCGGACGTTCAACTTCCAACGGAATGCGTTCAGAAAGATCTACAGAAAGGGATCGTTTTGTTCATTGATGTTTTTACTCGCAGCGTCACTCATATATTACTTCGTTCGGTTGGTTCCCTCAAAGGAAGATACAACCAGCAAGTTCATATCAACCTTGATGTTCCTTTGGAGTCCAGTTAACGCCCTCATAATCTGTTTTATCAATTATGTACCCCGTGTACGGTGGCAGAAAACAAAGAAAACACAAGAGCCCTCCGAGTGGCTAGGATGCTTCTGTAACAATTGCGATTTTTTCGTCTACTGGTGTGCGATTTTGGTGTATTTTTTTGAATTGATTTGCAAGAATGCAGCTATTATGCTGAACGTGGCCCAAAGTTTCGACCCGTTTCTTCAAAAGAATTATCAGTCCCACTTGTTAAGCCCCTATTGGGGGCTGATTGTGATAATAATTGGCTTTGATCTTGCGTTCCATGCACGTTTGCTCACCTTCTATTGGGAAAAGATTTTCTACGGAAATAGAGATCTGTTCGCAGAACCTGGTGGCGATATGGTGTTTGACGTGAAAGACTCGACAGATATAAAATTACAACAGTTGGTGCATGAAGAGAGAGAACACTGCGTTTAATATCAAAGTTTATATTATTATTAGTTTGGTTATTAATTTTTTCGTAGTTTAATTTAATTTATCATGATCCTATTTGATTTGCATGAGATGTGATTGAATTAGTGATTAGGTGTTAGTGTAATCAGAGAACAAGAGAATATCGAGTTCATTGTGAGACAAGCGTGGGAGGGCGGGGGGTAGAACGATAGCAGAATTTGTGAGTTTGAAAATCAGTAGAGATATTCGAATTAGAATTTATAATATATTACGAAAAATCTCCTTTGGATTGTGTTTGGAAACATTAACCTCCAATTGGAAACATTAACCTATATATATATTTTTTATATAGTTTATATATTACTCAACTACTCAAGCTCATCCAGGACTGGATGGGGTTTCTCCAGTTATATATTTTTGTATTGGCCATGTATATCTTGCTTGTATGTTAGTTTGTTTTCATTGTGATATTGTTGAATTACACGAAAATATTTGGTCGAACGTTTGGAAACCATATTTAGTGCTAATGAGCGTAAACAGTGGCCTGTTCATATAGCCACTAGTTAGATCCAATTTGTATACCTGTTATATATAACTGTTGCATGGTTAGGCTAAATCAATTATGATTTTTGGCACTCGATGCAGGTAAATTCTAGAAGTTCAAAGGGTCTTAATTTCGCGTGGACTTCACGCGTTTTCGCGTAAACTTCAAATTCAAAACAGTTGATGAAAAATGAGTCAACAAACGGTCCTCCTGCATGAATCGAACCTACGCTTTTGTGATGCCGGTGCAATGCTCTTGCTCCGAAACATGTTTTGCATGTTTAATTCAACCAGGGCGTATAAAACTGAGGTATGAGCATCCCTTTTGATGTTTTTCAATCGCCAAGCTATCCACGTGCTTTAGTCTGGTAGAAGTAAGATTGGAAAGTCGGGTAGCAAAGTTTTCAATACAGGGTGTGTAAAAAAGACCTTTAGAAATTGAACTATTGTTATAATTTAAATGCTCCATCACTAAACTAAGTCTTTGGATGCGTAAAATATTGTCAGTTTTGTGCATATATGACATATCTTTGTCACAGGCACAAAAGTCTTTCTTCTCCTGGGAATTTGACATAACTTCTAAAAGCCAAATTCTGCACAATAATGAATGGTCAAAAAGTTTTTATCGTCCAGACTTTTATCCAGACGTAAAGTACAGCTGTGGTAGAAAAAAGTTTTGATCCTTCACAACTCGTGCATAAAAATCGTACGTACTCGCCAACCATGAAGTAATCTCTACCCTGTCTCTACATATCTAATCTTATTTTAGTCATTTTAGATCATTTTCGTTCTGCTTTGCATACCTCATGTGATTTCGACTGTTTTCTTCTCCATATTCGACGCATGGTGCAATTTATATGAGCGAGCCTCTGTTAACAATTGTTCCCAGTCTTTCTTCGTGCCGCATCCCAGACAATGGATCTCGGCTTGGCTCGTGATGTCAATCATATCTCCCGGTCTGTTCATGTGCATCATCTACTTGGATAAAACGGCGTTGAACTTCCAAGCTGATGAGTTCAGAAAGATCTACGAAAAAGGATCGTTCTATTCTTTGTTGTTTTTACTCGCAGTGTCACTGGCATATTACTTCGTTCGGTTGATCCCCTCAAAACCGGATTCAACCAGCAAGTTCATATCAGCTACACTGTTCATTTGGAATCCAGTAAATGCCCTCACAGTCCCCGCTTAATCTAATAACAAAGACACGCTCCCTGCTGTGCAACTGACAATTTTTTGACGTGAATATGTGACATATTTTCCTTTTTTTCTGATTAACATTACCAACTGATTACTGACTATACCTTACTGATCGTAATCACGTAAAGCATACGACTATAGATTTGCGTTAAGAATCCCTTATTAGTTATAATGACGTAAGATGTATGGTAATTTAAGAGTTTCGTGCGATGAAACTATTTTTAACTTTTCGCCTTCACGTTCAGGCATTTTGATCTAGTCTCTTTCATAGTCAACGTAATTAGTTGACAGAATTGCGTTATTCGATTGAATAAAAGCAATAATGCACGAAATTACTTGATTTGATCCACATATTCAGAGTGAGTCTTGAGTGGGCGGATAACAAGTTTCACCTATTTACGTCATCGTTTTCAAATCGTTTTGGTCTCAGTGCGTCCGAACGGACCCGGATTCGTTGCGCTTTCATAAATTTCCATTCTGGAGAGCTTTTTTAAAGGTTTCCGGATACGGCCTGCATTTTTCTGGATAAGTGTGGGTGCTAAGCGTACCTGAAACTAAAGGTTTGGGGATACAAACCAATCCAGATACGCGTATATGACCACCCGTAGCCTACGTCATTGGCTTTACTTTAAGCGTGTTAAGCACTGTGGTGTTAAGATCAAAAACGTGTGGTGTCGATTTTCAGTCTTCTGTTTGATGAAACTGTTTAACTTCCGGCGGCTATATGTATATGCTTTGCACGCTTTTTAGTTACACGTTATTCACATAGCGTTCATGTAACTGAAAACATTTCGGCCTGCCGTGCTCATAGAGAAAAAAATCTTTCATGTATGGAGGGAGCTCACGAACAAGAACAGCGTAATTCACCACAAGAACGGGCACATCTTCCTGAACAAGATGTGGAAAAGAAGGAAACAATTCAAATATTAAATAAACGTCAGATAATAATATTTGAAGCCATTACTGGCATTAGAGATTTTGTTTGTTCTGACGGCTTCAACAGATTCTTAAAGGTAAATGTTGAAATCTTCGTAAACACTATTCACTGAGTTAATTTTCACCGGGATCATGTCATATACTCATTTTAATATATCCACGACCGCGTTCTGTGACTATATTATATGTTGATCATGTTGTATACCTATTTTATTACTAGTCATTTCACGCTTTGTTTGACTCGCCTGACCGGGCTTACGTATTAAACAGACCCTAATTTTCTCACACAAAGTTCCTCACTTTGCTGCGACAATATGTTTAGACCAAATTGCTCTCGTGTGCGGGATGCCTTTTGCGAACGAATGTCATCATTCGTGCCACGTAAAGTAAATATTTGGCTAAACATATAGCTCTAGTGTCGCACCAGGGTTGAGATATCGAGTTACACTTTTTTGGGACCTCCGTCCACGCATTTGTTTAGACCCGTCGAATATAATTGTAAAGAAGGCAGAGTTCTTACGCCACTCGTGTGGTGTAACTCGGCTCCATATACACAAGCACACCCCCCTAAGGGTAAGAATATATTTAATACATATAGATTCTGGTCCTATTTTAATAATATCGCTGCTATTTCGCCATTTAACAAGATATGGTCGTGTATAAAATTTCCAGTGGCAGGGACCAATGAAATTCTGCATTATTTTAATGATTTTAATTTGTTTATGATTACAAACCAGAGCCTGAAAAAAGACCCTGGGTACGAGGTTGACGAACAATACCGTAGAAAAGAAATCAGTCAAGACGAATATATGAAAATAACCCCCCCTCCAATTAAGCTTCTAGTTCTAGCTACAGCCCTGAGCAAATATTTGGTTTCTCGCCATGCCTGGAGTATTTATAATAAATTGTTGTTATATAGCTATTCTCATCTCATTTATTTGTTTCTAACATATTTTTTTCATTTCAGGTCACCTTCATCCTGCTTTGCATACCTCATGTGATTTCGACTGTTTTCTCCTCCATTTTCGACGCATGGTGCAATTTATATGAGCATGCCTCTGTGACCAATTGTTCCCAGCCTTTCTTCGTGCCGCATCCCAGACAATGGATCTCAGCTTGGTTCGTAATGTCAATCATATCTCCCTTTCTTTTCATTTCCATCGTTTACACGGATTGCCGGACGTGCAACTTCCAACGGAAGGGGTTTAGAAAGATCTACAAAAAGGGATCGTTTTGTTCATTGATGTTTTTACTCGCAGCGTCACTCATATATTACTTCGTTCGGTTGATTCCCTCAAAGGAAGATAGAACCAGCAAGTTCATGTCAGCCATGATGTTCCTTTGGAGTCCAGTTAACGCTCTCATAATCTGTTTTATCAATTATGTACCCCGTGTACGATGGCAGAAAAAAGAGACACAAGGGTGGCTAGGATGCTTCTGTAAAAATTGCGATTTTTTCGTCTACTGGTGTGCGATTTTGGTGTATTTTTTCGAATTGGTTTGCAAGAATGCAGCCATTATGCTGAACGTGGCCCAAAGTTTCGACCCGTTTCTCCAGAAGAATTATTCCCATTCGTTAAGCCCGTATTGGGGGCTGATGGTGATAATAATTGGCTTTGATCTTGCGTTCCATGCACGTTTGCTCACCTTCTATTGGGAGAAGATTTTCTACGGAAATAGAGATCTGTTCGCAGAACCTGGTGGCGATATGGTGTTTGACGAGGAAGACTCGACAGATATAGAATTACAAGAGTTGGCGCATGAAGAGAGAGAACACTGCGTTTAATATCAAAATCCGAGCACACTTATGATAACACCACCTTCATAACATTTTTATTTTAACGATATGTTTTTTTTTACTTTTTACCTTTCTTATATATATTTATATAGTTTATATATATATTACTCCAGCTCATCCAGGGCTGGATGGGATTTCTCCACTTATATAACCGTGTATTGGCCATGTATAGCTCGCTTGTATGTTGTTTGTTTTCATTGTGATATTGTTGAATTACACGAAAAGATTTACAATTGGTCGAACGTTTGGAAGCCATATTTAGTGCTAATGAGCGCACTATTCGATCTCGTCAGACGTCAGTCTACAGGGGTTAAATTGAAAAACAGCTCTTGCTGCTGATATAAAGACAATAAAGTTTGAACTATTTCAAGTATTATAACTCTTCTTTATAATCTATTTATTTTCTGGGTTTTTCGAGGCTTGATACAACCGGCCCTTGTCAATGCATTTGCACATGGAAGGCCATGTTGGAGGCGATGATAAAATAACTTGAAGTATTGGCGTCACATTATGGTATCGCAGCCCCAAATAGCTTCCCTGGCCTAAAACCATAGACAATCCAGAAAACATGTCTTCTGGATTGTCTTTGCCAAACTACGGCGGCGCCCGAAAACATACGGCGGCGCCCGAAAACATGCACCTTTAAATATATAGCACCCGAAAACATACGACCCGATGACATGCCCAATGAATGAAACCATAACCCAATCACATCTGTCATCCTTCATCGCCAATTTATATTTTTGTCCCATTCCACCCTTCATACGATGCCTGCGGAGGGAGAAGTTTTATTGAAGCAGGAACATTGCAACGTCATTCAAACACTCAAGTCAAATCAAGCCATTGAACAAAGGCGACCAAACGTCGTTACCAGTCTCTTCGCGTTATTTATACAACAAAACAATTTCATATTTCACAAGAGCGAACTTTGCATGGTTTCCTTAGTTATGAACAACTTCTGAATGGAATCCAAGCTGTGTTGTAATACTACGTGGACGTTGATTTAATAAATTGACGAATTATTATAAACGTTAGTAAAAAACGTGGTCATAAAAGCTAAAGCGAACTGAGGAATTATGTCTCAAAGTTTACGTTGATACATTTGACTTAAAACTTTGCACCGAAATTAAATACTTTTATAATTTGCTACTTTTACATTATAATTCGTTGTGAAATGTCCTGGAAACCGAATCCACACGCTGCACCATTCCAACCAACGAATGCTTACTACACGATAAAGCTACCTTGCTGTGGAAACGCTTGGAAGATTCGAAAGAAAGGTCTTTTAGGAAAATGTGTTCAATGGACATTAGTCTTCATTTTATTTATAACGGTAGTCGTAAACGTTCTTTTTATAATGGATACAACGTCGAAGTTTAGAAAACAGAAATTGTCAAATCCAAATGAAGAGGATAAAGACTTTGAAGAGAGGAGAAATGTTATAATAGGTAATCCTTTGTGATATATAAGGAAACAGGAGTAAATATTATGATCGATTTCCTGCATGATTATGAAATCCACGTATGTAATTTGAGGCTTTAATTCCTTTTGTTAGAGTTAAGAGTTAAGCAGAGGTTGTTCCATTTAGATTATTATGAATATAATACAGATGTTTAACAGTGAATGGAAGTAATGAACTAGCACAGCAAGCCCTTAGGACATCCAATTTTACGTTTTGAGCAAATTTCTGAAATTTTAACTGCTAGCACCAGCTGCTTCATTCTATGTACTCTAAGTAGTAAATGCAACATGTGTGTATTCTGGGTGTGAACGTTTCAAAATTTGCTTATATTTTCCCTTTGAAACATGTCGATTAAGATGGCAGTGGGGAAATTTTTAAAAATGATTATATTGGCACTGTAGCAAAATATTGACAGATTATTTAGGGTTGTATAGTGCACATAGGTCTGTAGAGCAATTCTGTGTGAAAATTGTGCCAGGAGGTACAGCAAAGATGTACTCCATAGAAAATTACCTGCACCCAAGCTGTCTAGCCTTTAATAAAAACCTCTTGCTGACAGAAAGCTGGCTAGCAACCAATACAATGGATAAATAGTAGATAATTATCATTTGTAACATTTCATTTTATCTTGCATTGTTTTAGATTCAAAAGATAGGGGAAAATCAATTGATATTGAAGTGCATTCTAGCAAAGATAGTGTATATGTGTCCGTAGATGGAACAAAGGTTAGTTGTCGAATATGATCCCTATACTTTTGACAAAAAATGTTAATATGCAGGATTTTGCAAGAGACAGTGGTACCTTTATTGAGTAATATAGTAACCTAATAATTGCAAGTTTAATTTTCTACACTGTTAGGCCGCCCAGAAATCTGTTTATACTCAATCCTCCACTGCATTGTTTACATGCACGGTCAGCTTCTACTGTCTGTACTAATTACTGTATTATATTATATCTATAATATCGATATTATATATCGATATATAATACAGTAATTAGTACAGATAGTAGAAGCTGACCGCGCACGTAAACAATGCAGACGAAGACTGAGTATAAACAGATTTCTGGGTTGCCAATGCTGTTAGTGGTGGTCTTTGTTGCATAGGCATGCACACCTGGGGGGTGGAAAAATTCATTAAAGGTTGGACATTTGTATTGAAATTTGATTAATCTTTGCAGAAATCAGTAATAAGCGGGGCATTTGTTCTCTGTACTGCCCCCTTGGTCTTATATACCTTTATTATATGTGTATAGAGATTTATGCACAGCAGAATGATGAAATAAAAATCGTATTTCACTGTGTAAATAAATTTCATGCAATTTGATTGGACGTACGATGTTTTTCACGTGTGCAAAAATGCCATACACGGCTTTTGATTGGACGTACGATATTCTTCACACGTGAAAAATTGTCCTATGTCATTTTGGCGGCAATTTGTTTACATTTTCTTTCAAGATGGCGTCGAAATATAGGAGTGAGATTCAAAACATAATTCTCATATTCAAGATATTTTTACATTCAGCACATTCTCAAATCTTTCGGAAAGAATATCTAACTTCTATTGAACAAAATTACAAAGAAACTGGAGGGTAATAAATATGTTTTGATGCATAAAATTTCGATTTTTGTTGCTCGCTCTCTTTGTATATTAAAAGCGTTTCGTTGTCAAATTGATCTCTATACACATGTAATAAACAAATTACTTAATGGTTGGCTCGTTTGTACGATTTTTATTATGAACTCGCTGTGAAGGATCGCAAACTCACTCGTTCGCTACGCTCACTCTTTGGTTTTGCGATCCTTTGCAACTCGTGCATAAAAATCGTACGTACTCGAAGCAACCATGAAGTAATCTCTATATATCTTCCAGTGTACTAAATGTGGCTAGTTCTCAGTTTGAATTTGTGAACACTTGCACCTTAAAATTTAAAACTTTTATAGAACATTTTTGTTCCCTATACACCTAATAAATTGCACTGGAATCAAAAGTATTTAGAACAACACTTTGGTGTAGGTAATGGAGGAAACAACCACTAGTGAGTCAGCACGTGGCACACACGTGACCGTCCTTCATCAGTCATCTGGAGCAATCATGGCGACCAGAACATTTGATACTTACATGTCTAAGGAGGAGAGTGCTGGCCTGGTTTTGTTTCTAAATATGGTGTCCGATGGAAGAATCTTGTGCTTTGCAGTCAAGGTAAGCGTGTGACGTCACAATACACATGGTAATTTATTACGTGGGAATTTATTGTGACGTCACAATACACGTGATAATTTATTACGTGACAATTTATTGTGACGTCAGTTGAAATCTAAAAATGAAGTAAAACAGAAATTAGGTTTTATCAAATGATATAGCGTCGATCCTGACTAGTACCAAAATACTGTATGATGTCAATGAGAGGTGTACCTACAAAGATGTGTAGGTACATGTACTGCTGCGTTCGCCGGTGAGAACGAACAAAAAATGCGAACAGAGTTCACTTTTAGTGAATTATAGTAATTTAAACTTAAAGTAGATTAACATTTTCCTATTTCTTAATATGAACTTATCTGGTCTGAGTAACATAGTTCGATAGCCTGACTGGTAACTTGAACAGCGAATAACGTTCCAGTTGGAAATCCATGTAGAGGTGTGTTGACACTACTGTTGCCACTTGTCAGCTTAAATTAGCATCGTCAAGTGTATATGGCTCTATTCAGATCTAGCCTTCTCGTCTCTCTTCAACATTTGTGTGTCCCTCGGTATTTCTTTTCATTGTCAAGTTATTCAGGCTATTGCCGTGTGAATCATGCATGCAGGATTTGTGCTCTGGCTCGCTTGGTTAAACTAAAACTACAAGTCATTCCCACTACGTAATACAATACGTTCTAGCACATGCATGCTATTGTGGTTTGTGGTCGACAACTTGGCACGCGTTTGTGGGATAAGGTGTACATAGCTATTTACTCACTCATGCATGTGAGTCTAACGCCTGTATTCTAAAAGCTCACTCACACTCAAACTCATTGAGTGGGAGATCTTAATCTTCTCATAACGTTTCAATGGCGGTATTTTCAGCCGAACAGGGGCTTGATTTTCAGTGATTTACCTTATATCTTTTCATCTATTCAGAGAGAACTTTCTCATTGATCAGCATTAACGAAATTTATATGTCACACTCGATGAGTATGAGTGTGAGTGAGCTTTTTGAATACAGGCGTAAGTTTACTAAAGTTCATCGCATAGATATAGCTATGGCTATTATGATTATAATTACATGATATCACGGGATTATGTGACAGCCTCCCCCTTGAAAGAAAAGGAAGTTCGTCAGGAATATTCTATTAATCTTTGTTCAGATAGTTTACAATACATCCAATTATATGACCATTGAGAAAATTCAAGTGTCTAAATGATTTCCCAAAATCCAAATAATAAGTTCCCATGAATCATTATATTGTCTTCGAGAGACTTCCAGAATCACCATCCGATCCATGTCCTGGTAAACTTTGAAATATCCATTATTTGTATAATATCCATTTATCAATCCACAAAATATCAAATTGTTGCTGATAAATATCGTGAGAATTGCTGCTGCTTGATTTGTAGTTCACTGCTGGATCCTTGAGGTCGTAACCTTTCCATTGATTATGTAAATCAGATTTGATTGCTCAACTCTGTACTCTGTATTGACAGATAAGACTTAAGCCGTAGCAACAGAATATCTTATGAAGGAGAAGACTCCAAAATTAGAAGAACAAAATCTTCAATATAAATTATTAACTCCCTTTTTAAGACGGCCGAATTAATGCTCGTCAATAAATTTTAACAACGGGATTTTTACCCGATAATATTTAAATTCAATTTAAACTTCATTTAATAACTTTTACTCTTGCAATGTTTTAATTCACGGGAGATTAATCAAACCTTTCACGAAGACGTAATGAACCTTAAGCGTAACACTCTTGTTCTTCAGTCTCAGACTAAGTCGGCAGAACTTAACTGTACGACGTTAATTTGAAGTAGAGACAAAAATCGCAAAATTTAATCAACCCACTCTTCATAAGAGAGGCTTCCCATCTCAGCCCCCAATTTTTACGTTCGCCGGTGCATGCATGCATACATGCTATCGTGGTTTGTGGTCGACAACTTGTTACGCGTTCGTGGGATAGCTATTTACTTACTCATGCATGTATCTCTAAGTTTACTAAAGTTCATTGAATATATATAGTTATAGTATTAAAGTATATGACGTTATTATGATTATAGTTACATGATATTACGGCATCATGTAACAGTATACGCACAAGCCTGTAGGTACAGGTACACACAAGAGTGTTTAAGTACAAAAAGTACAAGGTTTTGATGTGCGAGTGCGTACAACGTTCACTAACGTAAATGGTGTGTAGGTACAAGTATACCCAATGGTGTATACACTGTACGTACAGTTACTCACAAGGGTGACAATAGTGTAAAGGTACAAATACGTACAATAGTACGTGCAAACCGTACAATTACTTAGGGGCTAATTTCATTGAGTTTTTTCAGCGCGGGCTGAGTTTCAGCCCGGCTAACTGGGATGAAACTTCAGCCCGGGGTTGTTATAAAATCCTAACAAAATTGCGCACGCGATTTCATGTCAAGAATTTCAGCCCGGTTTGAGTTACCTGGGCTGAAACGTCAGCCCGGGCTGAAACTTCAGTAATCTTGTCATGTAATCGGGAATAAACTTAAACCCGGACAGAAAAATTCGCCTCGACAATTCTTTTTCGTTTGTTTATTTAATTGTATGTGCAGTCATAGTCCCTTAAAGGTCAAGTTATTGCCATTCGGGATTTTAAAGCGCTGGAAGAATCGAAATAGGTCTACTACCAGCCTTTACAAACTCAGCCCGGGCTGAAATTTCAACTCCTGTTCTTAAAATAATTCTGACGTGTCATAAACACAGCCCGGACTGAAATCTCTTCCCCTGGTTTTAAAATAATCCTGACGTGTCATAACACAGCCCGCGCTGATTTTTGATCTGTCAAACAACTTCGGAAACAGCAGGTTATATCACACTTTTTCCGGATTGTTCTGCAACATGAACATTGAAGTGTCAAATTATTGCAACGTCAACATTGGAGCGGTCGCCGTTCACCACGTGACCACCCACTGGCCTACGTCATGGCAGTTTAAACATGCAACTAAACTATATAAGTATCGATACGAACGAAATTCGAATTACAACCTGTAGTCTTTACTCGTAATTGAAGACATTTCTCGTCGCCGTAACCTCGCACAGCTGCGAAATTATCGCTTCACAACTCTTCTCAAAAAGAGGAAAAAATGTTGGCGGTTTTCACGTGCAGTGTTCCCAATGAAGGACAAATTAATTCACCGCAAACACCTGCAAGATCGAAATTTCAAGCCATTCGAGATTTTGTTTCTTCAGAAGAGTTCAAAATGTTCTTTTTGAAGGTAAGGATTCATTTTGTATATGATTTGTGTATGTGAAAATAGAGTTAATTGGCGTGCAAGTAACACGTCTTGCCTGCCGAAACCTAAGTTAATGCATGCAATTTGAAGTAACCTGAGTAAGCTAACCTGAGTAACCTACGAGTAACCTAATAAGCTACCGTAGCATCCATCCGTACCGAACCATCTGCAGCAGTCAGAGGAGTATGGCTGCGTAGAATGCATATTGATATGATTGAAACCAAACGCAGGTTGAAGAGTCTGTTTACATGAAGGGAGGTGAAAACTGCATATAATGAAAGACTAATCAGGTTAAGCCTTTGAAGTGATGCGCTTTTTACCTCGCCTAGCTGGGATAACTCGCTCCAAGTAAACAACTCAATTTTATCAGTGTTCAGGCTAACAACGCAAAGGCCTGGCAGGAATGAAATGGGCACGGGTACATGAAATGAGCCGTGCCGTACTGATACGTTTAGTGCAGTGTAAACATGGCGAAAGTATACAAAATTTGCGAACTTCTCATTTTACAATATTCGCAACTAGGTTGTGCTGTTTTGCTGATTTTGTTTTTTTTGCGTGAGTGATCAATCAATTTCCATATTTTTGCGCATAAGTGAATAAATAGTCAATGATGCAAGTTCTTATTTTCCTTATTTTAGGTCATTTTCATCTGGCTTTGCATACCTCATGTGATTTCGACTGTTTTCTCCTCCATTTTCGACGCATGGTGCAGTATATATGAGCATGCCTCAGTGACAAATTGTTCCCAGCCTTTCTTCGTGCCGCATCCCAGACAATGGATCTCCGCTTGGCTCGTGATGTCAATCATATCTCCCTGTCTTTTCATGTTCATCATCTACTTGGATAAAACGGCGTTGAACTTCCAAGGTGATCAGTTCAAAAAGATCTACGAAAAAGGATCGTTCTATTCTTTGATGTTTTTACTCGCAGCGTCACTGATATATTACTTCGTTCGGTTGATCCCCTCAAAACCGGATTCAACCATCAAGTTCACATCAGCTACGCTGTTCATTTGGAATCCAGTGAATGCCCTCGCAGTCTGTGTTATCAATTACCTTCCCCGTGTGCGGTGGCAGAAAACTGATGCCAGAGGCGGTGAACTGTTGTTGAAACGCTGTATGAAGAATTCCAATTTTTTCGTCTACTGGTCTGCTCTTTTGGCGTACTTTTTTGAATTAGTCTGCAAGAATGCAGCAATCATGCTTGACATGGCGCAGGAAATCGAACCGTTGATCGAGAACAATTTTTCCAAATCTTACAGCCATTACTGGGGACTAATGGTGATAATAATTGGTTTTAGGTTGGCGTTCCATGCACGTTTGCTTACATTTTACTGGGAGAAGATTTTTTACGGTGATAAGGATCTGTTCGCAGAGCCTGGTGACGATCTTATTAAAGGAAATTCCGAACAACGTATCGAACTAGAAATGACACAGCGTGTGTAAGAAAACAATCGCAGTATTGTGGACATCGAACTCATTTATCCCTTTACCTAACTTTTTCTCTTTTTTTCACGTTTTACATCATATCTAGCTTTTAGACTTCCGAGCTTTCCGAACATACGACTATATAGATTTGCGTTAAGAATCCCTTATAAGTTATAATGACGCAAGATGTAGGGTAATTTAAGAGTTTCGTGCGATGAAACTATTTTCAACTTTTAGCCTTTACGTGCTGGCATTTTGATCCTATATATTATGCTGTTCTCTTTCATAGTCAACGTAATTAGTTGATAG